GAGACTGGTCCCAAGCAGTGGTAACTGCTTCCCGTACCGCCCCTATGCCCATGTTGTCAGCAGAGGTAGCTTGGACCAGCATCTGCGCAATGTTCTCGTAGCGGCTGGGGAGTGCATAAAGGCAAATTAGACCTTCAATAAGCGCGGGAATCTTGACCTTGGCCGCTTCCAAAGTGTCGAAATGTTTGGATATCTTCGCGAAGGCTGGAGCAGGGTGCTGATCGGCCGGAATCTTCGTCGATAAGGCCCCCCGCAGCTCATTGTAAATGGCGCCGAGGGACATAGACGAATAGAGGGAAGACAATTGGTCCCAAGTTTCCTTGGCCGATTTCTTGTCCTTTATGTAGGAGGCGACGGCGGGAGAGCAGCGAAGACGGATCGTACCCATAGCCCTGACGTCTTTTTCCTTCCAGGCGTCAGCAGCGGTAGAGTCCCTGGTAGTACCGGAGACGACGACAGCTGGCTGCGTGATGCTGCCATCAACATTCCCCCAGAGGCCTTGGGACATAAGGTACGCCATCATTTGCTCGGACCAGGTAGGCCAGTTCGAGCCGTCGAGGACGGGGACAACAGCGATCAGATTGTTCGACATTGTTGCGGAGCGGTTGAGAGATCTGAAATCTGTATTGAGATCTCATCAGTATCAGCGAAGCTATGCAGCCCGATAAGGGCGCACTGCTCCATGCTGTTGGCTCCATTAGGGAGTTACCCCAGGATCGATCATCAAGCCTGATGGCTGCTGATAACAGCGCCTACGGCGATGATCACGCATCAAGCCACACTGCAGCCTGTGAGGGCGCATAGGGCAATGCACAGGTGAGCGAGGTGCAACGCGCTGCAGCGAGTTACCGCGCAGACGCAAGCTGCCTATTTGGGCTCATAACCTGATGAAGAGTTATGGAGGCAGCAGCACGCACAGTGCGCCCTACACAACTCACCTGTATTGGTTGGATGCTGTAGCTACTGGTAAAGCTCGTATGAACGACCCTTGTCATTAGGCAGCAGAGCTGCAGGGTATATATACACTGTGGCCCATAGGCTGACTAAGCTACGTGGAATATCTATAATCCTACTGAGCTCCACCTATGATGTCACTGACCCACATGAGCTCTGTGCCCTGTACAATAATGGAATATACCAGAATATTCCAGAGGATTCCGGTACGTTCTGGTACATTGTAGAACCTGGCAGCTAAGTCAGCGCCCAGTTCAACACGAGGCTGATCAGAATATCCGGTGACAGGAGGGCGAGTTCACCAAGCCACTAACGCAAGCCCTAGATCTCATAATATCCACTCGGGATGTTTCTGATAATATGCCGCTCAACATGTACTTGAAGATGCTCTGGGTCCACGGGAAGTTCATTTCAGTCGGTCTTCCCGATAAGCCTTTGCCGCAGGTCATGGCGTTCGACTTCGAAGCTAATGGATGCTTTATGGGCGGATCCCATATTGGGAATAAGAAAGAAGCCATCGAGATGTTGAACCTAGCGGCAGCTAAAGGAATCAAGCCGTGGTAAGTCCAGGGCCCTATGTCGGGATGAAGTTTCTCCCGGTACTAATTCATCGTGGCCTGCAGGATCGAGGAGCTCCCCATGAAAGACGCTCAGCAAGCAGTGGAGAGGGTCAAACGTAACGATGTGAGGTACCGCATCATATTGACGCAGGATCTGGCTTGATCCGCCCCACGCTTTTCTGGTGCGATGACTGGCGGTCCGAATAGCATATACGGGACGACGCGATAATGCCGTAGTGTACGTTAAACAGACAGGATATTGGGGGCCAGTGTTGGCTGGCTTGAGTTTCAAGTAGGCGCAATATCATTTTTGACTAGAGCAAAATCTAATCATGGACGAGTGACATGTCGACCCATGACCTGCTGATACTGTCCAGATTGACAGAGCTCGCCGGTGCCAGTGACGGTGCTGTATTAGAATCGATTGAGGTGCAATCTGAACGAATCCATTTGCCCGGTGTCTGTAGGCCCAATGAGTCCCCAACAGAAGATATCATTGTCTGGACTGGGACCGTAGCCAAGCATAAGGATGGTATATCACCCCATAGCCCATGTCAGATGATCGTCGCCGGAGGAGCGTAGATCGGTCGTAAAGAAGAGTTTTGAGTCCGGGAGATAAAACGCGGAGCTTGCGCGGTACAGGTGGCTACATCTACCCATCGAAGAACGTATTGCAGAGATCGTCTTCTTCGGTCCTCTCTAGAAAACTATGGTAATGGCGAGATGATCCGGGAATGCAAGTATGCGAGTGTAGCATCCATCGTCCGCCCTCAGCGTGTGCCGAGGAGCGACGCTGGTACCCGACAGAATAGTTATGTCGTCCAAGGCTTCGTACCGCTGACCCTCGGGCCATTCAAACTTCCATCGCTACTTTTCGCTAAGACTGCTGATATGGATCGGATTTGGGCAAGTGCGCATCACTCTTCGGCGCGTATTTGGGGATGTCGCAATGACGTGACGTGACCTGTATGGGGTAGGCGTGTCGGTGGGCTGCTGCAGATGAGTTAACAATGATCTCCAGGCCGGGCTGTGTAGGGATTAGCCAGCTGCGGCATCGCTACATGGCCTGATGATGAGAAATCTCGGACTATGCCTGCAGCAAATGTTTTTATGAGACGGCGGCGCAAAATTGTGTGCTTGAAGCCTTCGAATTGGACGATGTTGACATCACGACGAATCGGTAGCATTCCGGCGCAACGCCTGGGACGCCATCTAGCCTAGGCCAACCCGCGATATCGATCCGAGCCATGGCTAAGCGGGACATCCATCAGGTCTCCAGTGTCCATGGGGGAAATACTGTGCCTAGAGATTTGATGGTGGTATACCAGCACACAGGAGTTATTACTGACGTGGTCCGCTCGTGTTTCACTTGGGCTTCTGAAGCACCGAGGGGGGGATGGTGCTATATTCCGGACCAGGGAAAATGGAGGAATGGAAGGCGGACAGTTGTCTCACCAAACCTTCACAACTGTGGTCAATCACCGATCGCGAGAGATGTCTTGGACTTGAGATAACCACGTGTGTGCCCCGAGAGGCCTGAAGCCGCTCGTTCTTAACGTTTTTGGCCGAACGAGGAACCCGGAGATGCTTGCATTTGAAGGAGCAAGCGAACGTTCCATTTATTGCCCGTGACCGGTTTCCCAGCGGACGAGGATAGATTGCGAGGGGCTAACATTGCGGCTGACGCATATTTTATGCCTCGGACTCATGACGACAGCCAAGGAACGGTCCAGCCTGATTGTTGTTGTTGATCCCCGAGAAGAACTGCGTCTCCAGTCACCGGTTCAGAGAGAGCGCATACGGAGCGATGTGTCTACATCATTGAATGGGATGATCATCTGATAACTGCGGCATTCCCTAGGGAAGCCTATTCGAGCATACAAAGGGTAATCCGTCCGAGGCATACGAAGGCACACAATACACAGAAGAGATCTAGATGGTCTAGTCAGCCTCGGTAGCGGTATTCCATTCCTGTTGACTCGGTGATGGCAAGGATGGACCAGTACCATGTACGCGATAACTCAGCACCCAACAATAGCTCTGGGAACAGCGGAAAGAGAGCGAGTCAGGGTGCCGGGGTTATCAGAGGGCCCGCGTTAGAGATGGAAGGGAATACGAGCCGAGACAGACTCTGGAAGACGGGAGCAGCCACCGTCCAGGAAAGGGAAAGACTCGAGCGAGTGGCGGACGCGGAGCGAACACGTGACAACCCCAAGGCGGGCATTGTGGCGGTAAACCACCTTCGCAGACTCGACCGACCCCGGCTTCGTACGCCGGCCCCGTATTTCTGCTACGTAACTTCCTCTGCTCCTTGTTTCCTCCCTCCATCTCCGCCGCCAGCGCCCCTGCCTACTCGCCCATGCCCTCTCCCGTGCATTGCACTGCTCGTCGTCGGAGGTCCCACTCAGCGTCTGGTTCGCCGTCACCCGCGCCCCGATTTATGCCTGATGATGCCTGGAGGTGCTCAACCAAGAGAGCCCATCCGCATCAGCCCTTTAGTCCGTCCTATCGCGACGACTCCACCCCGGAGGCGCCGCAGAAGTGGGATGTGGACATGTGGAGAAGGGGGAAGAGAGCTCGTAGAGAGGCATCGGTGCGTGCACCCTGCCTGGGCAGTCTCTACGTGGCTCTAACTTCGCGTTTCTCTCACAGCCTGAAAATACGGACGACGATGAGTTAGCCACTCCCATGCACTGGTCATCCAGCTCGGAGGACCAGCCGAGTCCGTCCTCCGCGCCCCCAACACCGGGTTTTGCGTGTACCCCAGCAGCCTTCAACCTTTTCCCAAGTCGCAAGCGGACACACCGCGGCGGACACCACTCTCAAGGTCGTAGGTCGCTCCCCGCAGTCAATGAACCGAATTCCGTGGACATGCATCGTATGCGCACCACTGCTTTCGGCGATTTGCGGAAAAGCATAGCGGAGGGCGGAGAGGGTTTCGTCCTGCGCATGCGGGACCTGGAACAGTCGCGAACGAAGAACCTGCTTGCAGGTACTCGTGGACGTCTTGCAGATCAACGACGTGCGCATGTGGGGTCGCGTAGGCGGCCCGCATCACATTACGAGTCAGTCAGGCGGCTGTATCCTGCCGATGATACCCAGTCCGGCGATGAAGACGATGAAATTCAAATCTTCGTAGGAGAAAATACGCTCGGTGGCGAGCCCGTTAATAAAAAGCGGGCCATGTCATTAGGTGACATGGATTTGGACACCTTCACTGTCGACCCTCAGTCATACCAGTCTCCGATCGAGGAAAGCGACCGATGTTCCTCGCCAGTCGACACATCGGCATCAGGACCTTCCTCCTATTCCTCGGACGATGAAGAAGTAAATAACCTATTCAAGGATACCCGCTTTTCATTCGCCGCGAATAACGTCACAAACCCGTTCACGCCCTCACTGACACACACTTACACGAATTCCACCAACTCTTCCCTTATCTCGCTTCCTCTCCCACCTCCCGTCAATTCGACATTTTCTCCCGCACCGCCGATGTCCTGCCGGCTTCCTTCACGGAAACGCCGAGCCCCGGACGTGCCGTCCTCGGCTTCTCGGTCTGAGAAAGCCATCGCGGCGCTCACTTTGGCGTTGGCCAACGGCGCTGGCGACGTCAACGACTACGGGCCCTTGTCGGCCATACATACGCCTGCAATTATAGACGACTGTGAAGTCGGATCGATGTTTGACTAGCCCGAAATGTGGACGCCACAAGTCCGCCTTGGGCAGCCTCGGGAAGTCAAAGGGAAACGCAAGTTTTATCCGGAATACTCTCTTGCTCGCCTTCCTCGATTAAACCTTACTGGAGCTTCACCGGATGGTTATTATTGTTTACCTTCCTGCATTCCTAATTTAAAACGACAAATCAACTTCCAAGTCACGAAACAACGCTATATCCATAACATGACAGACATCGCATCGCAATTTTGTTCTGTTTCTTTATCCGCGTCTACGGACGAAATAGGGATGTAATCTCTCCCCATTGTGGCTCGACAGGAGCCCGGTTGTCAGTATTTCTTGGTGGCATCTTTGGTATCGAGTAATAAACACCTGTATCAATACTAGAATGAATGGACTATTTATGTGTACAATTTATCACACTCGTAGGGCCTGAGGGCTGCAGTGGCTTCATTTCAAGAGGCGCAGGCTGCATTCACAACTTCCATACTTTTCCGTCTAAGGGGTCACAAGTCGGGTAGGCGTCGTCAGGCTACCTGGCCGACGGGGAACAAGCAGGACCATGCACCGATCATATATAAAGCTACATCATGTTACGACCCACCGGAGAAGAAGGTAAATGACCCGTCGCGACTGGTATCAGGTTCCTCGGGACCCTTGGAAGCGCGCGCTGAGCCCGGTCCACTATCACCTCCCGCTCTCTCCGCCGCTGGGCTAGATGTCTGCGAGAGTGGGCCGAGCACGCCCGCAGAACCGAAGCTCTCTCCTGCGTCCGCCGCAGCCTTGTCCCCGGTCCCGCGAAGCTGCTTCTGCAGCTCCTCTACCTGTCTCTCTGCCTCCACCCGTTTGCGGGTCTCCTGCAGCAGCCGTTCCTCAGCTTTGCGGCGCGCCGCCGTTTCAAGACGCAATGCATGTTTCATACCTGCGAGATGGGTCGAGGCCAGTGAGTATCGAAATATAGACAGGAGAACCGGTGAAAGCTCACTTTGGACTATGGCAGCCGCATCTGAGGACAGGTAGGCCTTGTCCGCGCCGAGCAGGTAGGCCGGCGAGCCGACAATCGCAGCAGCGTCGGAGATGTCGAGCATTTGGAAATCGGGGATCACCATGTCGAGGTCCAAACCCATATCCATGCCCGACGCGTCCATATCTTGCAGCTCGTCATGTGAAGTGGAAGGCGCATTGGCTGCTGGATCTTGCGCTTTCGCTTTCCCCTTGCCTTTGCTCGTCGTAGTCGCCGTCCTCCTCCGCGGTAAAGGCTTGACGAGTCTGTATTCCTCGTCCTGAACCTGCTTCGACTTTGCCTTCAACCTGGCCGTGCGCCTGGACGTGCCGGCTCCGGTGCGCAGAAGCTCGGACGAGGGCGAAGGGGTCAGCAAGCCGCCTTTTCGCCTCGACGACGTCGGGGGCGCGGAGGTCCGGAGCGCATGGGATGGGGACGAGGGGACGGGGACAGTGACTGCCGTGCTTCGTGGTTTCTTCCGCGGGGAAGCTGGACGGCTGGGTGGGTGGTCTGCACAAATGTAAAATTAGATCCATCGCGCTGTTGGCAGTGCACTGTGTAAAATAAAGACTAGACACGCATATATGCGCCAACGCTGCGCTCCGGCATAGCTTCACATCAGGAAAGTTGATAGCAAGATGATACTCACCTCTTTTCGCGGCTTTCCTGGGGCTAACAAGAACACATTCTACCAACCCAAATAGAAATTAGCCCCGATCTTAATGTCCCGCCCAGCCTGTCGGATATAATGAAGCTCACCCATTAACTCCCTCATTTTTCTCGCCCCCTCTCCCTGCAAACGCGGCGCCGGGAGACTGTTCGACCGCCTCCGTGTGACAGAACGCGTCGTGTATGGCTCCTCATCTGTGTCTGGGATCGTTACGATTGTCCGCTTAGGCTTGCCAGGAGCAGATCCTGACGCGGAGCTCGGTCTGGGAGCCATGGAATCGAGGGATAAAACGAAAGCCAGGGTCCAAGCCGTAACCTCTGAATCCTATGGTGCGGATATCGCTACCAAGACGTTTTAGCAGGAAAGGACGCGACGCGGGAGGCACGAACGCTTCATGCACATTGCTGCAGCGTGCAGGGCAAACGTCTACTTTACAGTATTTTGAGTATTTCAAATTTCCCGATCGCGTCCTTCCTGATTGCAATTGCCTCCGACTCGACCTGCTCCTGTATGCAGTGCTCTCCATCAGCATCATCCGACTCCATCAGCCGCGAGTATACCGTGTGCGATCCTTTATATATACGTGCATTACGCGCGGTTTACAATACGTGGTACAATAAATACAGGTTCCTCCGTGTCCGTCTACAAGTCATGTCGCGTCGTGTCAGTGATCCATCTACCCACATATAACCACAGAATAGTCGTGAGACCGCGGGGCACTAAGCGTACCCCTGCATTTCCTTCTCTTTCTTAAGTTCTTCTTTTGCTTCTTGCACGGTCCCCAGGCCCGGCAGGACGACCTTGAACGTCCCCCTTTCGGCAAGGAGCCTCCGGACCTGCAACGCAATGGGAGCCGCCGCAGTCAGACACTGCCCAAAATACGTCCATAACGCATGTGTACTCACCTGCATCTCAATCAGCTCCCCTACCTTGGGGACGTCGACCAATTTAGCACGGCTGCCCAACAGGGAGCTCGTTTTCAGCTTGATGGTGAACCCTCTTCCTTCACCGGACGGCTCCTTGAGCGGTAGCAGCACGCCCGAGGAGGCAGGCGACTGCGAAGGAGCAGGGTACGGAGGAAGGGAGATGGTCAGTGTGGGAGAGGGATGGCTGGGGATGGGGGCGGTGAGGGTGATCTGAATAGCGTTGCCGAGTTTTAGTGCCGGCGAGCGATCAAGGGAGGGATGGACGTACGGGAGACTCGAATATCACAAGCTCGATGACGAGGGATACGGGCAGGCGAGCGAAGCCGTCGAACGGGTAGTTGAAGAGGCAGGCGGTGGAGAGGGCGACGGAGATGCTGTCCGTGTAGGTCATATTGAAGTGAGCGGTGGCGGGTTGAGGAAGTGGCTGAGGCGAGCAAAGCATAAGCAGGATATCTGAATCAGAGACATGGAATACGAACTGCTGTGCTGTCGAGTTTTGATTTGGACTTGGATACAGATTTGCTTGTGGCTGCGGTGGGTGGTGGGTGGTGAAGGCGAGCGGAGGTGAGTTTCGGGGCGGATGAGCCGAGGTTTACAGAGTGTATCTTTATTGCGTCCTAAACAATACATAAGAAGGCAACGTTAGGCCTATCGGAGGGCGGAGATGAATAGAGGTAACGTACTAGGAAGCCTGTAGGTCGTACTTTATTGGCGAATTCTTCTATACGTCTGCGTGCGACTTCGTCGCCTTCGGGACCAGAGAGGTCGTCTCGCAGCTTGGAACGATAGGTCTGGATCACCTGATGACAAGCACGTAGTTCCAATATGAATGTATCCACGCGTGACGCAGCTATCGCCACATACCTGGCTGAGGAGCATATTGAACCACTCCGCCGACTCCTCCCCATCACCGCCCTTGCCCTTGGCCTCGCCCCCGCTGGTTGGTTCACCGTCCTCTGCCACCTGTACCACCTTCCGCGGAGCAGGCTGGAAAGAGTGCTCATGGCTCGCGGTCGCGTCGAAGAAAAGGTACTTCAAAATAAAATAAATCAATAGAAGGATAGAAACTTGGCCGATGACGAGGCCCTGCGTGAAGGTGGGCTGAAGGGTGAATATGTAGTTTGAAGAGGAGCCCATGGCTAGCAAGGCAGCATCGGGCGGGAGAAACGAAGCGGGGAGGTGACGATGGTCGACGGCGACGGGAAGGCGCCTCAGCAATGTGATTCTCGGATTGCCTTTCTGGGACGCATTGGGAGGAGTTAGGGTTAGGGTCTTGTTATCTTATCTACAAGCGTGAATTGTCGCAGCTTCGCCCACGACGTCCCCGATGGCTTTACGAGCCAACCATCCCGCCCGCCCCCACAATAATCGACGCTGTCCACGTTTACCCCGGAAGAACAGTCAATGGGCTCACTCTGGATCAGCGTTTTGCTCGACACCTATCGCGGTCACACGAAACCATTACTACTGTACGCTTCCAGCATGAAGCCTTAGACTGTCCGTGCTAAGCAGAAGTCCGAATGCAATGACTGGTCAGACGCAGAGATTATCCGACGCTCAACAACGGCTCCAGCCTGCCAGACGCGTATGGCATTATGGGGCATTAGACCATGACATTTGCAGTGTGAGGGTACTCAACGATGATACCATTGTCAAAACTCGCCACCCAAGGGACAACCCGTTCCCGGAGGCACTCGCGCTCCAGATCGTCCGAGACCATACATCCATTCCCGTTCGTCGCTGCCTGGTGAAGGACGAGGAAGCCGGGTTTAAGACCGGGCTTCTTGTTTTGGAAAAAATAGATGGCATCAGGCTTGATTGCCTTTGGCCTAATAGGCTGAACGTATGGTAGAGATTCAGACCAGGCCCCATCGGTGACAATGCGCAGCTTTGTTACGGACCCAAGGACTTGTTTGGCGACAGCGGCCTTGGGCCATTCAACTCAAATGCCGAATCTTGCGGGTGCTTCAACTCGATGCGGTGCTGTAACGTATACCCATCCTCAGAACGGCGGCATCTGGATGATCCAGAGGCTCTGGTATTAATGCACAATGACCTCGCCCCCTAGAACATTATCATAGTCGGGTGGGACGACAAGGTGGACTGGGGAATGTCCGGGTTCTACCCTGCATGGTTAGAGTATCTTTCAATGCTGGGCGGTCCCAGGCACGACCGTGCTCCTGAAAGCTGGTTCAAACAAGTTCCTTTAGTGACAGAGCACTTCCGGAGGGAGAAGACGTTTCTGTATTTCAACCTGGACCATTTTGAGCATTTTCCATTGACGCGCAAATAAAGCCTGAAAAAATCCACTAGGTACAGGTTCAGCATGTATGGTACATATGATGGGCATCCGTCAGTGTAATTAGATCAATGTAAAGTTTGAGTACAGTAGGGCTCTCTTATCCAGTGGCGGGTAACCCTGGGTAACCTTTGTGGCTGTCCGACAATTGTCCGATTCCATGGATGAACGCGACCCTGCGCATGCCCCGGTTGGCGCATATGTCGACTGGCCTTCAGCGCCCCTTACCCACCGCCTGGTCCACGACTCGCTCTCGCACCTGAACCTCGCGTTCACCTTCCTGCCGACCGTCCCCGCCAACCTCTCCTCGTCGACACCGACCCGCCTCCTCCAATGGGCCTCGTATGACGGCCTCAACCACGACCTCACGTTGACCGAGCCCTCGCGTGTCCTCGCGTCCTCGTACACCATCCGGAAGTGTTTGATCCGGAAGCACTACCTCAGCCACTGCATCTCGGCGTACCTCACCAAGCACCCTGACAGTATCCTCAGGTCGGGCACGCCAAAGACCTGGGAGGTCGAGATATCCTGGAGCGATGAGATCGACGAGAAGTGGACCGACGAGCTATGGGATTTAGGTGTAAAATTGGATGAGAACCAGGAAAAGTCGCCGGGAGAAAACAAGTGGTTCATCCTGAAACCTGGGATGGCCGACAGAGGGAACGGGATAAGGCTGTTCGACTCCAAGGAAGCGCTTCAATGCATCTTTGAAGAGTGGGACGACAGTGACGACGAAGACCCAGGTGGGTGCTCTCAAGATACAATACTCAAGACTTCTAGTCACAACTGATAGTAAAGAGGCTGTCAGGGATCCTGATCTGCAAGACGATGAGGAAGACTCGGATAGGGGCGTGGTTACGTCCCAGCTACGCCATTTTATCATTCAGGTGCGTCCTCACACCCGTGCCGCCTATATCATCACTGAAATCTAGATCCATGTTCAGGAATACCTAGCCCACCCCCTCCTCCTGGACCCCTCCGAAGTGCCCCTCGCGTCATCCGAGCCCGCACCAAAGCACAACCTCAAGGGCCACAAAGTCAGCCAACAACCTGCATATCCCGCCGACTGACGCGAACCCATTCCTAGTTCCACATCCGGGCCTACGTCCTCGCCCGCGGCGCCCTCCAAGTCTACCTCTACACCAACGCCCTCGCGCTCTTCTCCTCCGCTCCCTACGGCCCGCCTTCCCCCGCGCGCGACTCGACGGGCATCGACCTTACCCCGCACCTCACGAACACCTGCCTCCAGCCCGAGCACTCCGAGGCGCACGTCCGCACGCTAGACGAGCTCGTCGGGTGCTCCGTCCTCAGTGCCGATGGGGGCAAGGTCGTAACCCAGGAAGACGTCGAGCGCATCAAGATCCGGATGGGCGAGATCACCGCGGAGGTGTTCAAAGCCGCCCTCGAAAACCCGATACATTTCCAGGTCCGTCAGGCAGCTCTCCCCTGCTTGTACCCATGAACTAACTACCATACCGGACGTCAGCCGCTACCAAATGCGTTCGAGCTCTTCGGAGTCGACTTCCTGGTGTCCCACCCGACCTCGTCGGACGCCACGCCGTCGTCGTGCCCGTACACAGTCACGTTGCTCGAGCTGAACGCCGAGCCCGCGATAGAGATGACAGGGCCGAGGCTCCACTGGCTGCTCGAGGGCCTGTTCCGGGGCATCGGGAGGGTCGCTGTCGGGTCGTGGGTCGAACGACGGGATGTCGGAGAGGACGTGCGAGATATGAGGAAGGTGTTGGACGTGGAGGTCCGAGGACGAGGCGGGTGGTAATAGACGAGAGAGCCAAGACTGACTGGTTCGAATTTGGCACAACGACAATCCGGGCAGCAGCAGGTAGCGATGAGATCATAGACGATTTTGGTGGCGTACATAGAGCAGGGCTGTTTGTTCCGTGTGGTCACATAAAGGGGAGGCTGCAAATCACGAAAGCGCTTGCTCGCGCATGGATATCACCAATGAATAGCCAGTAGATGTGAGCTACAGTAGTCGAATAGATAGTACCCCAGAGATCTCCAATCCACTCCACACAAGAAATAGCAATGGATGGTAATCACTCGGAAGCTCTGCCACGTTTGAACATTCGGACGTGGCCCCCACAATCTCCACTGCCACAAGCTGTCAGAAGGGAACCGCTGCAAACATGTATCTGGACTTACAGAATCACGTTCGGGACCCCCTCCGCCGGGTCCCCGATAGAGAAGGTGCCGATATTGTAATTACTCTGCGCGATGATCTGGCCGTTCGATTTGCTATCGTCCGACTTTTGCATGTCCCACAATCGCACACACCCTAATTGGAGGACTCGTGAGCATCAGTGCTGAAAGTGAGAGACGCTACTTGCCGTCCGTGCCCCCGGTCGCTAAGAACAGGTGACTCCCGAAAACACTATCCACGAATTGTACCTGGGTAATACCATAGGTATCTTTCGCAACGGATGCCCGCGACTCCCCTTTATGCTTGAATCGATGCAGGGGTCCCCGGCTGAGGTATCGCGAGTCGTAGACATGGCACGAATCATCACTTCGGGCCACAGCAAGAAAGACGCCGTCCGGACTATAGACGGCTCTTGTCACCTCACCCTCCGCGTCAGGTAGCATCCCATTGAATGGCTCCAAGTCGACAACTTGCGCTGGCTTGCGGAATTCTCTATGCTGCACATCATACACGCGTAGACGGTGATATTCGTCTCCTTTGGCTGTGAACAAAGCCAGAGTCTTCCCTGCGGGCAAGGATGAGCTATGCCACTGAAGCCTCTAAGCATCTGAGGCTTACCTGATGGATCTATGACCATTGCGTCACCACACTCCGTGGCACTAAACCGTGGCTTGTGGCTTGGCTTGGCGATATCGCAACCGAAATGGATATGCACATCTGTTGCATTGCCAGACGGCGACTCTGACGATGCGAAAATAATAGATGAGGTGGGTCCGCGACCCCAGGTTATAGCCCCCGTCGAGTGCCCACGCTGTGCAAAGGCAAGCTGCAGGGTATCGGCACCCTGGTTCAGCGGATGATGCACCACCGTCAAGGTGCTAGTGATACGACTGATTAGCAGAAGTGGTGGCGGTCATCGCGCGGAACTCACCCATCATTACAAGCGACTGCGAGGTCACGGTGCCCAGGCCTAAATGCGATATCCATTGGGATGGCTCCGTCGAAGTCATCTTAGATGATTATCAGCAAGCTCTCACAGGTGCAGTCAAAGTAGTGACGAACATTGTGCAGCGAAGGGATGGATATAGTCAGTACGGTGGATGCACTGACATGATCGCCCTTGACCAGGTACTGCTTCATCTCCTCGATAGTGAACATGCTCATTTCCGTGGTCATTCGCTGTACCCCAGATAGCATCGATGTCCCAAATGCGCACAAAGCCATCATTGCCAGAAGAAGCAAAGACGCTAGGTGTCGGCCTGTCATAATGGTTAGGGGTCGTTAGTAAATGAACACGTGAGACTCACTCCGAAAGGTCCCATTGAATGTCATTGATAGTATACCATCTGTAAGCTTCAATATCATCAATTTAGGTATGACGCGTATATCATGCACAGCTGCATACTGTTTGGAGTCTTCAATACCTTCCTGTGGGCGTGCAGTTTGTGTACTACCCCATTTTGCATCAGCGGGTTTTAGCGGGTCATAAATGAAATTATGCTTACATTCACCATCACGCCAAAGGGTCAAAGCCCCATCGATATTCGAGGACGGCGGATTGACTTAGTCTCATTAGCATTCTCCTGAGAATTAATAATAGAAAAACATATTTACCAGGATCATCCAGGTGATCGATTCCTCCGCCTGGCACTGCACTACATGAGAGAACAATCCTGTTTGCTTGTAAAATCTTATTCACAGCTATCAGAGAAGTAGCATTCAGTGTCCTGAAGTACGTATAGAAAACGGGACCCACGTACACCCTGGAGTATCACAGATAGCGGTCGTCTCCTTGAGATAGTCCAAGCCGCTAAGTAGCCCGACTCCTCGCGATAGCGCTTGTAGTCTTCGACCATGGTTCCGGAGTTGTTGCAAGCCCGCAAAGAGAGGGGGGCCGTGGCGCGGAGGATATGCATATTTAGGGTGCATGGCCTACGATGTAGAGTAATGTTACGGCTGTGGTCACTCTATAATCCCAGAGAGCCAAACACTCACGCCAGCGCACGGATACGGGCGGTCGCCTGTCGGCTCCGGGATGTCAAGCGGGGGGACCTGCGCCCTTCCATGGTAGTCAGCAAACCCTGGTTGCGCTGGCTCTTCCACTGCGGAAAGGTTCTGGAATTCATCTGCCAGGTCGTCCAGAGAGTCGGGCCGAGAAATAAGGCTGACTGCAGCGGGCTTCCACTACAGTCGGAAGTGGACGTAGACCTGAGTACGATGTATTTACCATATCGATGTGAAATAACTCACAGAGGTGCCATGGATCAGGTGAAAACCGTCATGATAGTTTTCCCATTCATCCTCTTCCTCTTCGTCCGGTCCATGCGCTGGCAGGACTCGAGGTGAGCCATATATTGGCGAATCGGAACCTTGTGGTCCTACAAGCCCATCATCTGCCACGCCCTGCCTCGCACGCTAAATACAAGAGCGAAAGAGGCTTCAAAATGCATTCAGTCGACATCCTTTAGACACTTGCGCACCTTCGAAGTATGCTGTACCGTCATATCATCATCGGAATCATCGATAACAATACACAGGGGAGCTCCATTCCACCTTGGTTCGGGCCGCTTACGCTTTGAAGACTGCGTTCGTTGACTGCCAAATCGTAGAGGGGCGCTGTGCGGCGAAGCACCAGAGTTGAGACGCTTGGGCGGACGTGAGGGCCTCAGATCCTGGGATGCGACTCTTTTCATGCGTTCAACATCTGCCATCTGTGGAGATCGAACTTCAGACCCTTTGTCATGCGACGCAAAAAGAAGCCGCACAGGTGGCATTTGACCTCCAGCACCCTCCTGTACCTTCCGCAGGTCATTGGAAAGGGAATTTAAGCTATCCCTGGATAGAAGAAGTGTGAACACGGAGGGTCTATTGCGAAGGATTGTGTGAACGTACTCTCGCCCGTTGGAAAGGCTCGAAGAGGGCCTACCAGAATTTAATCTATCTTTACGCACAGATAACCAGGGTGAATGCATGCTTCCAACACGTCAAATCAGCTAGTTAGTCATTCGCATGACCTGCTGTTTACACACTGGCTCTGTTTGCTGCTTCCCTGAACAAATTCCTCACGGGGTTGGAGAAATGTTTTAGGTCTATGTTATTGAATTTCAGTCTATAATCATGGCAACAAAAGCCTGGCCTCGAGCGCGACCTTTTCCCGCTTCTATTAGCACTGTCCGTATCTACACTAGCAGCGGAGGAGCCGATGAGTGAGAGAGTATTCCTGAGTTTGATTAATGAACGCACTCAATTACGCGTAGGTCAAGCTGCGGTACACTGATTGGATCCTCATCCGAGTCAATTGTCAAGTCGATTTCTTGACGCTGAGCACGCCGTGCAGCTCTTCGGCGGGTGAGCTCCGGCACCCGTTTGCGGGGGATACGCACCTTGACGACTTTGACCTCTGGGTCGGGGTCATCATCATCAATTTCAATGACGTTGGTGGGAGCCATGTCTGTGGCCGTGGGTCGTGTGGCGGGCGGTGCAGGCACGCAGCATATGAGGCGGGAATGGGCAGAGCGAGACGGAAACGCGCTTTGAACGCGTCCGATAGGGGCTTTCCGCTTGTGGCCACAGACGAATCCTCCCTGCCTGCGGGATTCCCGTCCACTTCGGTTGGGCACTCTCAGGAGACGCTCAATTCCCGTGGGTTGCAGGGAGGATTGATACTTTCTCATTTATCTACTGTCTCTTCATCTTGTTTCATTCCGGTCGCCAAAATGCTCTCATCCCGACACTTCGCTCGTCAACTGACACTTCGTGCCCAGCGATGGTCCTCCACATATGCCTCTATACCCAAGTTGAACCCAGTGACTGAAGAGGATCTGGTGCACTTCTCCAAAATCCTTCCTTCACATTCAATCTTGTCTACGCTACCCCCGAGCTCACTATCGTCGTCCGAATTGGAGCCGTACAACACAGATTGGATGGGTAAATACCACGGCACCTCTTCCACCGTTCTAAGGCCACGGACTACCAAGGAAGTGAGCGAAATAGTCAAGTATTGCAACGAGAAAAGAATAGGAATTGTCCCCCAAGGAGGAAACACTGGCTTGGTGGGCGGTAGCGTCCCTACGGGCCGAGGCGAGCTTGTCGTAAGCTTGGGTAGTATGAATAAGGTTCGACACTTCGATCCTGTCTCCGGTATGTGTAAAGTGTCTGATTCAAACGATTCTGCTGTTAATGATTATGATACCACTTCTTAGGTACCTTGGTTGCGGACGCTGGATGTGTCCTCCAGTCTCTCACAGACTATCTAGCTCCCCATAATCACATCATGCCAGTCGAGTTCGGCGCGAAAGGCAGGTATGTGTCCTTTCGGCCTGCAGGGAACTCAAGAGTAGCTTACTCTGGTATGCTTCAGTTGTATGATCGGTGGGAATTGTGCAACGAACGCCGGTGGTGTGAGGCTGCTACGCTATGGTTCCTTGCATGGCACAGTTTTAGGGTTGGAGGTGGTGTTACCCGATGGGACTATTCTCGATCAGCTGACGACTCTGCGGAAGGATAACACCGGTATGTTTGTTCTGTGGGAAATATGGTGAATGTTCATGTACCTCGTTCTAGGCTACGATCTGAAGCAACTCTTCATTGGCTCGGAAGGCACGCTCGGTATCATCACCGGTGTTTCTATCCTTACTCCTCCGGCTCCGCAAGCATCGTCTAATGCTCTTCTTGCTCTCCCGTCCTTCGACTCCGTTCTCCCTCTGTTCAAGCGGGCCAAGCGAGAACTATCTGAGATCCTGTCTGCGTTTGAGTTTATTGATCGGGGAGCCTACGACTTGTCCGTGAGACACGGTCAAGGGAGAGGAATGAGTCCCGAAGAAGCCGGAGGTGCGGAGTGTTTTGTGCTGATCGAGACAAGCGGTGGAAGGCGAGAACATGACGAGGAGGTACGTAGCATGCGGCATATTGTCAATCAGTAGCTCATTTCACAATAGAAACTCAGCGACCTTCTAGAACACCTATTGAGTGAAGACAAGCCTCTCATCAACACAGGCGTTCTATCCCAGGACGCCACCCAGTTTTCGAATATTTGGTCGCTCCGTGAAGGCATTACCGAGGCTGTATCGAAAGAGGGCAAGGCGTACAAGTACGATATCTCCATTCCACTGTCGGCATTTAAGGAAGTAGTGGATGCCACCAAAGATCGCTTGAGGGAGAAAGGTTTACTAGGGCCACACGCTGTTAAGGAGGTCGTCGGATATGGTCACATCGGCGATGGTAGGCCACCTGCTTCCATCGTTGGAGAGTATATTGACGGACCTTGCAAAAGGTAATTTGCACTTGAACGTGGTCGCCGCAGCATATACGTCGGAAATAGAGGCGGCGCTGGAGCCTTTTGTCTACGAGCTCGTTGGTCAGTGGCATCCCAGTCCCGGCGTGAGGCCCTCTAATTGCATCTGCTAGGCAAATACAAGGGTTCGATATCGGCAGAGCATGGCTTGGGGGTGATGAAAGCGCATGCCCTACACTATTCCAAGAACGGAATCAGTATAGAGTGGATGAGGAGAATCAAGGACCTCTTCGATCCGAATGGGATCATGAACCCAGGCAAAGTTCTGCCGCCGGCCTCAGGGGCATCTCACGAGCCCTCGTTGAAGAATACGGGATCTGGACGTGTAGCATAGGCTCAGGATGTATCATTAGTTCTATGCCGTCGAACGGGGCATGCACACGATGTAGAAAAATGATTAAAGATGGACGTTAAAATGTGCTTCGTCAGTGGCAGAAGGACCAACAGGGACAAACAACCCTAACCAGACTGAACACCCTAACCTTATTTGCTGTCCACTGCAACCCGACCCCAATCACAGCCCGCATTATGGCCAATAGCGTCCCGCCGACGCAGGTAAGCTCGTCGTCGTCGTCTACCTCGCTCTGCTCACCGGTTCCGGTATCAGCCATCTCAGGTTACCGCTCTCGAGAAGATCTTTCTGGATAGCAATGGTATCGCTACCAAGTTCTTCATACAGAAGGATATCCCTCCGCAGACGCAGGCTGAGCTTGTAGACGCCATTACGGTACGTTTTGTCTCCTTCGACGGCTGAATCGTAGTTGACCTTGCATACAGCGAATGGGTGGCAGGGTAGAATCGAAAGTGCCTCGGGCGGGCTTCATCCTCACATTACCTGGTTCACCGGAAGAAGAGCGGCTGCGCTTGTGCTGGCTGACAGCGGATCGACCGGAACGGTACTTCGTGCCTTGGACATATGTGGAGGCGTGTAGGGTGGCAGGATCGATGTTGAAACAAATATTTATTCAAAATGGAGAACCGATCAAATTCCACATTCATCCGTCTATCGCCAACGTGAACGCGAGAACAGCGTTAGCGCAGCGTATCCAGGTATGTCACCCTATCGATATTCTCCTGCTATCCATGCTTCCCTACCATATACGCTACCCTGAGACGTGTTAGTCACTGTCCTATGTGGCTGACTACCCTACGCTCTGCCAGCATTCCGGTGGCGACCCCAATGCCACACAACAAGACGCCAGAGTGATTCTGGCTGATCCCAATACGGAGGTGTTTGATCACTTGGTGAAAACATATCAGGGCGTCCCTGAAAAGTACATTGAATCGTACTTGTGGGTCAAAAAGTGTGTGGATAAAGGTGGTGTATACTATACACCTCTAGTGTACAAGAATCCCGGAGGTAGACGTCCTGGGGAAGAGTAAGCGACTCTCCTATTAGCGGTACTGGCTATCGTGGATTGCTAATGAAACTTGATATCAGACGGACGCAATTCAATGACGAAGACGAGGAACACTTGTGCCGATGGATAGCGGCAAAGATACCTTACAAGGAGACCGGCGGCCGTACAGGTAACCGACTATACCAACAACTCGTCGAGCTGGTACGTCTGGGTCTCGAGCCGAGCATTGCGTTTGTTGATATCGCGTCAGTCCAGTGACCCGGAGTACGCTTGGGTCCAACGGCATACGTGGCAGTCATGGAGAGAACGGTACAAGAAGAACGCGGATCGTCTCGATGCTATGATTGCAACAATCGTTGCCGAGACAAAACCCCAGCTGGGTGAGAAGGGTCAATACGGCTATGTTCGAATGCCGGAGGAGAAGCCAAAGCGAGATCGGCGGAAAAAGAGGAATCCGGCCGAACTGACAGTAGGTCTCGGGGGCGCTCCTGCTGAGAGCCGAGTAGGAAAGCTGAAGCCTCAATACCCGCTGGTCCCTGTGAGCGGCCGCAATGATCATGGACAACCATACCCTCAAGCGCACTTGCACCCTGCCCCTCAGGATAATCCGCACATTCCTGTACTCCCTCATCCTCCGCCATCCCCACCTCACCTACCGCACTTGCCTCCTATTCGCCAATTTGATTCAGCTGTGGACTACCTGAACCTGCCAGTGCTTCCGCCTAACGGTCCCAATGCTGTGAACGGGGATAATGGGGTGAACGGAATGAACAGCAATATACAGGCGCACGAGAATCGCGAACAGGGTAATATTGACCCCAATCTCGATCAGAATCAAGAGGGCGCCAATGCTGCTCCTGCTATCAATGGTAATGGCGAATATGATTCAGATTTCCCAGCCATCCGCATCGGTACCGCCCCTCCTCCTCCATGGGCCTTGCAGAAGCGACGATACAGCGATGGCTCCGAAGATGAGGAAAGGGCTAAACGGTATAGAGCGAAGTGAGTGTTGCGAGCTGTAGCTCCTCCTTCCGTGGCTCATGCTTTCGTTGTAGCGACGCAGCATCCTCTGGCAAATGCATGCTACGGGCCAATTCTCCTCGGTCATTCCCCAACGGCCCTTTGCACGTCGTGGACCAGGCTATCATGGACATCGCAAAAGAATCAAGGTTCACTGTCGAGGAGGTACAAGAGTTCTACGACAAGACCGGACAGATGGAGGCCACTCGGGAGCGGTTCATGAATATGAGGAAAAAACTGCTTGAATTATTTGGATGACCTTTGTCTGCGCGTATATATCAGGGATGTTGGACGTCTTGCTTCCCTCGTCGGTGTGTTTATAGCTTCATATCTATTTATCGCGACTCGAGCCTGGTCCTGTGTATATTTTGCATTAATGTGTAGCTGGCTTCAACCCTACCTATACGTAATAGTCCTTGGTATATCTTACGAATTCAATGACATATCAATAGTATCGTCTTGCACACATGGCTCATCCACCAACGTCAGGAAAGATCAAAGTCGGTGATCAATTTATAATCAGCCAGGCGCTGCGGTGCTGAGGGGCTCTCGAAAGGTTTCCTGCGTCTGTGACAGTGGTAAGTACATACTCCTGACAAGGTGAATCCGACGCACTTCTCCCCAGCTGCCGCAGAAGGGAACGAACCGAAAAGATCGGGGTGCTTCGGCAGTGGTGACTCCCTATGAAATACCGGTCAATCACGACGACGAGCCAATTGTAAAGCGACGTACTTGAAGTACGGGTGCTGTAATGCTTCCTCTGCCGTGATCCTCGTTTCCGGGTCGTAAGTCAACATCTTGCTAAGCAAGTCTAGCCCGGCATTGGTGAGATACGGAAATCGTTGCCTCAGAGCAAAGCCATACGGCTGTTGCGGGGGTAAGGTGATACTTTTCGCCAGGGGTAGAGTGGTATAATCCGGCCACAATGACGGTGTAGGCGGCCCGAGAAGTTTGAATATCATGGAGATGAGTTCTAACTCAGATTTCGCTTGGAAAAGCGGCTCTTTCAGGAGAAGTTCGGCAAAGATGCACCCGACAGACCAAATGTCTATGGCAGTAGAGTAGGTGGTGGCACCCAGCAAGATCTCAGGTGCACTAGGAGACATATCGCAAATGGTCGCTTTACACAATAACTGGATGCTCACCGGTACCAGAGCGTAACAACCAGTTGTGTTAGGCCGCCTACACCCACGGGATCCCCGTATCGTCTTGCGAGACCGAAATCTGCTACTTTAATGGTGCCTCGATTGTTCATCAAAAGATTGCTGGTCTTGAGGTCACGGTGCAAGATCCAGTGGTAGTGACAATGCGACACAGCTGACAGCAATTGAAGCATAAGAGTTTTGATTTCAGATTGCAAAAAAGGCGACGGCATTAATGTGATCAAAGTCTTGAGATCATGTTCAATGAAGTCCATGACCACAAAGACCCTTGCACGGGAAGTAGATGTGGCAAAGAGGTATATTGGAATTTAGCTAAGTAGCCAGACAAATTATGACACGTACTGCGTCAATGTATCGCCAACTACTACTTCCCGGATATTGACGACATTTTCATGTCGACAGGCCATCAGGGCATTGACCTCTCTTAATGCAGTGATAGGAAACCCATGCTTCTCTTCGTCCAACTTCAGCTTCTTCAGGGCAACGATATCTCCCGTCTGCTTGTCCCGTGCTCGAAACACTACGCCATAAGAGCCTTCTTCAATTTGGTTTAGTCTTTCATAGTTGTAGACGGAACGGGCAGGCTTTATGGGAGGATAAAGCGACCTCGGAGGAGCGTACACACTGTGAGGAGGTCGAACCGTAGAAGTAGACGCCTTCAACGGTGTTCGTGAATGAGGCGGGGGTGTATGAGAAGACTCGGATAGTCTAGAAGAGCGTGTCTTCGACTTGGACCGCCGTTTTGGAGGGCGAGGTTGTCGAACTTGTAGAAGCTGGTCGTCATCCTCGTCGGCATGCTGTTCCCACCGAGATCGCTTTCGCGACGGCGTAGACGATTCAGCCACATCCGCCATAGTCGAAACTGTGTAAGCCTTGTCTTGAACGAAGCAGCTTGTCGGAAGTGGGGCATAGGAAGGTCCATCTCACGGTCCCAGTCTTAGCGAAAGCCGGAGTCAGCCGAACTCAGTCCTCTCGGAGATCGCGTATGGAGTTTCAAGATCTGTCTGAACACGCTACCCAATTATTACTTGCCCTATATTCATCCAATAGCTGTCATGGATCCCCTGATTGAGGATGGACAGGTAGCGCAGCAGGTTATTCGTCTGTTGGGGCAAGACGTCCTTCGAATGAGGACGGAATTGGAGGAGACCAAGAGGGTGCCTACCGTTCTCCAATTATTTCTTTGGGGTTATGAACGGACTAACGCCAGTCGTTGAATAGCAACTACGGGCTCAGAGCTCTGTCACCACAGAGGTTCTTCCTGACCAAGACGCACGGGGAGAGCTACAGATAGCGAGGGACGAAATTGCCCGCTTACAAGCGCAAATCGCTCATCTCTCTCGAGCTCTGAATGATCATCGTTCAGGCAATATCAATGAAGAGCGAAAGCCTGATCTCTCCGCATTGGACACTGTACGGGCATGATCGATGATCCCCTGATTAATCCAGTGACTCACGAGACATTGTGGCTTAGCTACAGAGCGAAATCGACCATCTAACTGATATTATCGCCAGAAAGGAGGCCGGCGAACAAGGCCATGTGAGATTATGCCGTATTAGTTCTTAACGACGTAGGACCAACTTGATCCTTAGCTCGAGAAGATCTCAACCTTGCTTCGCAAGGTTGTCAAGCTGCGTGACAAGTGCGAGCGTTATAAATCTTCCCGCGATGACCTGCGAGCCGTAAGTCATCCCTTCAATAAACGGTCCTTGATACCTACTTGCCCTAATAGCGCCTTGCTGAGGCTTCAACTGAACCTTGCCAGGATGTGAGTATATACTGACTCTGCGGCTGTGCCTACTAAGAATACGGTCATGCAGGTTATCCCTTCTTGTGAAATGGACGATTTTCCCGGAAGCTTCCTTCAAGAAGATCCGCCTTTGTCAAATGCAGATCCCCCACGCGTCGATATCAAATACATTTGGGAAGGGCCAAATTTCTTGCTGTCGAGGGTGAGTAGTCGTCCATTAAAGAGTACCAATATCCAAACAATGCCTACCCTCAGAGACAGATGCAGTTATGGTATGTCTGACGTGAGATCCGGCCCCGAGACAACGGTGATTGACTCCTCACTAGTACTTCAAGAGACATCTTCCAGCTTCGAGTCAGATTCCCGGGAATTCTATGGCCCAGTAACTCGCGGACTACTCACGGTATTGCTTTCAGGCCCTCGCACAGGTACAATCCTGGTACTGGGGTTAACGGATGGGAGCAGTTTGGCTTCACCGGCCACGAAAAAGGCCACAGATGCGAACTCCTGTACTGCGAGGAAGAGAAATGGTTCTACTTGGGTACCTATGAACTCGTCGGCTTAAAACGGCTCTCGTTGGAGAGCGTTCAAGCGATAACCCATAACGACGTCCGTAGCCGTGACATACACTCACACACAGCCTACAACTTATCTTTGATCCCCAGACGAAGGGTTACATGATGAAGCAAACGGTCGTCTCCCCCGAACTGGTGCCGCCATTCCTGCACGGCATGCTTGATAGTATGTATGATACGGGAGCCCTCATGATCGAGGCTGCGGCACTGTGTCGGGTCGGCTTCAACCAACAGTTGTATCACGCTGTTTTGTCCGCTCGGAAAAATCCCCGCAAGTCGAAGGAAGGCGGAAACGCCACGGAAGCAAGTCACAAACGGGGGGTCGAGGAAGTCGAGAGCGACCAAGATGAGCATCAACCTGCCGCAAAGAAGAAACGAAACAGTCGCGGCAAACAGGTTCGAAGGCCGCCTACTAGTATCCGAAGCAACTCAGCACAAACGAGTACTCGTATCCTGCGCACCCATCACTATTTCCGATGCTGATCAATCTGCTGGCGTCGTAGTTATCTCATTGCCATTTGCTTTCGTTGCCGCTTTGCGCACTTCCTGCTATCTCACTCCCTATACACTGTACCAAAATCATCTTGGACATCTCCAGCTATCGTCGCTATCTGCTTCTACCTGCATTGCTGTACATGACGTCTATCTCTTGTTTTATGATCTTGTTTGCTACCATCTGCCTCCTTTGTCTGTCTTATTGCATATAGATATACTTTCAGGTGATGCTGTGGGCAGTGTCGAGGACATATTTACGCAAACTAACATTGCGACCGAAGAACGAGGTCCATGCAACTCAGCAGTACGCGAGGCTGAATTCGAAGTGCCGCGCATCGTGATATATTTCAACATTTGCTTCGAGAAATGTACCGGAACATCGAAAAGTGCATTCAACTACGATTGGGGATAGTGGAAGCTGGACATGTAGATGAACCCGGCACAATATAGGCTTTAACTTTGACCTCACTGCACCATATACGGATAGTGAGAGAGGGTACCTGAAAGCCGAGCAAACAGTCGCGTGGTCTAAGTTGGAGCAGCCCATGTTCCCCAGGTTCACTAGAAGCATGAGGAACTCCGACTGAGACGGACGGGACAATATCGCGCATAAATCTTGCGCCGGGAAGATATGATGTATCCCCACAGATGCATAGCGCATAGAAGAGCCCCCTTTGGGCGGGAACCTGCAAAGGGAGCGGAGAAGAGGAACAGTCCTTCTTGGCTACACATTGACCTCAGCAGGTCGTGGGGATGCGACCTGAGAGGCTTCGATAGAGCCGAGCTCTCGCGAGCGAAGTGTGTGGAGATGTAGCGGCGTTGACGTACTTGAATTCGGTGATACATCTGGTATACATAGGGGTACACAAGTGGGATCTGTCAGAAGCCTACGAACGGTACTCAGTATGGACATGTGAAAAAGTAATGATGGAACATACAGCAGTCACAATCAAAGGGACATAAGGGGGTATCTGCAACCAGATCAGCGCTAGACAGACACCACGGTCTTGATACTGACCGCCAGCTTCGGCAGATATGCCCAGCTCGTCTTCGTTATATATAGCGAATCCTTCCTCCGTTCTCCGACCTAGGCGGCCATGTTAGTCGTCACGCATAGGTGAGCAACACAAAACATACGCGGCCCAGTTCCTCGAGAATCTCGAAAGCGCTCTTCGTCCTCCTTTTCATCGCCTTTCTTGGACTTTTTTTGCTTGGTCGCCTCGAGAGCATCTGTGCCTTTCCTTTCCACTTTAGGTCGTTTCGCTGGCCGTGCTTCCACCTTGGATGAGGTATCGACTATCGTCTGGGGGAGACAGCGTTTCAAAGATGCCTTGGGAGGGTCGTCAATAGGATCATCAGCCGACTTTACAGCTTCCTTGTCTTTAGACTTTTTCTTGTTTTTCTTTTTCTTCTCCTGCGCGGCAGAGGAAGACGCGACAGGAGCCTTGGACTCAACTTTCCCTTTGGAAGCAAAGATGTCGTCTATTTCCGACTTGGCCATAAGCAGACACGCAGTTTAAAGGATAGACATGGAATGAATGAAGCAGAGAAAGACAAAACGCCAGAAATTTGCCGGTGAAATAGCATCATGTGACACGGCAGAACTTCCTCGGGACCGGGTCACGTCACGACGAGAGTCCGGAGCGTGAATTCTCCTTTATTTCAGCGGAGCATGTCCCGCCTGACGGCGGTAATACGAGTGCTGGCATGGTTAGACTACGCCTGAGAAGTACAGAAAATATAGCACAAGTGAGCAACAATAGCGATGGGAGGAAAGCGCCCGTGGCTGTCGGAACCGCGCGCGTCGTGGGCGCAGCGGCGGTTGGAGCGCGATATCAAACAAGCAACCGGCCGAGCACGTCCAACGCTCGGGAAATACATCGGCGGTCTCGTTTCGAGCCGCTGTATGCGCCATGCTGTGAGTCGCTACGCATGCCGAGTCCCCTTCCCTTCTGAATGTTCTCTCGTTTCTGCCACCAAGACCGCACAATGGCCAGCGTCCCCCCTCCCAGCATCAGCAGGCCGTCCCCTTTCTCCAAGGCTCGCCCTCGCACAACGGTCAGGAGGGCTCCCAGTTCTACAGCCTCGATCCCTCGGCTGCCGCCAAGCAGATGGCCGCGCTGAACGCAGCCAATTTAGCCAAGATGACCAACCGGTCTGCGCCAGGCGGAACCTCGGTTCCATTTCTCGGAACATCTTCGATAAACCAACCGAATCTCCTATCACGTCCGGATGCATCATCCTCTGGTCACGACCCAAACTCAATATCCAATCCCACTATCCCTCTTTTCAATCTTCAGGCACAGCCCCATCATGCTACTTCCCCTCCAAACAACACCATCTTTCCTGGTACCCCGGATTCCCAAATGACGCAGCCTGGCCTTCCCCCGCATGCAAATGCTCTCATGCTGCAACAGCAGCAACAACAGAAACGCCGTAACTTCCTCCAGTCTCTCGCCCATGTTCATAACGTTCGCAACGCGCCCTTGCCGCCCGCCCTCACTGGCATTCCCTCCGCCAACTACGACCCTTCCACTTCACCCTGGAAGGCGCTGGACATCTCTTCGAATGATGTTGGTGTAATTCGAGTGGCTGGCAGAGACGTTGATCTCTTCAGGTTGTGGACGGCGGTCAATGGTGCAGGGGGTGCTCAAAAGGTGAGCTCGTTCATTCCTTACCCATTACATGGCCCCTCTAGCGTTTGTCTCATGGTCTCTTTCACCAAGCTGACCGAACAAAACGGGTGGTCAAGTATCCTGTCTTATATCGGCTTGCCGGAGCAAATACCCGCTCCTCAGTCACCCCAGGGCCATCAGTTCGTCGCCCCCATGCTAGCTCAGTATTACATGGCGCTCTTCTCTGCCTTTGACGAGATTTACAAACGAAACGTCCAAGTTCAGCAGCAGCGAGGTTTTATGGCAGCACAAGCTCAGAGCCAAGGACGAGGCCAGCAAGTTGGACTGATGTCTGGAATGAATGGCCAACCTAGTCGGATGCCCCAGCCTGGTATGGGTATGCCCTCCCAGCCTGGAATGCCGAGCCATATGAACGCAACGCCAGGTGGATTGCCACCGAATCCGGGAATGAATATGATGGGCATGATGGGTCAACAAACCAATGGTCCCGCTGCTAGCCCACCGCACCAGCCCAGTGGGGGAAGCATGCAGTTCCCGCTTGGCCAGGGAATGCCGCATACGCCACGGCAGCCATCACAGCCGCCCCAGATTGGTCCTTCCATGCAGCCTCCGGATACTAGACCCGGTTTAAGTACTATGATGTCGTCAGAGTCTCTGGGAGGCGCTGCACCTGCCGCGGTTGGCCTCGCGTCACAGCAGCTTGCCGGGGGACTCCAAACTAACGGGCCACTTGCCGCCAGTGGCTCGGGCCTTAGCCAATCATTGGACGTGAATTTCTCCGCTGACTTCGACGGCGATGCTGAGGGAAGAAAGCGGAAGATGCACGCTGAAGAGGCTGACGGGAAGCGCGTGAGGCAGAAGACAGGTTAGCTTGGCCTGATGTTTCATTTGTTGTGGGAAACGAACTAATGGTAATGTGATGTTTCGTCAGTGGGCCTGGAAGATCCTGAATTGCGTTCGGTAAGCTCCACAGCGCTTATAGAATGAATAAGAGTTCATTGTCCCTTTTGTGTCACATTTCTAGGACCCCTTGCCGTCAACAAGCACGAATAGCTCAGCAGGTATGCCTGTACCGCCGCGGGCTCGTCAACAGCCGTCAAGACGAAAGATCGAGTATGTGCCATATCGCAGGGAGCTGGACACGCACGGCGGACGTGATCTCAAGCTGATCGAAGAAGAGCTGCAGCGAGCAACACGCGGCCGTGGTATTCGGGATATCAACGAATGGGGCAATGTGGACATCGAGGCCCTGACGATGTCCCTGCGCTCGCGTCTGACCATGGAGCTCTCCTACGCTCTGACGACCTTGACAATTCTATCCATTATGAAGGGTCAAAGCTCTTCTACTGGTTTTCCTATCTACCAGTGCCCAGATTTGGTCGAGGAGATCTTGGATCTTTTGGAGGACATGGCCTTCGACGGCAAGCCAGAAAATGACGATGAAGACCTGCCTGATGACGACGTCCGTATTGTTACGCACCGTGAACTGGTGAAGATGGCGGCCTCGGAAGGTTCACAGCCGTTCGTAGCGCTAGAACCTAGGCAGGGGGCAAAGGACGACTCTACGGGGCCCCGCCAGCGTCCTGGAGACATCATATTGACAATAGTCAACATCTTTCGCAACTTGTCTATGTATGCCGATAATCATGCCTTCCTTACACACAGCAGGTTATACGGCTTGCTGCTGCGCACCTGCTGTTTAGCGCGTCCAAAGAAAGGCTCCGGCATTTCACGTTTACGTCCTGCATCACCCGCTCTCTCTCTAAGCGACTTAGTGGTCGTACGGAAAGACGTCTTAAACATCCTACTGGGTACGGCCGGCCTAACGCATTTCGCTGCATCGAGCATACCCCCCACAGGACAGGAATTGCGCAACGCGAGGAGAACCTTCGATCTGCTAACGTCGTTCTTGATAGATCCGACTGAAGCTGTCACACCCATGACCTGGGTGCTGCAAGCCGGAGAACCTCCGAGGGGAAGTCCGAAGCCTACGCACCTAGTGGACGTAGCTTTGGATACTTTCACGAGGATAGCGTTGCCCGACTCCAATCGGCAAGTGCTGGCTCAGGCCGTACCGCAGGATTGCTTGTGGCGCCTGTTCGAAGCTCTCATACATCGGCTGCCTGTAACGAACGAGGACTATCAGCAGATCAATCGAGACCCAGAGATGTGGTTGAGCTACATAGAGAAAGCGCTCCTTGCGCTATACTGTGTGGCTTTCATGGCATCCCCTGACATGAAAAAGCGAGCGAAGAGCGATCGAAGCCTTGGATTCGCGAAGATCCTCATGAGGCTGGTGAAGCAATTTATAACTTGGCAAGACATACCGACCCGTGTTTGGTTCACGGTGAGCGCGCGAAGGGCCGTGGAGACCATGAAAATCGTGGATGATGGCGAGGATGCCTTCGACACGTCAAACTCTTCCTCGACGCCTGTCTTGGCCTTCGGGATGGGGTTCGCAGACTCAGGGGAGGTGCGCATAGAGAAGGGAACCGGCTTGCTGGGTGGTTACCGGGAAGAGATGTTATGGAGTGTGATGAATCAGGAGGGAGTGCGGGTCGACGAGATTATGTTTCCCGAGCTGGACAGTCTCACTCGGGTGGGATGAAACATGGTCTGTTATATCTGATCTACTGCGGTCTTTGATAAAGGACTTTACTATGTATGAACCTGTACTTTTGGCTAAATAACCGCGACTGTCGTGTCGACCCTGGGCAACCCGAGAGCTGTAAGCCCGTGAGGACAGCGTAAGAGTGACTGCTCGTGGCCTGACTTGGTCCTCACACCTTTTGCGGAAGTGTGGCTGTTGGGTGGGTGTGATATATATCTCGGCCTTGCTCCATACTGTCTGCCAACACCAAGCCTGTTGCATTTGTCCTGTGAATGCCTGGCTACGCGACGTTCTTCCGCTGAAAATGTCGAGTGATACGTCCGGCGCACCGCCCCTCTACTCTGCTGAAGACGCCTCTAATGCTACGGATGATGGACTCGGAAATGGCCCCGACATTCTCATTATTCCTGTCTACAACTCCGTACATTTTCAGAGAGGATATCTTGGTGCAGATGGTGAAACCGCTGCCATGGAAGGCGAGCTGCAGATGAAGGGCATCGGGTCGGGTCGATGGGATAGAGTGTCAGTCAACATTCTATACTACTGCGATCCAGCTAATACTAAAATGTTTCCTAAGGACCATGTCTCTACGAACGACGGAGTCCGCGTTCGAGAATACGATTGAGCTAGGAGCCACTGAGATCACACTGTTATCATCGTCGTCTGCGCCGGATTCCCAGTGGCCGTCATCTATCCCGTTTGCTATTCCTCTTACCCCAGATGCACCGCAATGCGTTCATACGCATCATTCTTCCCTCTCCTACACGCTAACAGCCACGCTGCATTCCGCGACTTCTTCACAGCCGAATATCTCCAAGTCTCTTACTATCCATGCGAGACGTTATACGCCCCATACTCTCCGTCTGGATGTGTGCCCGCGCACGGTGAAGGCCGATGTTCCTACTCACGTTGAGGTACAGGTGCCGCGCACTAGGTATAAAGCTGGCGAGCCGATACCTCTATATGTGACAATTCCTCCCCCAACCCGAGAGTTGGTCGTCGACCTGGGCGTGCGGCTTCGCAACGTGAAGGCAGAGCTGGTCAGAATCATCAAGGTCCTTCGACCAGAGCGTGAAGATGAGGATGAAACCACAGACTCGGACTCGGATGTAATGGTGGATGATGATGCCGACGATGACCCTATCCCATCTACCTCCAATGACAAAGGCTCAGATTCGCATGCTGTCCCATCGGACAGAGGCATGCATACTGAGTCCTACCGAGGCTCTACACATAGAACTGTCGTTGCCAAGTCCGGGGCGCCCTGCCGTTTCCATTCGAGCCGTCCTATCCGGTTGCGACTAGTTTTGCACCACTCGAATCTCTCAAGCTCCCCAACGCAGACTTCCTCCGACATAGCCGCCGGTGCCTACCCTAATTTTGATAGTGACGCCGCCTGTGCGTCAATCACCCAACATACCCTGCTGCATTCTGTCACCTTCCGACTTCGCACGCAGGTGGCGTTTGTGGATATGGCTACTCATACGGAGCGAATCTCAACAATGTCTGTCCCAATAACCATATTGCCTCCTTCTGCCCCTTTGCCAGAAGTGGACGACGATATGAGCGATCAGTATCATAAAAAGCACGATCGCCCCCCCGCAAAGACTGTGAGGCATGACGACGCGGATGACCATGCACCACTCTACGACCCCGGAGGAGCTGGTCCCAGTGGTTTGTCAACTGGTGCCCCACCTCCGTTCGAAGAGCGCGAGGCTCCTCCACCGTTCTTCCCTACTGAAGCAGAAGCATCGACGTCTAGTAGACTCCCGACATTCCTTGAGTCGGAGTGCGACTTGTTCGTCGCGCCTATGGACGATCCTTCTTTGTCCCCGTTACTACCGCCACCGCCTCTCGAGATCTTCCCCGGCGAAGGAACGCTTTTTGGTTTTCCTCCATCTGATCAGTTCGACGGCCACGCGGAAGATTTAAGACGCCCTGCCAGCCCACCTCCAACTCTGGAGATGGCCAGTCGGGATCCAGATGTTACTGGCTTAACCGTACTTGAAGAGCCCGAGCGAGCCATGGAAGCTCTGGAATTGGCTCTTGAGCAACACGAAGAGGCTGCCAGTAGACACGATCATGATCTTCCGCCGCCTCCTCCGCCTCTGGATGACCCATCAGATCCACCGCCATCCATAGACTCCGATTTTAGGTCCACTAGTACCTCACAACAACAGAGCTCTCATCCATCTGCGCCGACTTATGAACACCCACCTCCGGGCCTAGTATCGACCACTATCCCTGGAGCTGGTGTAGATCCCAGCGCACCGGCACCTGAGGAGCATGCGCCGCCTCCGTATCTTGTTCCTGAAAGCGTCACGGAGACTGAGGGGACTACGCGTCCGCCGCCTTACATGGATGTATTGCCTGATAGACATTAAGACGAATCAGTGTCCAGTGTATACTGTGTATAGACATCCGCTGTACCCCTATGTGTACAACATCCTACCTACGAATGGGAAAGGCACCGAACTGAAGGTCGGCCAATAAAAAGATACAATTAGAAGATGATAGGACAGAGCATATGTATGGAAAGTGAAACCGGACGACAGTGTACTGGGCGATGGCATGGCGTTCATGAACATAACAAGGAGCGATATAAGGATATATGCAATGGGTGACAATGCGATGCATCTAGCAATTGCATGCGTCTTTGCCCTTCGCAGCATTCTCCTCGAGATTCACGCCTCCCTCCTGCGCGCCGCCGGATCGGCCAGCAGCACCAGGTCGGCCGGTACCACGTGACGACGCAAGGATATGCTCGATAGGTATCTTCTTCGCTGTATATCGCAACTTAAGCATTGAGCAAGGGATCAGATAGCGATGTCAGGATAAAAAACACGCACCAATCTCGGTGAAAATCTCCACGACACCCTCACCGGTCTTAGCACTTGTTTCGAAAAAGAGCAATCCCGCCTCCTTCGCATACGCCTCCGCCTCATCCCTAGGAACCTGCCTCAAACTCTCAGGTTGTTCGGCGGCAGCAGCATTCTCCCCGGGTGTCGCAGTCGCGTCATCTGCTTCATCCTCAGACTCCACAGCAGACCCACTGCCCGATGCTGACGGCGATGGTTGCACCAAATCGACCTTGTTACCAGCAAGAGCAATAACAATGTTCGGGTTGGCTTGCCGCTGAAGCTCCTTCACCCATGACTTCGCCTTCTCTAAGCTGGAAGCTTTAGTCACATCGTAAACGACAACGGCAGCTTGTGCATTGCGATAGTACATTGGCTAGTGCGTCGAGTAATGCGTTTATGTAGTAATCCGTGGATTCGAGGTAGTAGGAGACTCACAGCTAGGGAATGGAAACGTTCTTGACCCGCAGTATCCCATATCTCGTAGCGGAGGACACGATCCTCGAGACGGCACTTCTGAGTCAAGAAGGCAGCGCCGATAGTAGGCTCTTTGTTGGCTTGAAACTCGTTTGAGACCTACAAATTATTAGCATCTCCACTGTAGGAACGTGGCGGGAGATACTCACAAACCGCAGGACTATCGACGACTTTCCGACCGCAGCCTCGCCTTCAATAAACAGCGTGTATCAGTCGCAGGCGCTTCGCATAATGCAACGCATAGTAGTAGAGCCTCGAAGACGCTGGACGAGCGATATGATCGAAACAGCCAGCGACTCTTCTACACCAGGGCAAGATGCACTATCAGGCGCAGTAGTTCTTACCTAGCAATACCAGCTTCACTTGTACAGACTTGTCTGCAGCTCCAGAGCCCGATTCAGCCATGATTCCTGAGGTAGAAGTGAGGAGGTACAGCGAGAGGAGTTGAACGCGATGGCAGGGACGAGACACTTGTGGTGCATTTGTTTGCCCCGATTGGCTTACGTACTGCGCACAACGGTGCCCGATCAGGGAACTGTGGCGGGTCCAAGTCAACCGAAGTATGCAAAGGGACGGGGGAAAACCACAGCTGCGCTGCTCAACAGTATTTACATTATCGATTACGAGTTACGGAGATACGGGTACGCTGCGAGGGCGGCGACATTACGCGCCGACGGGAGGCAGCTCATAGAATGGTCGGAGTTGATCACAAGTAACGAACACTCCGTCGTCGATCTCGACATCCTCTCCCAGGTCAAACACAGCCGGACACTGAAATGAAACAGGCGACCCGCCAGATGAGTCACCTGCCGAGGGGTTGGAGGATCCTGCGTCGCCTGTGATAGGGCTGGACGCATTTGGAGCGGTAGCCGAGCCAGTATTCGTGGTGTTTGAAGCGGCATCCGGGGGACTGACATCTGGACGACCGAGTTCCGGGAGTCCAAATACGTCCCAAAGGACAGACTGGTCGCGATGAGCCGCTGAATGGGATCGGAGACGTGCGCCAGGCGAGTTCGGGAGTGCTTGGGCCTGGTCGTAATACCAGAATGGTTGGCCCTGATAGTCCGGTACAATCCTGCGAAGAAAGGCTGCATATTTTCCTGACGGGTCTCCGTATGCTGCTGCGACAGCTGCAACATGTGGCGCCAACTCAGTGACGTCCTCGTCTTTGGGATTCTGAGCCATGGCGTAGTCCACCGCTGTTTGGATGGTAGCACCGTACTTCGACTTGGCTTTCCAGAAGTTCATCCCCAGCTCGTCTCCTAGTTTTGCGTTTGTCTGAAGTCCTTCTATGAGAGATACAATCGGTAAATGGGTAAAAAAAACTTACTATCATTGCTTCCAGATTGAAACATCGATAATGAAACGGACGCGTGCGGACGGCCTCAAATGGTTGCTCGCCGGATATTGCTATTTGGTCCGAGAATGTCGAGTTGAAGTACTTTTGCAGTACACCCTGTGCCCTCTGGAGATCCCCGACGTAGATGTTGGTTACCGCAAGCTGACTTATGTAGAAACTAGCATGATTACTAGCCATTCCAATCACAAATTAGTTGTGACGGGAACCGTTCGGAAGTCATCTGGAAGGGGACATACTTTGGCTTGCTAGCTACCTCCTTTCCAAGACTGCTAGTTTCCAGCCAACTTCGGTACTGCCCCATCCAATTCCGCATGGCTGCATGCTTTTGGTCGGTCCAGTGGGGGCTCTTTGCGTACATCAACATCGCAATTGCATTCACTACCTTGACCATGCCCCGCAAGTCGAGGATACCTGTAAAGGTTCCGATTCGTCCTTTGGGCCCCGGGCCTCGTACCAGTTGTCCGAAGTTGACGTTGGGATTAATGGAAGTCGCAGGTTCAAGAAAGAACGTATCCAGAAAGCTAGACGCTTGCTGGGAGAACGACTGGCCACCCTGAATGACGTAGGATATGGCGTTGTACAGGACGGACTGAGACATGTGTACCATTGACTTTGAGCCAGTCAGCGTCAGTACGTCTGGATTTACCTTGCCATCCCTGACAGCGTAAGGGCACGTCGTCCAAGCTGACCAACGAAGTAGTGATATATCTCGGCGAAGACCAGTGCAATAGACAAATGGACGTACTTGCACTCGGGGCCATATGGGTCGTAGGTGAGGGAGTGCACTTTGCAACGCCCCGCTTATCGTAGTTTATTAATGATATCGTAGGTGTGGCATTCATTGACTGGACCAAGTTGGGCGATAAAGAACGTGCTAGCGTCTCATTGACGGCGTTGATCATGGGCGTATTTCTCCCCACGATGTCGTCTACGCTGAACGCAGACCGACGCATACGATTCATCCGCAGTCGCCTTGGAGCTGGATCAGACCCACACGTCGTGAGGTTACTCTGCGAGTCTAGAGGAATGTCAGCTGCGGTAGTTCCACCATTGCGCAGGTATTCCTCTCGAGCTTGCTTAGCATTACACCAGTTGCAATCTGGCCAGTGACTTGAAGCGCATTAGTGCATTTGCTTGATCTTTCTGACGGCGGTACTTACTACGGAGCCCAGCTGAGGTAGTCGTGAGGATTGCCATTAGGGGGCAGCATACCCTGGGTGTTCGTAACAGCTACGATATTCAATGAGTCAGGCAGTATACACAACCATAATGGAAACATACTCCAGGGACCGCCTTTGGCAGTTTGCTGGGCCCCGTCTGAGATGCTTTGTCTAGCGTCGGAAGTAGCACGGTTGCTGCGTGCAGAACTATCGAATACGTATTCCAAGTTGACCCAATCATTTGGATCAGCTAGAGTGGGTGTGTCAGTGGACGTCAGCCATCAATGAATAAATGTCCACTACTGACCTGAGCTGGAGGCGATCAACGCCGCGAAGGTGGCGGTGGCAAGCAGACTGAGGATCATTTTCCCAAGAACTTGATCCAGAATAGACAGGCTAAGCGAGCGTAAGGTAAGCTTTACCAGTGAGACGGAGGAGCCGGCCTCAGTGAGCAGTTCGCCAGTTCCTGGAATCACTAAAAGGACCACCGGCTGACAGTCTGAACCGGCGGGCTCAGACTGTCAGCCGCAAGTAGTATGCCGAAACATCCTCTTGCCATGAGCTCCACCCATGCTATATGTGCCCGAGTAAACAGTAGTTTGAAGTTCGTCTCCAACTGAGGTCACGGTGGGCGTCTGCATCTTTCGAAGATAACTTTGTTCAGCCGTCTGGCCGTGTCCGAGGAGCGCATGTTCGACGGGCCAATCACCATCCAGATTGCACGTTCGGTGCCAGTACGGCATTACAGTTCCCCTATTACTTTCACCATCAAGTAGATGTTTCAGCATAGTCCGGCCTTCGTATGAGAACAAACCCATCGTACATGCTGAGATTCAAGCACGATGTCCTTATTTGGCTGTAAGTTGAATTATATGTCGCATCGTCACCCGTCGCATCTGCTTACAATAGGAAAAGACTGTATAAAAACACCGAGTTGTACTAGTAAACAACATTGTGTTACACGTTGGGAATATACTGACAGACGTTTCCATTCAATACGGAATGCGCCAGCCTCCAGTTAGTGCCATTACGTTGTGAGGATCGACTGAAGCCCTGATAGCCTCCAGCCTTGGCAACTGGTCTCCAAAGATCTGCGTAATCGGCGTGCTGAATATGGCGTAGTTACCATACACAAATGAACTTTCCACGTTTTGCCCCATCGCAATGGCCTGCTCAAATACTCTTCAGACGCAATTGGAACTGAATGAGAAGGGACCCACTGCTGCTTTCACCGTTGCGACGCTTTGTTGGGCGGCTTCATAGAAGTCGTTGTCGCTATAAGAGGAAGCCCAAGCATAATAGATATTCATGGGCAGGTATGGCACAGCACGAATAGGAGGCCAAGCAGAAGTCGAGGTCGACCCATGGGAATATAGCGATGGCAGGAAAGGCTCAATGTCATAGGACACCAGCTCCGCAGACTGGAGAGCAAGCTGCGCTCCCCAATACTGTACGCGCGACTCAGTTCAGTTGCTTCAAGGACGTCTGCGACGCTCTGGCTCACCTCAGTTTGATTAAGGATCACGTTACACAAATCTGCGGTATAATCAAGGACCATGGCAGAATTGAATATCCCCCTGAATGTGATGGTCTCAGTCAATGAGTAGAGGGTACCCTGGAACCTAGAACGATCGAATACCTGGTGTTTTGAGTCGCATTCGACGGATTTACTCTAAATAAGCTCAGCCAGCTTCTGGAGCTCACGTCTTTCTCCAGTGCGGGGATAGCCAAAAATTCGTCGAAAATTCCATCAGGTGGAGTTGGCCCGTCATAGAAGAATGTCAGAGAGCCTATGACCTGATGAAATACAATCAACAAGCTTTGAGTCTGTGATAGAGACTCCTACTTGCCTGACTCGCTGCGTAGTTATAGGCTGCCAGCAAGGCTGCTTTCGGGTCTCTTACATTTGCGGTGTAATTCCCGATTGCCGAGCTCACAGCGGTCATACTACTAGCTGGATAGACGATAATACCACCCTGAAAAATCGTTTAGCATGCAGATGATACCTTGATGAGGGCCCAGGGAGATACTAACCCATACCTCCCCTATGGGGTACGTTTGTAATGTAAATCTAGTAACAATGCCCTGGACAAGCCAGTTGTCGCATCAGGATATACCCCAGAAGCATACAGCCGAGAACCTACAAAGTTGTTGTAACCTCCCTTTATGCGCTGTTAGTTTACGCTGCCTATGGCATTGAAGGAAGGAGATACATACTTTAAGGGCAAACATCAAATCCGGATAAGATGATTGCGTTACCTCAAGAATAGCTCCAGTAGGGGTCACAAGCTCAAACCCCGTGACAGTGTCCAGAGTGAGGCCGTATTGACTTGTTAAAAATGAATAGCCTGAGTAGTGATTTGAGTTCATGAGCAGACCGAACAATGGCACACACACCCCCTCCAAGTGTGAAACCCGCCACGCCTATACCCGAGACGCGACCGCCGACGACAGTGACGTTGTAAGGGGCCAGAGCAGAGTAAACGTCATCCCATAGCAGACCGGAGCCTACGTCCACGGTGGAGGTACCTGCATTATAGGTAACGCCAGAGAAACGAGTCATAGATATCTGTACACCCGTGGTGGAAGAAAACGTCGGGTTGGACGTATGTCCACCCCCTTTAACCTGAGAGACGTGCCTGAATACTTGTTCATAGATGGGGTGGAGGAAAACTCACAGCGAACGTAGTATTGGTAGAACCAAGGATTCTTAGCTATAATTATAATGATTTACCAGACGATTACCGCGATTGCGGGCAGAATATCTACCACGACTGCAACATCTTGAGGTGTTCCCGGTTCAACGGAGCATGTAGCTTGCTGTGTGCTTGAAGAAGAAAAATGCTCGATATCTTCCATCCATTGTGGCGCACCTATGACACCGATACGTGTAGTGGCAGTTCAAAACGCGTTGCACTGTGGCTCACCAGGATAATAAACACTAGATGCTGATGATATGGAAGACGCAATCTGTGAGCAAGAGGAAGATGTATCACGCTTGTCGAGGGCTTGGACGGATAAAGAGCCAGCCAGGCAAGACCACAGCAAAAGGAGCAAGCCTGCTGTAGGTGCTACCATCTCTCTCTTCAGGATAGAACTGTATCGGGCAGAAGATGTGCGACCGTCGTACTTTCCAGGCTGCTTTTTATACGAGCCGCGAGAATGTCAAGTTGACCCGCTGTCGAATATTAGGACGTGTCTCATAATCCGAGTGGTTGCTCACATGCCTGTCTGGGAATGCAGTGATGCCAGAAGGACGTCCACTGCAGCATGCGATCCGAGTGCCCAACGCATAGGGTAGATGTCACCCTGGCCTAGTGGTCTTTCGGCTCAAACAGCCTCTGACGCCACCAAACCCTCGCACATCCGACATCTTCGGTCGGGTTCCACGCAAAGCTAGAAACAAGCTCACAGCTGAGCCCTTTCTTGGTCTGCAAGCAAATCTTCTGTACTCAGGTGGAGCATTGTCACCCCTCTCGAAATTGCCTACGGATGGTTTATAAGATTCATTCCCAGACATAGCCAGATAACCTACTGATCAACCGTGTCCTTGCCAGCACAGTCATGCGAGACTGTCTCAAAGCGTAAGGATGTAATCACCAAGACTAGCATCAAATGATGTGACCGGCCGCCCACAGATGCATGTCATTTAGTCTTGCCGCAGCGAATACAAGGAGTTCCGGATACCGCCTTCAGGTTAGACGTTGAGAGATCCCGTATTTATATTTAGGACACACGCTCACTGACTTCCCGAAGCTGCGTAGATCCTAAGATATTGCTGGCTTGGTCATGCGTATACAGATCTCGACACGAAGTCCGTCGTAGGCCTAGGGCATACGGACTTCGTGGCATAATCGGCGCTGGAAAAGGGAAAGGAGTAGCATCCAGCACCAGCACTACTGGAAGAATCGAATTCTGGGTAGGAGAAATGCCGACGGGGAAGGCGGACTGCTCTCATCCCTGTGAGCGTCGGTCAGCGTCACCACAATTGACATATCTCATTACAGGTTGCACACCCGAACTGACATATGTGATGCCGGAGTCTTGAAACCGCATTGGCTAGACACAGTGGTCGGCAGATAATGACAGGCAAATACAACGCTCCGCGCCGGGTGGTAGTACGCTAAAATCGGAACGTATCAGAGTGCTCCCGGATACGCAGAGGTACTTCTTTCCGGTCATCTTACGGGTATAAATCAATGCCGGCGCTTCGAGGAACCTGTAGCTTAATTGACATGAGAGGGGCCTCGAGAACATCGTTCGTTATCTGTGCTATTGACGACGTCATGAGAAGTGCACTGCGATGCAAAAGCTCTCGTTATAAGAAAGTGACAGGAATGAGACCGAGGGCACATGTATGTACATGGCGCAAAGACTCACCACCACATCGGAAGATCCACAGTAAACTCATGCTTTAGATCCGACAAAGACCCGGTCGAATACAAGACAGTTATCGGACAACTGCAGAGCGCCCATTAACACGGCACGCGAAACGTTTGATGATGCTAAAGTGGCAGGCCGCTTGGGATGTCATTTGGCAATGCGATCGGAACGTGATTGCGGTGCTTAGATTCAAAGGTCACCGCTAATAGGAGGGTATTCACGTTACACTGGGACAAATGAGACATATTTTAATGCTGAGACAGCTGCAAAGCGAGAATCCTGCTCACCCCGGTTCTCGAAGGCCCAAAGCTCTCCGAATAGAATGAAAAATAGGAAGACCCCATGGTTCAAATTGAAAGCATAGGGAGGAAGAATCCTGGCAGCAGACACCTCGTATTGAGAGGGGGGGAGGTCCCTGAAAAGATCCGAGCGCATCCCTGATCTACGAGTCAGCACTGGCTGCACGTATAAGAAAGCATAAATTCAATGAAGCCGTAAGTGGCATAGCAACAATTGACGTGCAGGAGCATGTGGATGGCGGAAACCCGGCGCACATTTAAGATATACTTACGGGACCTTACGCAGGGCATTAGCGTCTTGGCGGGACAGCTTTGAAGCATGAATGACAGTTTAAACACGAAGCAAAAGCGGTTGCATTCCAGATGTTCCAGGGTATGCACAGAAAGCAAGAAAAGTGCTAATACCACAACAAATGATGACATAACAGCGTCAGACCTGCACATTCTGACTGTCCACAAATGAGCGATCAGCATTCAATTCAAAGAAGCAGACATACGCGAATTGCCCGATGATGTTGCCCTGGGGAGAGTATTCGCACACGTAAAATTTCGCTTTCTAGCATCCACTCGTGATTAGCAGCTGAAGGTTCAAGTGGTGGAATGTAATTACCCCAAAGCTGGCGGAGAAGATGCCGTCGCACAGCTGCACAGCACATCCCACCTGTGTGCTCCCCTTCCACACCACTTGCGTGAAGTGAGAGGCCTGAGGGTTGGTAGGATCATATTGGGCTACATGATGTCAGTGAGAACAAGAGCTGGGCAGCGGGGCGGGGCGCTCACAAGCTTCATCAGTCCACGATTTTACGGCGGAAGCGATGCCATATGAGTCGCCGGTGCCAGCAGCCAAGTTCTCTACATGATAGGAATTCAATCTTTGTGCATCGCAGTCAATCATTTAGAGCAGGACGCACCTCCGAAAGGTCCTAGCGATCCACCAGAATGTTTGAAGTCACATCCATTCGCCCACTGCTGGGCTTTCCCCGCCAGGTCATCACTCCAAGTCAACGGGGACGCGCCATGTTGAGCGCGGACTGAGTTATGCGTTGACAGGTATTGATCGATGTCGCTGCCGGACGTAGATCCGGAACCAGAGCTCGAGCCAGAGCCAGAGCCCGGATTGCTCGAAGAAGACGAGGATGGAGCCGGTGGTGGCGTAGAAGATGAAGTCTGCTCCGGCGTGAAAGAAGACGAAGTGGTCGGCGGCGGTGGGGCAGTTGGAGTGGTCGGCGTGAAGGAGCTAGTCGGAGACGCGATGACCGGTGCTTCATTGACGAGAGCAGAGGAGCTTGTGGCCGGTACTGAAGAGCTCGAGGGAGGCACGGAACTTGAGGATGAACTGCTGGATATAGTCTGCACGGATGAGGTAGTGTTTGAGACCGGGGACGAGCTGATAGTCACAGTCGAGGAAGAGGCAGGTACTGTAGAAGTGGTCCGCGCAGAGGTGGTGAGAACTTCAGAGGCCTTCGAGGGCACTGCTATGACCGTCTGAGTTGCGGAAGGGGAGGGTGTACTATGCGCACTATTGGCAGGTGCGTATCACTCTATCAGCGGATTTCAGACACTGGTATGAGATTAAAGTACGTACGCTGTCGAGGTTCCACAAGCTTTAGCTATGACTGTGTCCATATCGCTGGACTGAGATTTCATGACCGATCCCCAAGGGTCCTGTCCCATGACACTGCCAGGCCATCCCCACTTCTGCCCACACTTTTGTATACAATCCTCTGCCTGGTAATTGCGTCGAGCGCAGGCTGGACCAGCCGAGCCGCTCTCTAGCAGAGACAGGAGGATTGAAAGCGAAAGAAATGGCAAGGCTAGACGAGTCATGTCGGAACTGGTGAAGTCAAAATCTCATATAAAGAACGGGTTTGTGAATGAAAGGACGGTACGAAAAGACCGTGAAGAAAGAGCTGGACAGCGGAGAGGAAAAGTTGAAAGCAAGATGGATGAATACTCGAGGCACGCTACCCCCACATATACATACCGCCGTGTCGCCAGGAGCCCAGCTGATCGGACATGATCATACAACAAGCGGCGTCGCTAAGGAGACTGCAGCTTCAGCAATCATAAAGCCATCTGTATTCTGGATTGCAGAGATATCTGGTCGTGTCTTGCATCTTTGACGACGAACAGGTACATGCGTCCACGAGGGTGTGGCGGATCTGTTCCTAAAGCTTGCTTCCTCCGCTGTGGCGTTTGTGGCTCAGTCTATGGATGGCTTCGACCTCGCCCCCATACTACGTCCTTGTCTCGCGTTCAACGCTACGGACAGATGACCACGCGCCTGCCGGGAGCATCCTAAGCCATCCGGTTATCCAGTACCAATATGTAGACGACTCTCCGCTGTCGCTTCTCCCGGAGTCCGAGGACGAACACGTACTGGTTCTAGATTGGGATCCCGCTGCAGCTCCCCCGACGGGCAGAAGCCTGTCCAAAGGTCTCTCTGTTACAGGAGTCAAGATTACTGACGCTCCCGGTGCTGGTATTGCCGACGAAGAGGACAGGAAGAACGACAAAATGTATATCTTGGATGCTGTCATGGCTCCTGAAGCCAGGTACGTCTAATCTAGCTCTCCGACTGTGATCCGCTCTTCATACGATTATCTCTCTCCTCAGAAGCCAGGATGACTCGCAGGAGGAAGAGAAGGATGCCATGGTAGCTCTTTCGAGGTTCAAAGACATGTGCGCTTCTTTCTTCTGCCAGATCTATGCAGGGGTATGACCGCCCGTGGGCTCACAGGAACGCTGTTCTGCGCCGTGCACTTGACTATCCCGACTTCTCTGCCCTCAGGACTCCGCAGCCCCAAGTGGCCGTCCTCAAGCAGACGTAAAGGCTTGTCGGGGAGCTTGTCTATCCAATATTCTGCCTGCAATGACTCGCCCATTTGATCCATAATGGGGTATCGCTTCCGCAATGTATACTGCATCTATATAGGAAGTGCTTTGTGACTACAATTCTAAATAACAAGTGTCGCGAGCTAATCATTCGGAATGAGACAAGCTCTATCGGCGATGTCATCGTCGATCAGCGTCTCCTACCCTTCCCCTTGCCCTTCGTAGGTGTCTGATTAGATTGGCTGCCAGATGTCGACACGCCTGTGCTTCGTGCCCTGTCGTCATTAGGCATAAGGGCGGAGAGACTGAGAAAGTAAGCAAGCTTAATTAGCGGACCGGCGATTCCTATGTCAAGGAACGGACTGACCCGGCTTTAAAGTCGCCGCTCTGAATGGAGTTCTGAATACCGCTATATTTCGCCTGTCGTGCCTTAAAGTCCTCCAGCGCTTCGGGATCGAGACTCTTCTGCAAAGCACAGTTTAGCGTTTATGTTGAATCAACGGTAGATGGGACTTCGCACCAGGAGATAGGGTGCACCTAGCATCATGGCGCCGGCCGCAACCATCATGAGCATCATAGGATTCTGGAACATGCCAAGCAGGTTGAACGTCTGCCTGGGCACGAAGTAATTGTTCCTTTGTCTAGGAGCCAGAAGGATGGGATACGGTAGCATGACCTGCGAGGGGGGAGATAGGGGTGTTCCAGGGATATATGGTCGCACTTCAGGCAATGAATCCGAATCGCTGACATCCACTCGCAGCTGAGCGGTGGTCAGTCAGGCTATCAAGGTCTCCGCCGCACAACACACCTTGTCAAACGTGAAATTGTGGGCTAGGACGGAGAGAATGTATGTGCCTGGATGCACATCGGGTCTACAACAGGCCCATGGGCACGCTCAATGAGATCCCAGTGCACAAGATTATGCAGGCTTACATTGAGAAGGTGCCATCCCACTTAACGCCACCGTACGACTTCCCATTGTCAAGGATGACCTTCGCAGGACCAAGTTCTCTTAGATCTGTACCATGCACCTTCAATAAGGCACGACATCTCCATGCATGACATTTGCCACGTACCCGTACACACTTCGTTTCGTAGTATCCGTCCTTGGAGGTCAAGCGCAAAGACTGAGCAGGACAGACTCAACGTTCCACATCATTACACAGACCATATCAGCTTGTGTATGCAAACATACCTGCAAAGAACAGCGAGAAACCAGGAGGGCCTCATAAGTGTGGAGGCTGGAGGAAGGGGACGTGTCGTAGTGTGGCGCTGAAAGGCGATCTATTGGTATTACAGTCGCGTATGCATGTGTGGCTGTGCTGAAATTGCTTCACTTCGTTCCCTCCTCGATTGCTTCACCCTGAGGCAGATACTAGTTCTACTCACACCTGAAAGTCACAAACCCTCAATACACCACACACAACAACATGCGTCAAAAAAGAGCCAAGACGTATCGGAAGCTGATGTCGCTATACTGCTTGCATTTTGGGTTTCGCCAACCGTATCAAGTCTTAGGCGAGTGCAGTACGCTGATACTGACGCGAGATATCTAGCTAATATATTCCACAACTACAGTCGACTCGGAGATGTGCAAGGAAGCCATATCCTCCCACCTCGATCTCCCCAAACAACTCGCGACGGTCCTCCAGGGCAACATTAAGCCCAGTGAGTCCCACCGACAAGTTTCTCTATCTCCCCGCTTATCAGCTACAAGTTTGTTAGTGATCACGCAGTGTTGCATACACGAGCTTTACCTGCAAGGGAGGACGCAACAGCCAGCTGTGGACCTCGCCAAAACCTTCGAGAGGCGAAAGTGCAATCATAGGGAGGCGATCCCGGGGGATGAATGTCTGATAAGCGTCGTCGGTATGATCTCTGGTTGTGTACGTTCTCCCCTCTCGTTGAATTTCATCCTATAGGCGACACAAATAAACATCGCTATGTCATTGCAACGCAGTCGCAGCCTCTCCGGTCCAAACTACGTAAAATAGCCGGTGTACCTCTCATCCACATCAATCGGTCAGTGGTAGTGTTGGAACCACCAAGTGACGCCACTCTTGAAAAGAAAGAAAACGTATGTTTTGCCTCGCTCTCACGACCATGCAACGAGACTCACGCGAACTTCGCACCAGGAGGAGGAACAGGCTTTGCTCGTCCCTGAAACTGAGAAGGCTAAGCTCCCGGCGGCAGCACCAGCAGAGGCACCCAAGAAGAAACGGAAAGGTCCCAAGGGGCCAAATCCCCTGAGCGTGAAGAAAAAGAAGACCGCAGGGGAAACGGGTGCACCGCCGGCAAAGAGAAGTCATCCTTCGAATTCAGACCCAACGAAGGACACCGTCGGATCTAAGAGAAAGCAGGAAGAAGCAGACGATCATCGTGACGAGCCTGGCACCGCTGATGGTAGCTCAGGTCACAAGAGGAAAAGGCGGAGGAAACACAAACAGAAAGACGGGAATGGCGGCAATGAAGGAGATGAAGAAGAGAATAATGATTGACCATACCATTAGTATCACCTTACCCTGCCCGCGCTGTATACACTCAGGATCGTCGTTACCGAAATGCCTAGTCATCTTACTGAGTAATCTGTATTCTCATGTGTGATCTAATAGTACAGTGATACAAATCAGAGACCATGAACGGCGTGCATGTAGGACGTAGGAAGGCAAATCAGTTGCCGCCACGCAGACGAAGGACCAGATGAAGAGTAGACTCCTTCTGGATGTTGTAATCCGAAAGAGTACGCCCATCCTCCAACTGTTTGCCAGCGAAAATCAAGCGCTGCTGGTCGGGAGGTATCCCTTCCTTGTCCTGGATCTTCGCCTTGACATTGTCAATCGTATCCGAAGACTCCACTTCCAACGTGATGGTCTTGCCCGTCAACGTCTTCACGAAAATCTGCATGCCTCCGCGGAGACGAAGGACCAAGTGCAGCGTCGACTCCTTCTGGATGTTGTAGTCGGACAACGTCCGGCCGTCCTCGAGTTGCTTGCCGGCAAAGATGAGACGCTGCTGATCAGGAGGGATGCCCTCCTTGTCTTGGATCTTGGCCTTCACGTTGTCGATGGTATCGGAGGACTCAACCTCGAGGGTAATCGTCTTCCCCGTCAACGTCTTGACGAAGATCTGCATGCCTCCACGCAGACGGAGGACAAGATGAAGGGTAGACTCCTTCTGAATGTTGTAGTCGGACAACGTCCGGCCATCCTCCAACTGCTTCCCGGCAAAAATCAACCGCTGCTGATCAGGCGGGATCCCCTCCTTATCCTGGATCTTCGCCTTCACATTGTCGATCGTATCCGACGACTCAACCTCCAACGTGATCGTCTTCCCCGTCAGCGTCTTGACGAAAATCTGCATACCACCACGCAGGCGAAGGACGAGGTGAAGAGTGGATTCCTTCTGAATGTTGTAGTCGGACAGGGTGCGCCCGTCCTCGAGCTGCTTCCCGGCAAAGATGAGACGCTGCTGGTCGGGAGGAATGCCCTCCTTGTCTTGGATCTTGGCCTTCACGTTATCGATGGTATCGGAAGACTCGACCTCAAGCGTGATGGTCTTGCCTGTCAACGTCTTGACGAAGATTTGCATACCGCCACGCAGGCGAAGGACAAGGTGGAGGGTGGACTCCTTCTGGATGTTATAGTCGGAGAGCGTGCGCCCATCCTCGAGCTGCTTGCCCGCGAAGATGAGGCGCTGCTGGTCGGGAGGAATGCCCTCCTTATCCTGGATCTTCGCCTTCACATTATCGATCGTGTCAGACGACTCGACCTCGAGCGTGATCGTCTTTCCCGTGAGGGTCTTTACGAAGATCTGCATACCGCCACGCAGGCGGAGGACGAGATGGAGCGTCGACTCCTTCTGAATGTTGTAGTCGGACAGAGTGCGCCCGTCCTCGAGCTGCTTGCCCGCAAAAATCAAGCGTTGCTGGTCAGGCGGAATTCTGCGCGTTCCAGTCAGCACTGCGTCCAACGTACACCACACAACAGCAGCTACTCACCCTTCCTTGTCCTGGATCTTGGCCTTGACATTGTCGATAGTGTCAGAAGACTCGACCTCGAGCGTGATGGTCTTGCCCGTGAGCGTCTTCACGAAAATCTGCATGTTGTTTGTGTGTAAAGGGTGTGGTAGAGGGCGATGGAGATGAAGAGTCGTTGATAAGACGCGCAGTGGCACAGCAGCTTATATACGGGCGCACGCGGCGGAGTGTAAACCCGCGCCGGTGGCGGACAAGACTGACTCAGCAGTGGCGGTGATTACCAGAATAGGGGCGAATGACGCTGAACGTTGTAGAACACCCTTCCTCTAGTCTATTTCTTTGCTTATTACTATCGGTATTTATACCAACGCAGCGGACCTATCTAGCAATGCTATGGCTGCAGCAGCCAAGTGTGCTAATACAAGGCGGAATCAAGAGCTCATAGAACAAGACTAAGGAAAGGCAGACCCCCCATTCAAAGCAGGCATGATCCATTCGCCGCAATCACTCCTCAGTAAACATCAGCATCCTCGTCATACCAAAGCCGTATAGTGAGATCCTTTTCCATCGACGCAGAAGCAATGATATTCCGCGTTGGGTGTGTCTGTCGGTACAGCGTCAATGCCGGGCCCCATTGGAGAGATGCATGAACTTACTGCCACAGCCAACACGATGTCTGCGCGGATTGCCACCCCATTCAGTACACCTGCACGCGAAAGGACACACGCACGCACCTTTATGTCCCTCCAGCGTCTGCACCACCTTTCTGCTCTGCAGGTCCCAGATGTACACCTTCCCGTCCTCGCTCCCGCTGACGACCAGCGTCCGCCCGCCCGTCACGGAGTAGCACGCGAAGATGCAGTACGTGCGATTTGTGTGCCCGCGGTACGTCTTGACGCACTTCGAGGTGTTGCAATTCCACAGGCGGATGGTGGAGTCTTGCGTGGCCGCGAGGATGAATTGCGAGTTGGGCGAGAACCGCACATGCGAGCTGTGGCAGGAACCTCGACATAGTGCGCCACTGCGTGAGTGAATAGGATTCTCACCATATTGGATTATCGTCGTCGACGAGCGTCTTGAGACATTGTCCGGACTCGGTGTCCCAGATACGGCTGGGCCAGAACTCGTCAGCACGAAACATGTGATGGACAAACTCTGGCCAACATTAGACCGTCCATCGCACACGACACGATCCGCGTCCCATCGTAATTGAAGCTAACGGCAGTGACGGGATCTGAATGCGCTGGAAGCACTTTCATGCATCTGCCTGTGTCGCGGGTGAGCGGGTGTGGGCCCAAGCATAGTGAGGTTCCCCTACCTCTTGCTACATCCCAGACACGTACAGTCTCGTCAAATCCCCCAGAGGCGAGCAGGTTGGATCGAGGGTTGAAGTTTACACAGAACACGAAGTTGGTGTGACCCCTGAGAGTCTTGACGGCCTCGAACTGGCGAACAATAAGATGAATAGGGCAGACACACAGGGGCTATGCCACGCACCAGCTCGACGCTCCAGATAATGATGGTCTTGTCATCCGATGCAGAAGCCAAGTACTCTCCATCGCTGGACCACGCAATATCGGATATGCCCTGCGTGTGGCCTACGAAGGTGCGGATGATGGCGCCCGTGTACGAGTCCCACAGTTTCACAGTTTTGTCAGAAGCTTGCTACCCAGATCCAATCGCACAGCATGCTATCAGTGCATGCGAATGTTGACCGCTGCAAGACACGTACCGCAAGACGCTAGCATGGACCCGTCTGGACTGAACTTCAGCGAGGAGATGGACATGGTGTGGCCGCTGAGGATGTAGCGACAGTCGTAGTGAGGGTCCGATTTTTTCCATCCGGCGGCGAAGGCAGCGTCTTGATGGCGAGTTGGATTGTACGGCGAGAGTCGAGGGTAGCCCGGTGGAAGTGCAGGACTGGGGGATTTGGCTGGTTGAGCAGTTCCGTTTAAAGCCGTTGCGCCCTCTGCGGACGCGCTTGGTGTCTGCGCAGGTCCATCAGGCGTCTTGCTGGGGGTGGTTTCAAAAGTGAGAGGAGCGGAATCGTGCGGAGGTGGTAGGATTGTGGCGGATTCGTCTGGCGTAGGCAGTATCAGAGGCTTTACGTCCTGAGGCGGTTCGCTATTTGCGTGTTCTGCGTCCAAGACCGTAGTAGGAGGTGTCGTGTCTGCTTGGTGGATATCCATGGTGGCGGCAAAGTGAAGAGGATGGAGTCTGCATCCACAGCCACCACAAGACGCGTCGACCAATCAGCGCGCGGCGCTCTAAATTTCCTAAGCGATCCAGCTTCACTCAAACGCTGCCGGCCTTGTACTCGTGCTTGCCCTCGTCGCAACACAACATGTCTTCAGAATCAGCAACATCGGCGTGGGTGACGCCGCCAACAAGGCCAGAGCTCATCGAGAGCCTCGTCTCGGGCGTCGGTACGTTCTGCGTGCTATCCGCCAGAGCCCGCCTAACGAGCCTGCAGACCGCTACAACCCGTCCAACGTCAGCATCCTCGAGGACTACCTCTACCACCAAATCCGCAGCCAGGAATACGACTGCCTCGCCAACCTCGCCATCCTGAAACTGTGTGTCTTCCGTCCCTGCCATAATCCTTCACGCTCACCCAAACTTGCCCAGATACCAATTCAACCCGGACCTGTACAACCCCGACGTCGTCATCAACATCCTCATCAAAGCCCTCACCGCGTCCCCCTTCCCCGACTTCAACCTCTGCATCTCCCTCCTCGACGACCGCCCCCAGACCGCCCACCTCGACGAGCCCGACCCCCTCCCCCAGCTCCTCCCCACGCTCACCACCCTCCACAGCCTCCTCCACCAATGCCGCTTCCCCGCCTTCTGGACGCTCTACCACTCCGACGACCTCCAGCCCCTCAGGGATAACTACACCGTCGAGGTCGTCGGCTTCGAGGACTCCGTGCGGGAGGTCGCCGTCAGGGCCGTCCGCTCCGCCTTTACTCGTATCACAAGCAAGCGCGTCGCAAGCTATCTCAATCTTCCAGGTATGCCCAGCTTTCAATTCACATCTGTATTACATCCTCACATCGCTCGGGTGCAGAAGGACCCGAGCTCGAGAGCTACGTCTCCAAGCTCGGCTGGACACTCGACTCTGCGTCCGGCGTCATATCGATACCGCTCAACGCGGACAACAAGATAGAGTCTACCGTCGTCCAAGAAAACATCCAGCTTCCCCGTATGTATCGCGATCTTTCCAGACTTCACTCCTGTCTAACCACCCTTCGCAGAGCTTGCAAAGATTATCAGTCATACTGCCGCCACTGTATAATCACTGTCTGCTTGTGTTATATCCTGTGCTTCTATGTAACCATGCCATTCTTCGGTGTCTTCGTGACGTAGGATGTGAGAAGAAGAAACGAAATGCCATTACAAGTCGCCAGCTCTGCTGCCGAAGACATCATCATCGAGGGTATTGTTTTATCCCTCCTTTACTCTGTCGTGGACCAGAACGCCGCCCCCGTGCCCCACACAGCCATCACAATCCCTATACCCAGTAACGCCCCATCGAACAACCCACACCTCCCTTGCAACGCAATCTTCGCGGAAACCGGGCCAATCACACACAACAGGAACGCCGAAAACGACCCGAGGAATGCCATCACCGAGCTGAACTGCGGCACCAGGATCGACACGGTGACCGAGAGCAAGGTAAAGCAGACGCGCTCCATCACCATGAACGCGCGCCGGAGGAGCGCGTGCCGGGTGCTTTCTGACCGTGCGCTGCCTGAACTGGTGCTCGCCTTCAGCCCGTGGTCCTCCGGCGAGCTCGGGGGGAGCGTCGTTTCCAACCCGAGCATGATCTCGAGCGTAACGTTGAGCTGCCCCGCGATGTTAGTTTACTGTTTAATCATGAAGCGGGCGTACGAACCGGTCTTGTGGCGAGCGCAAACTTGGACCTGAAATGCGATCAGACGTCTCACGAGTGCAAGTCGCGAGATGTACTCACAGTGGATTGATGACAAGCATCCAGAGGGCGATCTTGTTCAGCGTCGGGTTGTAGGCCTTTGTGAGTAGCAGATCTTGGCTGATCTGCATCTCAGAGTTGAGCCTTCCGCTGTATACGAGAGGGGAAGGCAGACGTACCTCGTCATGCACGGAGTAGCCGAACATGAGATATCCGGCGATGCCGATCACTGCATATATCACAGTAGCAGCAAACTGAGAAAAGTAAAACGGTCAATGATAGTAGCGATGTCACACGAACCAAGGTATACTCACAAACGCCCAATCTATCATAATGTCAAACTGCCCAGGATCAACCATATCCCTCGCTAGGGACGGAATCACAGCATGACCAGAGAACTGCGGTAAAGTGTAAGTACTTTCGCTAGGAGCTCTGGTGGAGAAAGCCAACCCCAGCCATAAATAAGCCGTATGCGATTCCGAGTTCTCCAATACTATGGATCCCGAGACTGGTCTCTGCAGGCTGCCAGAGGCTTCCCGGGCTGTTCTTCTTGGAGAACCCGTCGATGAAAATAACGGCGACGAGGAAGAGCGTCGAGACTATGCCCATGATAGACGTGTATGACAACAGGGACAGCGGTAGAAATACAGTCGGTATGAGTCTAGGCGAAGGCGTCAGTCGGGCGACCATGGCTTTACAGCGGTGATCGACGTACACAACGAGTCCGAGCATCTTGTATGCATCGGCTGAATAAGATGGAATGATGGAATGCAGTGAATCGGCATACAGAGTCACGAGTGCAACACTACATGAACGTTAGCTTAAAATGCATGGGCGCACTCGATGGCAGCAGCACCCCACCTAACAGCGAAAAGCTCCAGACAAAACATCGCACTTGTGAGCGGCATTGATTTGGGACCGAAAGCTTTGCGTCCAATGTCAGCATACGAGCGGAGACGGGGGTCGTCTAATATTATATGTGCTAGTATCTTAGCCCTGCGGCGAGGACCACCGTACGTCAAGATACCTCAGCAGGACCCATGCAATTTGGACGTACGTGTAGCAGGTGATATACCCGTAGAAGATGATCAAAAATGTGCCCCCAATCCACCCGGCATAGGCGAAAGCCAAAGGTTCGGACAGCATTCCGATGCCCAGAAGTATTGCTATCGAGTTGAACAGCTACGCGGAGTATATGTGTCTTGGAAGCGAATGAGAACACAAATGAACGTACAGTCTGCCCAAACGTGCTCCTGCCACCAAAGTTGTATTTCGTACTTCTGAGACTTCCAGACGAGATACGGTGTGGTATTGCATTTGCATCCTGTTTGAGAGGTGCAGAAGAAGACAAATCCGATGGTTGCACTACTGGTCCTGGGGCACCTGAAGCAGGGCCTGTACCGTCCACAGCAGATGAGGAGGTAGCCTTCCGTAATAGGGGCGTCCGTTCCCCCGCGTCCCTCTTCGCCGGAGATGAAGTCCTGCCAGGGACGGGTATCGGAGGGAGTAGACTTCCTCCTGCTACGTTTCTGTCATCAACGGCTCTCGGAGTAGGCAGGTTATCTTCATCCCAGTCAAGGTTCCCGACAAGACCTTCATGCGAACCCGTGGAATCGTATGACGAGGGAAGCGAAGGTCCTTGACCCCTTCCGTCGTGTTGGATAGCGGCTTCCTCGTCCTCGAGAGTTTCCTCAAAGTCCTCAGTGGATGAAGGCACATTTGACGTTGTCAAGAAATACTGGGACCGGCGATCTACGGCACCCAAGTTGTTAGACGAGACTGAGACAAGGCGATATCATTCTGCTTACAGGACGCAATGGCATCGCCGATGCTCGACGCGGTCCCTAAGGAGCCGACTCGAAAAGATATACTAGTGGGCAGAGATGTCATAGCAGGTCGTAAAAGTCGTGAAGCTCGTCTCCCGAACTCGGACGTCCAGAGGCTCTGAGGGACTTCAATTTGCGGCGGTCTGATAAGGATAAGTGCCTGCTTAACCGAACACTTATGACGTCCTCTGCCTCTCCATGTGAAGGCTCAGAAGAACGTCCAACTTGATGAAATTCTCCATTGTCTGCATGTCGTGATAGCTTCGTCTGTGCAGCGACGTTGAAAGGCGTAGAAGATGCGCGAAAGGACAGGGTTCACGCGTTGACGGGTCGCGAGACCCCCACGCGTCTAAAATAGCAACGTGAGGGGAGACATCTGAAGCTTGGTCCATATCTAGAGAGTAGTCGTTGCAGGTCATTCTACATGCTACGGGAGGTGGGCAGACAGAGCGATGAGAGATCTAGGGAACTCGTGCAAGAATAATTATATGGGTTATACAATGCAGGCTGATTGGATGCAGTGTCACGAAATAGGGAGATGGACGAAGACACGGGCAGCCAAAGGTGAAGCAAGGGAGGGGGGGAGGTGTTTGAGCGAAATAGATGGATGTCTCGGCTGTTACGATCCATTTGTGGCACGCCGGTTTGTCCACATCATGTAGGGTTCACGGGAAAGATCAGTGGCGGCCACTTTGGAACGTGAGCTGCGCCTCGCCTCCACCGCTTTCGCATTAGCGCCCAAATCCTGCATGAGGAACACAGATTAGTGTTCTGGTAATTTGGGCACCCAAGCGGTGGAGACTTACCGCCATCCGCTTGCGTATTCCGGGGTTAATATGTGGCCACCACTTTGTGAATGCGTTCTTGAGTGCGAGTTCGCGGACACCTTTGGGATTTAGCCATGCGACGAATTCATCCACCTACAATGCCTATCAAGACAGGTCGTAAAACGAGACGCAGATGAGAGCCTACCTCCTCGATGGTGTTGTAGACGGCCCATTCGCCAACACCCAGCATGCCTTCTTCCCCTTCCTCCTCAAACCGCCTCTCCAGCACATCTTTCTCGTCGCGCCTGCCCAAAATCTCAGCGTCAAATTCGCTGGGACCTTGCACAAAGATTCTGCCAGTCCCGTACTGCACAGAACCTCCGCTGGCCAACAGTGAGCCTGACCCCATTCCATCGAACCACCAGATGCGGTTGAAGAATCTATCTCTACCCAGAGGTTTCACCCTGATAGCGCCAAGCAACTTCCGGAATTCCCGCTCGATCCCTTCCAGCCTGCGCTCCAGCTTGTTCACCTCCTCGTCCAAGCGGCGATGTTCCGCAAGAGCATGTTTTCGATCTTCCTCTTTCTTCTTAGCTTTCAGGCGAGCTGATGCTAAGGATTGATACCGGTGCTTGGACTCACGGCGACTCGCAGTTCCCGAGTCTGATCCGCCGTCAGACGGAGCATCGGACAGCTCGCTGGATTCGTGAATGACAGCATCACCGTCTGTCCCGTTCGCGGCGGTGGCTTTGTCGTTTTCGTTGGTCGCAGCATTTAGCTTTTCCATCTCCTCCAAGCTGAAAAGGTATGTTGGTATCTGCTACCCAGTGAGATGCTGTAAATTGTACTTACTAAGCCTTCTTCGTTCTATTGACCTCAATCTTTTCTTTCCTCAGGGCCGTCAAATTCTCTTCACAACTTTCCATGTGCATGTGAATAGCCTTGCTCGATACCGCTAGGTTGCACATGTAGGCCAGGATGGCAATCCTATCTCTGGGAGGAAGCGCATGGTATCGCTCCCTAGGCCGGGAGGGCCGGGTCAGAGGGGTTACCGTCGCCTCAGCCCGAGGAGAAGCCGACGTAGAAGGTGAAGGTTCCCGGGAAGATTCTGGGGAAAAAAGGAGCTGAGTGAATATGGCGCGCAGACGGGGCAACTTATTAATATCGGCGTGCTGGATGGGGGTAAGTCTAAATAGGGCAGAGCAGAGTGAGGACAGAAAACGTACGTCTTTGAGACAGCCAACAAGGGCATCCTCCCAACCTTCCCGCCCTTCAGTGGCTCGCAATGGAACCCTCTCCCAGTTGTTGCCGACGTCTGCAACTGCATCCACAAGTGTGGCGATCGGCACACCGAATGAGTCCTCTATGCGATCATCAGGGCGCTCCCCATCTGCTATGTTCTCTTTAAGATCCAGAAGAGACATTATGGCATTGTGTCGGACGAAAGGGACAGTGCGGAGGTTGTAGATTAGAGTTGAATGAATCTCTCCTAATAAGGGACAAGCAGGATCTGCCACGGGGTGTTGAAGGGCGTGTTCGAATTCGTCTAGAGTGAAACTGGATAGGTGGAGCGGTTGACTGGCATTGAACATAAGCTTAGGTACAAATTCCACGAGCAGACAAGAAAGACAATGCTTACCCATAAACCACGAGGAAGTTCCATGCCATCAGGAACATTTCGAAGGTATGCCTATCCTCGCCAAAGGGAAGGGCAGTACGACTAGGCACTGGTCGCTTGATTTTCATACCGGCCTTTTTCTCCTTGTCGCCTAACCTCACGTCTAGATCTTCTGTGGGGTATCGTATAGGCTTCTTCTTGATTTTCTCCTCAGCTTTCTTAGCCTTCTCCTCTTCTTCCCTGGCCTTCTTCTCGGCGGCCTCTTTAGCCTCCTGTTCCCGTCGTTCCGCAGCGTCTGCCAGCGCTCTCACTTTAGTTTATGGTCATCAATGCATGACTATACATACCAGAAGAACAGGAGAACGCACTATTATCTTCTTGGCCCAGTATGGGCTTCTTCTGTTTCTTGGATGGCGGTCCCTCCTTGTCCTCCCAAACCTTCTTCCTCTTTTCTATTTCCTTATTCTTGAGGTTCTCGACGCCTTTCCTTGTCTCCTCGGGCATTATCGAGCTCACTCCGTACTTCTCGGCGATGGATGGCTTCACGGTCCATGGAGACGCGACCGCAGGTGCACGGTCGACACACTCGCGCATGAACCGTCGTAATATCGATTTTGAGAAAGCAAGGCGGTCTCGGCTACCATGACACATGAACATAACGCCTCATTGGAGTGGGGGGCAGACCTACCTCAGACTCGACGGTTGCACATCCCTGATCGCCCCACTCATCTTACTTTTCATCGCGTCCCGCGCAGCAGACTTGCTCTTCTCAGATTTCTCTTCCTCCAGAATTTGCACCCTGTAAACATACATATTTGGGTCGTCCTTGACTATGCTGTCCTTGACGGACACCTTCAGGTCACTCGCGACAACATGAACAGGCTCCTCGTCGGACACAGGCGACAGGGAGGATTCAGATGGGCTAGCGGACGTGGAAGCGCGTTTTTCCCCGGTATCTTCGTCGGCTCCTCGTGGTGGATACTTAGTGGGAGGGAACACCTTTATGACCTTGGCGGAGTATCTATAGGTAATGTAAGAGGATACCCATTGCCGACGCGTCCACAAGCACTCACTTCTCGCCTTGGAAGTCGACGAGCACCTCTGCAGACATAGCTTGTTAAAACGGGAATTGTAGGGAAGGGACGCTAACATACTCTCGCCGTTGAAGTAGCGGTCCTTGAACCGGTCATACACGGCTTCGACAAGGTGGTCCAACCGTCCCATGACCTCTGTAGGGTGTAGTCCATATTCCAGCACATCAGTAGACTGTCAGCATGGAGAAGGAGAACGGATACAGACGCCACTGGACAGCCTTGAGTACAGGACCTTTGAGAGGCTCCGGGAACCTGGAGTGCATCGTGCGGGCCTCTTGATGTTCACTCTCGAGAGCTTGGAAATAGTCCAAACCACTCTTGCCGGTGACTTCGCATTGGAACTGCTTGACCTTGTAGAAGGACATCCGCGAGGCATATTCACTGGGGAGAACCACGAGAGTCAATGGCCGAGGCTGAGCGGAAGAACCGCGGAGGGGAGCCTACTCGTATGTTTCGAAGATCTCGCCCGTCTGGCGCAGGTAGAACACCTCTTTGTTTGGGTCCGTCTTAACGGCGTCCAGCAGGGCGGGCGAGGGTTCGACGAGCAGGACGCGTTTGCGCCGGCATAGGGGCATGGTCGTCGAGGGCGGCGGCGCCGAGCAGGGCGGAGACGGGGACTGAGAAGGGGACGAGGGAAAGGGACGCCGCGGGTGGCTTAGGAGGGTACGGATACGTGAGGCGGTCCCTTTGCATTTTTGCACAGTGTCGCTTCCCGAGACTCGACGCCACCGCGAGCCCAGCGTGTAGCCGGCCAGTTTCATTCTCAGCTCCGACCTTTCCTCTTGCTTTCATCTCATCATGTATCTTGTTGCAATCCATCCTCTGTGGGCGACGCGCTGCCCGTTTGCCAACGCGTCTTGCCACGAGTCCTGACCTCCCAGGGTGTCTGGTTCGGCGCCTACGGTCAATCGGCTTCCCGGATCACGCTCACTTGCAGTCTATGCACGATTCACGCCCAACTATGGGGGGCTATAATACTACGAGGCTGGGATAGTCGACGTCGCAATGCCCTTCGCATGCCTCCGCCCGAGCGGTGTACTCAGCCCCCCTCTGTATGTACCGATGGTAACGGAGGACAATGATGTGCTGGATACTCTACACGGTTCTTCCACTAGTTCTACCCGTACAAAGGCCTGACCGCATCACTGATTAACTTTCCATGTATTACCTTACGAGTGATCAATACAAGTGCCCCAATGTCCCTTTCCCTGCAATCCGAGCCACGGTCCAGCCCATGCACGCGTCAGCATCCACCAGTCAGAATCCGGGCAAGCAAGCTACATCTGGCTTCCATACCGTCCATGTACCCGCGTCTTGGCTTCGTAAAGTGCCGCCCAGCCTATGATGAGCACTCCATCGTTTTCGCACTTCACGATCCGGCAGTGAGTGGCAGGTGAGACGCGAGTGTGTCACGTGCCTAGGTGGTCTTGAAAATATTGACGGATTTTCGACCCCAAAATCCCTCTCTGGCCTTCGCTCGCGCATCGTTGACGCGAACTACGGGGAATAACGATGCATTATTTGCGCATCAGTAGGTATACAGGGTCGCCGAGGACGATACTTGTCATGTGCCGGAAAGATCCATAGAGTGACATGAGGAGACCACCGAAGGACGCATACGCGGTACTAGCAGAGGTGAAAAATCAGTCGCGATGCCCGACTAAATGAAGGGAATACACATACACCATCTCAGCCGTTCCACCGTCAAATTTGTACACCTAGGCCAAGTGAGAGCCAACCCTGTATCGATGGAGGTAGACTGACCTTGCCGTACATCACGTAGTCATAGTCCTCCTCTAAGCCTCTTCTGCCCTTCCCATCCGGTCTCCATACATCCTTGTCCTTTTCCTCTTCCTCAGTAGCGCCTCCAGCAGGTGCGCCTCCTCTAACCAGGGACGAGGCTAAAGCGAGTGCGAAGCTTTGATCCTTCTGTAACGGGAACAGCTCAACATTGTAGTCCAGGGTCAAGTGCATATCATAGTTCTTAGATCGTGCATATAGGCGAGAAACTGGATTGACAATGTCGGTCAATGGGTCTAGTACAGAAATACGTTGGACAAGCCACAAACCGCGATCGAACTTCTTCCCCTCCTTGTCTATATCCTCGATGGTGAAAATATCATCGAAGACAATATTTGATGAATTTGAAGCCATGGTCCGGTGAACGTGAACGCTATGCGCCTTGTTCACAGCAGCGAAGTTTGACCTGAGGAATGATTCAATGAAGCCGCCGGTAGACTTCGGAAATAGCCGCCCGAGCGCCTCTTCCTGCCTCGGGCCAACCTGCCACACTGCTGCCACAGTTGTGTAACTCTTACTCGATTACAGGAGGCCGACATCTCGCTGTTTTAACCAGTATCTCATTCTACTGAGGATAAACCACGTCTATTCTATGGAATGTGCCCATTCTGGGAAACCGGCCATTAGGGAACCTGGAATCAATTCGGACTCTCATCGTACTCGTGGATTCTCTCAGGAGCTGGCAGAGGCACAAGTTTACATCGCTTCACAAACGGAAATCGTCTGACCGGGAACCTAGTGATCACCAGCGAAAATGGAACACGCGTCAAGGAGGCTCACCCGACTGTCCGCGATGTCTAACGCATCATAAAACGGCACCGACTGGTACTGTAGAACTTCCCCGGATTATGTACGCGTCGAACCTCACGTCTGGAGAGACAATTCGCTCAGAATGTATCGCGAAGAAAGGCGCAGACAACAATCGATTACTCTCGGCAGCAGATTATATCATACATTCTTCTCCCCATTATATTCAACGTCTATTTATTTCTCTCCCAAGTCCTCCAGGACCTGCTCTGAACGCTGTTTCGACTCTTCGGAAGTATGAGGGTTGGACAGATTGGCCTGGGCGCGAAATCCCATTCAGCACCGCTTCTCTTTCACCAAGGGCGCACGTTACATACCTTGTGGCCGCGAGCGACGTTCCCCTCGTGATTGGTGTTGGCGTTTTCGAGCTCTCCGCTCTGCTCGAGCTCCTCTAGAACTTGGCGAGAGTGGTCCTTCGCCTCCTCAGAAACATTGGGGTTGTTAATGGCGGCCTCTGTGAAAAGTACCAGTCAGTAGTTTCCTCGACCCCAGCGTCTACTGGGCACGTACTGTGACCACGAGCAACCTGCAGCAGGATTCGAAAGTGAGCACATCCTACGATCCGTGCACAACCCTTTATTACTCACGTTCCCTACGTCCTTCGACATGATGATTGTAATACCTTGTGAAAGTAGCGGTGAATGTGAGTTATGTGAGAGATGTACTGAGCTGTTGGTCTCCCCAGCGACGTTGGGAGCCGTTTATATAACTTCAGCGACCCTTTGTCGGTGGTGTATGATCGTACGCACTTGGCGTCACAGTCTTCGTCATCGCCGGAGAACACTTCCCCCGCCCCACACACAGGGTCGCGATTTACGCAAATGTCGTTAGCGGTGAGCGAACTCGAAGAAGCGCAGAAATAATTCAGTAAATTACTTTAGCGCTATGTAGTGAGCGACATCTGCGGCGAACCCGTGACAATGGTCGCAATTTGGGTTAGGGCAGAATCCACCTTCGAAGATGAATGACGTCGTTGTGACACCGAAGTCTTTCGTAGTCTCGTCTTCTCTCGCATCCTATTGGCGAGGAGGGTACGAGGAAACGATCTGCGTTTCTCTGCACGTTCCTCGCAACCGGACGGAAGTAAGAAACACGCCTATGGGCGACACAGATGTCGATGAGCAAAGTGAGTCCCTCATTGTGAATGGAAACCCATTACATTGACCAATTCAGACACCTGGTAGTACATTACAGGACATTTGTTACAGAATCGCGGTCTTACAACGTACACATCGGACGATTTCTAGGCGCTCGCATCCATATCGTCCAGAACCTGCTTGGAATGCTCCTTCGACTCGTCAGAGGTTCTGGGGTTCTTCAAGTTGGCCTGCACGATCGTCAAGCGTCTGTCCCGACAACTGAAAGGCTGACTCTCACCTTGTGACCGCCAACGACATTGCCCTCGTTCTTAAGGGCGTCGCCGCCGCCGACTTCACCCGAGCTCTCCAAGTCGTCAAGGACCTGGCGGGAGTGTTCCTTGGACTCCTCGGAGGTGTTGGGGTTGTTAAGGTTGGCCTCTATCTCGCCGTCAGTCGTCAGCCACGCAGACAAAAGGTTGGATCTCACTGTGGCCGCCAGCAACCTGAGCGATTGTGTCAGACCAGCAATGAACGAGTATGCCAAATGACTTACATTTCCAGGGTTGGCCATTGCTGATGAGAGTGTTGGAAGAGGCTGGCAGTGGTAAGAGTTAGAGGGAGGGATGCTTTTATTCCCCCTTGCCTGCCGTTCTTATATGCCTAGGCGCGAGACAGATGACATCAACCCCGACATGTCGAGTGGTCGTTTTGAGCATTACGACGTCGTGTACCGACGATCGAAAGCCATTGGACTTCATTTATCGAGCGAGGCTGCGACAGGCGTCGCCCTTTTCTGGCAAGAGGCGGTCTAAATAGAGCCTGTTCATTTGCAGACGCGCGGACGGCTTCCGCTGACGAGCATGGCATGTCGGATATGATGCGTCCCCGTCTCGGATCCAGGGGCCAGTGCAGCGAGCGAGCATCGATCGTCCACGTCGGAGGCGAACAACTCTCCGTACAAGGAGAAGCAAGTACGTCGACCAATGGCTGCGTTGAGTTTGACAGCTAGGGATCGGCGGTCAGCACGTGGGAGACGCCATGACGCACTTCATCCAAGTGTACCCGCGTCGACGCGTCGATTTCCAACGTTTGTACAGTACTGCATCAGAGTGCATCACTCATTGGCAACAAATGTATTCCTCCGTTATAGATCCATTTCCACAGTATACGGTAGACACTAAATAAAGCATTAAATAGGATAATGAATACGACACACACGCCCAACTTGATAACCAGTATCAGTAATAAGAATACGCCCTGTAGGCACGCAGCGAAAGTATATGTAAATTGTAATGGTCAGCGGTAGCACGAAACACCCTAATGAGCGGCCTTCATTTGTCTGAGTTTCACCCTGACATCCCCCGCATCGACGTTCCTCTGCTGGCTCAAGCCCCAGTTGAATAATCCAGGTCTGCCCACCACCTTCACGTCGACCTCCATCCCGGAGCCGTGAGTCTCAGACTCCGACGGTTCCAGCAGAGCCTCCCGCGAACGAGATTCCACTTCAGCATGCGCGGACAGCGAGGTGGAGCGGGAGAGCCCGGAACGAGCGACCTGAGCCTTCGACGATCCCACGTCAGGCCCTAGCTCTTGAAGATCAACGCCGAAGAAGCGGGACAGTTTCGCAGCCCGCACGCGTCTTTGTCGGAAAGAGGAAGAGGGGAGGATGATGTCTGACTCGGACGAGCTGCGGGCCGTGTGCCGCGACGAATGAGATGACGAGGGCCTCCGCCCTGGATGAGCGCCTGGCTCGGCAGGGACGGAGAACAAAGATGGAGTACGCGGCGGATTTGTAGGGGTCAGCTCAGCATTCAGGAAACTGTCAGACGGGGCCGGGGAGGGCTGCGCTTGGGGGAGCACAGAAATAATGGACGCAATTGAATGAGGCCGACGTCTCTCGCGAGGGGTGGTCTGGGGTGAATTGGGTGTAGTAGGAATGATATCCGTCGGATTGATGGAAAGGAGTGTGCTTGCGATAGAATCCCGATTACTCTCGGTAATGGGACTTAGTTGGGAGACGGCGTCATCGGACGCGTTGATGTTGGTAATCTGGAATAGAGCAGGAGGAGGCTCGGAACCGAATAGCTAAATCACCAAGACCATTTAGTACGAACTTGGGCAGCTGAGCGTGATCCTACCTGGGCCATCTTTCTTGCCCTCTTGACATTGAGAGCCCTCTGCTTCTCGCTCAGGAGCGATCCGGACCTCGTCGACCGCAAGTCCTGATATATCTGGTCGCGCTCGTCGAAGGATTCAGAGCCTGCTTTCATATCTTCCACGGAGCTCTTGCTCTTCAACGTCCTCGTCGCCCATAATGACCGGCTCCTCTTGATGACATGCGCAGCAGCCTCCTTCGAAGACTCGGGAGGATCGCGAGGTGCCTCAGGCTCAGTGGGTGAGACTAAAGATTGACCTGACGCGATCAACGAAGAGAGGTCAAGACTCAAGCGTCTCTTGCTCTTGCGCCGCGCGGAGACAGAGGTCGCAGGCGTGGTCCGCCCGCCCATAGGCGAGGAGGATCGGAGAACAAGCTCGGTAGGCATATTCTCTTTCAGGTAGCGGCCCAAATGCACCAGCTGCCTCTCCGGGTCGCCCTCGGCGGAAGGAACAGACTCCGATGCCAGGTGAGTGCTCGAGTAGGATGGCAGAGGAGGTGGGGAAGCAAATGAGGTGTACGGGAAATCCTCGCATGGAGTCTCTGACCGCGAAGCTGCCTTGCCAGCATGAGCAAGGCTCGGTGTCGCAGCACGTGTCCTTGACACAGTGCTTATTGAAGACAGAGCATCTGTACCTGTCGGGGTGAGCGGGCTACGCTGGGCGCTCTGCAGAATGCCGAAGTTACGTTCCTCCTGACTGGGGGACGGTGGTGAAGAGGGAATAGCTATCTCACTCAGCATCTTGCTGAGTTTCCTTGCCTTCTTGAGCAACTTGATCTTCTCTCTGGAATCGAGCTCTTTGGCGGATGATGATAATAGTGGCAGCGGCGGAGCCTCCGCTAGATTGATGTCTACATGAGACGTCGAGCCGTTGAAATCCTTCACCGAGGATCGGGTGCCCATGAAAGAGATGGCGGAGGCACTGGCGGCGGCGGACGTCCCAGGCGGAGCGAAATGACGCGCTTCATATGGTCCCGGAGACAACTCCCCATCCGTCTCGACGTCCTGACCTTCTCCGACCGAGCTGCCTGTATTTCCACGCCTCCGAGATGTGCTGCGCTTCTTCTTCAAAGTAGCACCTCCTGACTTGCTCGAAGCAAGCTGCAACATGAACGAGAAACGGTTCCGACTCGCATTTTTGGAATGCGAGGGGGGAGACATGGGCTGGCTAAGGTTGGCCGGCGCTCTGGGTGCGTCGAGAACGAGAGCTTAAAGGGGGGGAGGAGGGCTCGGGTGCTGCAGCGCCAATAGGGTCCGGTCAATGGAAAGAGATATGGAAATTCCAGCAGGCGAAGCTGCGCGCGCCACGACCGTCGATCACGGGTAAGCGAGGTCGGCGGCAAGTCGAGAAAAACGGCGGGAATGGGGGGGAAAGGCGCTGAGACGGGTCAAGGACGCGGCATGCATGCACAGGACGCTGTCTGATCACCCGCGAACGTCCTGGGAGGTCGCGAGCAGCGCATGCAGCAGACCCGGAGTGCCCTGGCAACAGCGAGTTCCATGTTCCACAGTGATGCGAAACGTGGCTCCGGATCAGTAACAGAAGCACCCTGAGGTTCCTGTCACGTCGGTCACAGAGACCGACACCAGTGCTCCTGCCAGCGCTTCTGCCAGTACTATGTACCGCAAAACGGCGGGATGCGACCGCATGAAATAAACCTGACGCTGTTTGGTTACTTTGGTAGACCCATATGTCTAAGTAGACCACAGCCTCGTACACTGACCATCGAGTGGGTGAAACATATGCGTCATCGTCGTGATATGCTGAACGTATTATATTATTTGAGTAAAGGGAATGTACCAATGTTCGAGAAAGTAAATGCAGGATATCAGTCCAAATGAAAGGGGATATACCAGATTACAGACGTGATTATTCCCGACGGGGTCCGCCCATCAGCAAGGCCATTAGGTCGTTGGCCGCGGGCGACGCACTGGGCCTAGGGAGCCCTTGTTGTTGCAAATGGGGCGGCAGCAGATGCGGTAGTGCCTGATGGGACATCGGCGCCGGCTGCTGTTGCTGCCGAAGATTGGCAAGTTGTTGGGCTTGCAAGTGCGCCCCCAGGCCTTGCTGGGGTGCGGCAGTGGGAAACCCAGGTCTGAGACCTGTCGAGTTACCTCCCAATGTCAAATGAGGCTGATTGGGGACTCCCCGTAGGTCGAGACCATTAGAATGCGCTAGTCCTAGTGCGTTCTGGGAGGCAAGATGATTCTGCAATTGATGCTGTCCCGACTGCTGCATCCCGCGCATCTGTTGGCCGCTGAAGTTCAACCCATTGGTATTGGCAAGATTATTGAACGCCTGCGGGGAGGGATTGTTCTGCAAACCAGCCGGAATCGCCCCTGAATTCACAGCCATTGGACCACCTATGAACTGCGAGGTTTCATGGGGTGGCCGACCACCTAGGTGTGCCAGCCCGGGGGGGATACGTTGCTGCCCATGAGCTTGGAGAGGGTTTTGACTCGTGATCGGAGAAGGACCCCCACGGAATTGAGGGTGTTGAAGCGGCAGAGAAGTATTACGGACACCTTGATGCGGGAATGTCGAAGGACCTGAGCCATTGAACAAGGGCTCAAGCACGCGCTGCTGGGGTGCCCGTTGGTAGTTCACTTGTAACTGATCGTCAAGCTGATCCATGTAAATACCGCTACGCTCCCTAGATCGAGGCGGAGGTGCAGTACGGAGTCCTGGGACCATTCCGTCGGGGACGAAGTTGCGATCGTCAAGGCGATGCTCCGGAAGAGAGTCAAGCCGACTCGTTAGAAGGGTCTGCTGCTGTTGTTGGCGAAGTTGATGGTGCTGGGATGCATGTATGGACTGTAGACCGATGTTATTCATACCACCCACGGACTGCTGCAAGTGGCTCATTGGATTCGCGTGGTTCACTCTCTGTGTCTGTGGGAGTGTTCAGCCTTGTGAGGACGATACCAAAGTAACAACGAACATACTTGGGCAGAGTTATTCAGCATTGCAAAGATATCATCCATCGCCCGGCTCTCAGGATTACCTGCGAGCATGGAGTTTTGGTCCTGCCTTTGCATTGCATAGTCCATGCCCAGACCCCCACCGGGTGCGGCGACTTTATTCACACCAGGAATTTGGGGCTCGCGCAATTTCGAATCGAAGAATTTTGCGAATCTGCTTCCTTTCGCTGCGGCGTGGTTCAATCCGGCCGCAGCGTGAATACCTTGTAGCTGCTCGAAGCTGGTCCCCGCATTCCCTAATCCGTGACCAAGCTGAGTGAGGGGTGTTGTCCGGCCACCACCCGACTCAGCGTAAGTGCTTGCCATCTCCGTCGGCGCGTACTGGGAACGCTCCGCCGCGACCGACATCCTCCGCGAAGACTCAACAGGTTGAGCAAATGCCCCGCTGACACGGGTTTGGTCGCTTGGCGCAAATTGTCGTGACACATCGTCGAAGGGAGAAAATTGTGGTTGTGATTGAAGGTGTTCTGCACGAGACGCTCCACGATGGAAGTTTATTTCCGCGTCGGGACCTAAATGCGGAGTTTCCAAGGAAGGGCCAGCCAGATCTCCCCGTGGTAACAGACCCGAAGCCGACATGACAGATCCATGGGAAGGGGATGAGCCTGGTGCAACCTGGGAGGCGGCATGAGACTGTAGTGGCTGCGACTGTGCACCAGTGATGGTGTTACGAGAGCCAAAGGCAAGTAGGCGCGAACCTGCAGGTGGATTGAACTGAGCAGGAGCGGATTCGAACGCCGCGGTATCCGCAGGGCCTTTCTCCGCGGAAACAGCTCCGTTATAAGGTACTTCAGAGGATCCCCGTGATTTAACGATGCGAGACGTAGCTGATTCGCTGGAACCAGATGCGATGATGGATAGAAGTGACCTAGGACCGTCCGATGGAGTGGCAGGGGAGTTATCTGTCCGAGTGGACGTCGCTGTTGAAAACGACTGCTCACTGAAGGGACCAGAGCTTTCCTTTCCTCCCGTCTGAGAGGCAGATAATACCTGCGACGTAGGAAGAGTGGCACCATTAACAGGTGTCGTCGCCTTTGGACCGATGAAAGGACCTGGTTCTGCAGCACTCCCAGGGACGGGTGAATCACCTGCCTTCCGCTTTTCCTCTTCTTTTTTAATAAGTAGCTTGAAGAGTTGTATCTCGTCCAGCTGCGCATCAGGGGCCCCTGCAGCCGAGGCACCAGGCTCCCTTCCCACCCATTCTGCGTTTGACAGATCGGCGTCACCACCCCTCTCCCTACGTTCCTTCTCCCTCTGCTCCTTCTTCCAAGCTTGGATGCTATCCAGTTCACCGTCCGCAGGCTTGCTGCCAAGGATGCCGCCTGAAGAAGTCGTAGGTACGTACGTCTCCATCCATGCTGGCTCCTTCTCCTTCTCCCGCTCCTTGTCTCTATCTCGTCTATCATCCCTATCCCGAGTTTCCTCCCCTCTCCGCTCACGGCCCGAGCTTCTCTTGGAACGACCCTCTTTGTCATCTGCGGGGACCCACCGATCTCCCCGGAGACGGTCGTAGCTGCGATCGTCCCACTCATCGCGACCACGATCCCTATCCCGGTCCTTATCGCGGTCCCGCCTGTTGGCCATCCTTTCATCGCGTTTGCCGTCGTCCCTCCAACGCCTGGGATCATCTTCGAGGTCCTTGTCAGCTTCCCGATCTCTTCTTGCGCCATTGCGTTCAGTTCTGCGATCCCTATCTCTGTCATCTCGATCCCTCTCTCCGCGCACGGCTGAAGTATCTCGCCTGGATCTTGATGAATCGCGGACTCGGGACCTTGGTCTTTCTCGGTCATCGCGATCCCGTCTCGAGACATCGGAACCTGACAACATTTCGAGGCAGACACAGTGAGAAAAACATGGAATTAGAGCATATAGGACCAGCTGACACTTACGATCCTCCTTCACCCCGCGGAGAGGCTCAGCGCCTGATACGACAATTCAGTAAATTCCTGGCATGCACCACAGGGACGTACCTCTGCGCCAATCGTCGCTAGTCTCACCAACCCGCCTTCGAGTACCTTCCCTGCCATCAGACCGACGGGTGGTACCATTGGAGACTTGAACTGTTGCAGCCGCACGTGTCGAAGTTCCTGGAGACAAATGAGGCGCAGAGTCTCTCTCCCTGTTACGCACGAGGGTGGAATTAGACGGCTGCGCAAGGCGGTCGCGATCGAACTTGTCCGAGAGCTGCGTCAATTCGTTAGTTGTTGCTTTCAGTTGCACGAACTGAATACGAACGTTGCGTATCCCTTCTTTATCACGCTCTTTGTCTGTGTCGCGATCCCGGTCGCGATCTCCTGTACGCAGAGACTGATGCTTGAAGTTACCCATTTGAGAAGGCTGAGATAAAGTGGACCGAAACTGAGGCCGGGCAGGAGCATCTTCTCATATTTTATTGAGACTGAAGCTTACGCGTATTTTCAAGACACCACTTACCGGTATCTTCTGGATCCCGACGAAAGCTACACATGAACTCTGTGAGAAACGTATTGCTATGGTCAGGAAGGAAAGGAAGGGTTCCTACCGTCTGTCTCGACCAGTACCGGAGGTCGAGGAAGCATCGGGAACGTTGGCCAGAGTCTGCAGATTGGGATCCCTTGTGGAGAATTAGTCACGTACAGCTGAATGTTTCCGACACTCACCCAAACCAGTCCTTCAAAGCAGGCATCCCGTCAGGTGTTTGTACTAAGGGGGATCTGTACAAGAAGAGCATCTGAGGTCGCGTATAGACGACGACCGGTCGCAAAGGCGGCGCATATTCTTCTGCCTGCTGGTCGGTTGCTGGCTCGGGGCTATTGCCTTCTTCCGTTAAAGAGACATTGGCAACACCGTCGGCCAGGTCATTCATAGGTTCGTCCGACGCTTGAGGAACTGTGGAGAGTACATCCACGTCTGTCATAGTCAATGAGGAGGTATAAGTTGTTGGTATGCTGCAGTATAGAGCTGAAGAAGACGGTCGTGCCAGCAGAGTGTGGCACCAGGGCACTAGGGTCACCGGTCACGAATGAAGTGGCTCAGCGACTTCGAATTCCTGTCCGCTTCACGCGACTGACGCCTTTTTCCGACCGAGTCCGCGCCACTGCCAGCCTCAGTCCAGTCTCGGAAAGTACTCTACCGCTGACCCGTTCAATACGTTGTGGATGCTCGATGGCAATCATCATGGGGGGCCTTACCTTGAAACACTTCATCCTGAAACACAGGGTGCTGAACCTATACCGACAAGCTATTCGTTCTGTTAGGTGTATGTTAACTACGGAAGTCTACCCTCGGATACAACTCAACGTCAGATAGCTATCCCAGATCCTCAAGCCAGGAAAGAAACTGTCGCCTGGATTCGCGCCGAGTTCGAAAGAAACAAGCACCTAACGGACGTCGTGAGTATCAAGGAGTTTTTCTTTAGGTTTCTGCTTGACAAGGCACACATATTACAGCCCACCATAGAAGACAGGCTAGCATCCGGTCGTCGGGATCTCAGACGTATCCTGCCTACTATGCACTTGTCGAACTCTCGATCATAGTGTTCGTCTGCTGTACGTTCATGCATTGGGACTTCGGCACGACCCAGCGAGCCCTGCGTCTCGATATTTCGTTCTGATAAGGTCATCTTTGGCTCCTGCTGTGTATTTTATCTCCTTCATATGCTAGCATCTTTGCAACTGACGGATTGCACCAGCATCGCAGCTGGGTGGCTGAGACGTGATGCTCTGCATGAGAAAAAGTCTGCTGACCGTGCTTCATTTTCTAGGACCTTACCGGGAAATGCGACCGCAACGATCATGGGCGCCTACTCACGAGTCTGGCTACTTCTGGAAACGTCGTCTGTTAGTCTGATAACCTGGGCGTCCGCACTATACTTAGGTCCTGACTATCCTTTCGTTACGCCGGTCAGGCGTTCTATGCTATCTTGGATGCTCTGGGGCGTGTTGTGACGCACCTTATGCAATTCTATTGGCGGGAGCTCGTCACAAGCTTCAGTTAGGACTTCCCGCACGTGCCCGCCGCCCTGGTCTGCGGTGGGTCTCACCCCATCTTTGGTGTGTATCAATATCCTCACTGTGCTCGAGCAACCGCATCGTGCGTACATCCAGTGACTTTGCCCAGACTGATGTTCTAACCTTCAGTAGTACACAATGGAGATACACATGAAGATAATCAGTTTCAGTGCTACGAAGAATCAGATCTATCAAGAGATAGCTCGTGTTCTTCATAGCCCTGATTACCAGTAGCACTCTGACTTGCTGCTAAACTTCCACATCACGTTGTTCCCCGACCGTCGTGGATATGGACGTCGCCATGGCGGGATGGGCTTGCTCACGCTACCAACCGTCGACCTCGGGAACCAATTCTTGACGGAATACTCTGGCTGCAGCGCAACAACGACTGTCTCTGTCTGCGATCGCAGAATCGTTTTCGACAACAGTCGACATGCGGCTCGCCGCCAGACGTACAAAGCATCCGTAACGCTCCTTACGTGACTCCGGAATACGAGAAGCGTTCAAGGCACGAATAGCATTCTCAGGTAGTGTCGAACAAGGAATTGCAATTTGGATGGGAATGCAGGGATTCTGTGATTTCCGTCGAGTGGGAGAAGTCCTGCGAGGGTAAGTGCTTTCAAGTTCTACACTTCGGTTTGGACCGAAGGGCGACCCGGGCCAAGCTACTGGAACCATTGCGAACCGTTACCGTCGCCATGCGCTTTTCGACTATCCAATGGACGGGAACAGGAGCAACAGATGATCCAGCCCTGTTCTTCTCCCTAAACACCACACCTGTCTTCGAGTCGGAGCTACCACCGTCGGCCCAGCAGCAGGTGCTAGCTTCCCAGGGTCCCCGTTTTAGCGGGACCGTCTACGATGTCGCCCTTAGGGAACGTTCGAGCCACCTCGATGAAGATTGTTCCTACGTCGTACCCTTCGTATCTCTAGTCCTGCGCCTGGTCTGCAGTTCCGCCCTTGATATGTCGGCATTTCGAGAGTTATCCAAGGCAGCTCGCGTTCCTTGGCCCAACGATCTCCAATATCCTGTCGTACTACGGGAACTTTTTTCGTCCGAAATCCTGAGAGGGTATGAGCGTTGGACGGTCTCTACCTTGGAAAGTTGCTTTCCAGGTAGAAACTTTGCTAGATGGACTATTCCTCGACCCAAGGGAGATTTTTGATCTTCAAGCAGACATTGAGAGGATTATCCGTCAGCACGATGCGGAGCATGCCGCCGGCTCCTACGTTCCCTCTGCCACTCAGACGAAAGGACTATTCTCGCTTACGCAAAAGACCCGCAATGCACAAGAAACTGTGTCACAGTGCTTGCAGCGATGACAAATTTGTTCGCGTCAGATTCGTGGACGAAAGTGATCTGCAATTCCGGTGAGATTGTGAAGTCGACGGTCGGACCTTCATTCAGCGGAGAGTTGGGCGCGTCATGCATGATGGACTTGCAATTGCTGGATGGACCATAAAGTCTCGCTTACTCGCTGTCGGCCCTTGAAGAACACTCCGTCTGGTTTATGTTGCCCGTTTGGCAGTATCAATCCAGAGGTTATCATTAAGCGGATTGGCATCTTCGATGTCCTTTTGATGCGTCGTCCTTCTCGCCACGGAGCACGCATATCTCAGGCTTTCACTGCAACGGATGCGTCGATCACAGTTGAGGCGGAGGAAGTGATACTTGATTACCCGGACATCGCAAGAAATGGGTACTGCTTCACTACCTTTACAGACGGGACGATATCCCAGAAAATCTGTCAAGATATTTTTGATGCACTTTCCCGCCGGCGGCATCGTCACCGATGCGGCTTGGATGGGAAGGAACCTCCCTCTGCATACCGAATCAGATTGGTGGGCTTTGATCCAAGACTCCGGGGCCGTGTCCTGTACTTACAGCCCTCCATGGTGAAATTTGACGTGATTCGGCTGCTTGGAATTGAAATTGAATACATGGGAAGTTCTTCCTTAATCGTCCTCTCGTAATGATATTGGAGGGTTTAGGGGTCCACTACAAAGTCTTCCAAAGCACACAAGCTACGGCCGTGCGGGAGGCCCAGTGTTCTGCGGGGTCGTTGGAAACAGCGGCCAAACGCCTTGAGTCGCATGGTCCGGGCGGCTCATTCCCGCTCACGTCCGCAATGCTGCACCGCCCAGAAGCGCATTTTATCAGCAGCTTATGGACTTCGCAATCAATCATGTCCTTCGAGAATTAAAGCATCGCGCGCATCCCTGTGGATAGGCCAGGTAGCTGGACCTTGGGGGTTGTAGTCAATATCCAGGGCTACCTGAACGCAGGAGAAGTGTTCGCCTGTGTCCGTGTCCCTGGTCGAGAGACGGAGCATCTGGAGGGACGAATGTTGGCCTCGTGGTCGCCCAGCATAAATCCCGGCGACGTGCAGGTTGCTCGTGCAATTGGCACCCTCCCTTTGACTCGCTCTTTGCCAAAGAATGTCTTCCGAATACCCTAGTGTTTTCGACTAGAGGTAAGGTCGTTCCTTCGCTCGCATGCGATCGCTGACTCAAAGGCCCACGCCCTTTGGCTTCCTGCCTGGGCGGTGGTGATTCTGACGGCGACGAGTACAATATTACCACTTGGAGCGACCTCATACCTCCAGGACCAGCTTCACCGGGTAATTATGACGCTGCACCAAAGAAGCTACTGGATCTTCCTTCCACGCTGGACGACGTCGCAGACTTCGTCTCTTAGATTATATCGACAGTGATGTGCGTCCTTCCGATGTCCACTTGCTGATTGTACTTGTGCAGGTGTTGGGTATAATTCCTATAAATTGGCTTTTCACCGCTGACCAGGGCCAGCGAGAAATATTCGACGATGATTGCCTTCGCCTGACGAGATTACACAGCGATGCTGTCTATTACCCCAAAAGTGGACAACCCGTTCCACTGGACACGGTCCCTCAACTCAAATTCCGCGAAAAGCCCGACTGAAATGCGCCAGAGATAATCGGTACTGACACGGGTGACTTTTCTTACGGGAGTCAACGAGCTATCGGCAAACTGTCCCGAGCGATTATGCTTCCTACTCCCCGGTCTGCGAGCAAGCGACAAGCGCAAAATGATCTCGAGACTCTCTGGGCACCGCTCAGCGCAGCGGATGAAGCGGACGAGGAGTTGAATCTCACAAACGTTTTGCAGGATCATGTTGCAACATACATTCCATTGAAAGTGGATCATTCCGCAGATACGCATTCGAGTTGCGTAACATCTGCGATGCGAATACGTTATCGCAATCTAGAACCGCAACACTCACAGAAGAAGAGGCTATCGTAGGAACCATCATAGTAAACATCTCGCAACCACAAAGACGAAAGGACCTGATGTCAAGGGTGAGAGAGCAATCCTCTTTCCTAGTATCCGATATCAGGGAGGAAGTTGCCGGTCAAAGCATTCCCTTGAGGAATGACTGGAACCCGGGTGGACGGCCTGGAAAGTGTCATCCCTCAAAGAGTCGCTCGGAAGCAAAAAAATTAGGGTGGATAACGCTGAGTTCAATCTTCAAGACCAGGAGGGCCCTAGACAACAGGGACAGCTAGGGGTGCAGGGCGACTTCGTAGTGTGACTCAATCTGCACGATGCTGTAAGACCTTATAGATATCGTACAAATTTCCCCTTCTCGCTGGAGCACACGCTGGCTACCGTGACCTCCACGATAATACTTACACGCGGAAGGCCGTGTTATTGGGACACAAATACAACAGGACCTATGCTTGATTACGTAGAACTGTCATACGTCAAAGTTAGCAAGTCCAAGGCCCCTATCATAGTAGCGAGAGAATTCTCACTCAGTATTACGGAGTCACCTCTAAAACGAAGGGTAAACACACATTAGAACCGGCCACAGGGAAACAAGGATGCGAATCTAACCTTAAGAACATCTTGCTGATGAAGCGATCCTTATTTACAGGCTTTTTGTTCTTGCCTTTGGGCACTTCCGTCCACATCTGGAGCGCTGTCAGAGGAGGAGAATTGTGCAAGCACGTGCGACCCACCTCCTTCACGTTTTCTAGCACCTGATGTTCAAGAGGAAACATCGTCGTGATCCCGTACCAAACAGCGACAGGATTAGTACTCACCATATTACTATGTCTATCGAATGCCTTCACTCTAGCCAAAAGCTTTTTATTGTTCCGTAACGAAATGAGAACCTGAGTGTGGTTCCTGACGGCTTGCTGTAGGACGGAGAGAGGACCTTGACTGATCTCATGTTCCTCGAGTTGCCGAAGCTGGGCCTCATCCAGTTCAGACTTTGGGACGTGTACGTATTGACTTCCAACGCAATGAGCAACCACAAAGACCAGCATGCATTGCTGGAACGTACCTCATGTTTGCACAAAGTGGTCAAGAGCTCGCATGCCGCCGAGTGGACGCACTCGTATTGGTTGTTTGGTCAAGCCAAACACCGCGCCGAAAAGTTTGGCGCGCGTGATCGGCTGCTAATGCGATCCCTAGGCCTCTTCCTTGCCTCGATCTGCTTTCCTCGTTCTAACCCGGACCCGCTGCACACTATGGGACGCTTGAGGCAGAAAGGCAAGGCAGGGGCGGCCAAGGCCTACATGACTCGTTCTCAAGCCATCAAAAAGTTGCAGTGTTCACTGGCCGATTTCAGAAGGTTATGCATACTGAAAGGTGCGCGCGGCAATTTATTGGTCGACATTTGTCGCCTAATGGTGATGCTTAGGCATATTCCCTCGGGAGCCAAAGAATAAGAAACGTGCCAATAAAGGCTCGTCTGCTCCGACGACCTTCTACTACGCAAAAGATATTGCGTATATCGCACACGAGCCAGTCTTGAAGAAGCTTCGGGAGCACAAAGCGTTTGCTAAGAGGTTGTCCCGGGCTTTAGGTCGAGGCGAATGGAGCAGCGCCAAGAGTCTGGAGGAGAATAAGCCAGTGTATCGTTTGGACCACATTATCAAGGAGAGGTGAGTGTGGTCTCCATCGGAGCCTGTGTTCGGCGCTTGCTAATGTCTGGAAGATATCCCACCTTCATTGATGCCGTTAGAGACATAGACGATGCTCTGTGCATGATATTTCTTTTCGCCTCATTACCGTCGACTTCCCGTGTACCGCCCTCTCTGATCGAAAATTGTGCACGCCTGGCGGCGGAATGGCAGTTGTACATCATGCACACGAGGTCTCTGCGCAAGGTCTTTTTTTCAATCAAAGGCGTGTACTATCAGGCAGAAGTTATGGACCAGACTGTGACATGGCTTGTGCCATATCAATTCACGCAAAACGTACGTTGAAGTTATGTTGAACGGAATGAAACAACTCTGACATACCCGAAGATACCACCAGACGTGGACGTTCGCGTTATGCTGACGTTCCTTGAACTGTATCAGACATTGCTAGGCTTCGTGTTTTTCAAGCTCTACACCGACGTCGGTCTCGTTTACCCTCCACCCTTGGACATGAAGAAGGACGAGGGGGCCGCCGGACTTGGCGCCTTTAGCCTACAGGATGCCAACCGAGCGACACTACAGCTTTCCATCAAAGAAGTTGATGTCAATGGCAAAACGATATCTAGTCGGGATGTCCGGCAAACAATCAAGAGCATTGCCGCGTCGGGTTCTGCACCAACAGACGACGATGCGCTTGTCAATGCCACCGTTGATACAGATGCAGACGTAGCCGATGAAGATTTCGTCCCCCATCCTTCAAAAAGTGACAACAAAGACGCGCAGGTTCTGCCTACCCTCAACGCCCTGGCCACGTTGCCTCGGCCAACTTCGGCGGACCTGTTCGCGCCGTACACATTCTGGATATCGCGTGAAACATCGCGCGGAATCTTCGAATTCCTGGTGCGGTCATTCGGTGGGCGGATAGGCTGGCCTGCTTCTTCAGGAAGTGGATCGCCCTTCGAAGAGGACGATGAATCAATCACTCATGTCATCATTGATCGGCCGGTCGTCGATAGACCAGAAGAGACGCCAGAGCAGCGGGAACGGCGCATGCGGCGCAAATACATCCAACCGCAGTGGATTGCAGACTGCATCAACGCCGGAAAGATTCTGTTGGAAGAGCCTTATGGTCAAGGCAAACCCCTACCTCCTCACTTGAGTCCTTTCGCTGATCACGCGGACGCCTATAATCCGACGACAGTATCCAGAAGCGAAGATGCAGAAATGGCGGAGGCGGATAGTGACGAGGAAAGCGAAGCAAACGACCTGGGTGACGACACTGCTGAACCAGAAGCTGACAAACCCGAGGCGCCTGTTGCAAAGGTTACTTTGGAGGATGTTGCAGACCCTGCTGTTTTGCGCGCCGCAGAACTGGCAGCGGAGGCCGCCGGATTGGACTACGGGACATTCGAAAAGGATATCACGAAATTGCAGAAGAGGGCAAAGAACAAAGCTAACGCGGGAGCAACGGAGGGACAGGAGGAGGGTGATATGAACAAGATGCTTATGAGCAATAAGCAGCGCAAGTTATATGAGAAGATGAAGTATGGTCAGAGGAAACGAGCAGCGGAGGTGGGTGTGTCTGTACGTCGCTAACCGCACTTTGATTGACCTTATTTTACTTTAGCGTGAAAAGTTGGAGGAGAGAAAGCGGACTTTGGACAAAGCTAAGAAGCGGAAAGAAAAGACATGATGTTTTCCTGCTTATTTGTCATATATGATGTATCGATGGCTGCCTTTCGTTGCATAACCCTAACCTGAGATGACCCGTCCAAGGTGGCTTGAGCGTCGGCAAGTGTACTTTTCCACGGGTGTATCGACGGTCTCGGCCCAGTCCATTACGCGACTTATGAGATCGGCACTACTTGCGGGACTCGGGAAAACGACGCTGGATATTCGCTGACTCTCGCCGTCGTCGTCTACGACAGTCTCAACAAGACGTACATGAACGATTACTGGAATGGTCGGTGTCTTTGGCCTCGGCAGCAAGAGTTCCTCGTCTGGCCAATCTAAATCCGACTCTAATACACATCCACCCCCGCCATACTCCGAACCTAATTCTTCCGTATTGCTGGCCGAAACGACGACGACGACCACCCATGTAGTGACCACGACCCAAACTACCACTCATTTCTTTTCTCTTCCCCTATGGCGCCGGCGCGCTGCTCCTGTATCCTCGACTGCCTCGGCGCGACATAGTCTTGTCGAATCCAATGCAGATGAGAACGGTATAATTATCAGCGGTCCCACTGGCCCATCCCTAATGCTTGAGAAGGCTCTTCCTCCCATTCCAATGGACGTAGCGAGCAGTGCTGGTCCGCTTGCAGCAACTCCTGAGACGGAGGAGGATGCAACCCTGTCGCGCGACTCCACCGGCGTCTTCCCGCATTCGCAGTCGACGTCCTCTGCAGTCTCTTCTCCCCGCAGTAGATTGAGGAAGCCATCGAGACCTGTAACCTCTCCTTCCGCGTCCCAAACCCTTGCCCAAGCCTCATTAGGACTGGGCCTCCCTCATGTTCTGCCCCAGGCCGCCACCTCTTCCTCATCCGAGGTCAATTCCGTCGCGTTTGTTTCGGCAGGTTCTGATATCCCTCGTTCGGATCTTCGTCGCGCAAAGAGCTACCGTGGCTTGAATTCCATGAGTAGTGCCGACGATGTGTCGGATGATGGGCACCGTCGGACAAGAGGTGTTTCTCTTGGACCGTACAATACCCCCAGTCCAGGAACCGGGACCGAGGGGAAAGGCAAGGGAAAAGCAGCCGGTGACGAATCATCATCATCTACTTCACGACCCTTGTCGAGGAAGTCGTCCTTCTTCTCTCGCAAAAGAAACGATTCCGACAAGCGTACCGCTCCCTTGCCCGTTTCGACTTCCAACTCTTCCGGTAATCTCAAGCCCTCGATATCACCCTTACACCCCGTTTCTCCGTTGCGTGTGGATATGTCCAATGAGCCATGGTATCCAGAGTCATCTACCTATGATGACCGAAGTACTCTTCGTCCTCCAGGTCTCGTTCGAAGACACTCCGAACGCAGTGGTCATCTTCCTTCGCCTCCTGCGTCTCCACCGTATGTCACGGTGGAAACTCCTGCACTACCGACCGCACATTTTGCACCAGACCAACGTGGGTCTTCGAAAAGCCAGAGTTTACGACGTCCTAGAACAGCCGACTCCGCTTCCCGCTCACGTTCACGCTCTTTATTTCTGGATTCAACATTCGCTTACGCTTCTACGTTGTCTCCTCCACCTATTCCCTCGATGCCTTCGATACCCGTTGAAAAGGACGCAAGCTCCGGACATGTAGCTATGTCCCCCCCGAGCTCTAGACCGTTACCTAGGACCAAGACGGGCGGGAATCCACCGTTACTTCATAGATTGTCTATGAACTTCTTCTCCTCTTCACCTAAGCACAACTCCATCAATGCTAGCGGGTTCTTCGGTGACTCCATCTCCTCGTCTCCGACATCTAGTCCGATAGCGTCTCCCCGAGTGTCCCTAGCAAAGACCCCAGCTGAAGTGCCTAAACCGAGGATGGAAGAAGAGTCGCCCGAAGTCTACCTGGAAAGATTGACCGAGGCTGTGAGTAAAGCGGAGGTAGCCACGGTACTGGCTTCGAGGTATTTATCCAATTCACTGGTTCGAATCGTGCATTGGTAACCATGATCTAGTGCGGACTCCTTTCACACCCGCGCTTTACGGGCCTATATTGCTCGCTTTGATTTTACTTCCGATCCATTAGACGTTGCTCTTCGCAAGCTGCTCATGGATGTCGGCCTCCCGAAGGAAACTCAACAAATTGATCGAGTTATCGAGGCATTTGCGACCAGATACAAAGAGTGTAACCCCAATCTCTTCACATCGGACGGTACGCTAATACGGATACGAATCTTCGACCTGTTCTAATTGCCTTGCTGTGTCAGATCATCCATATATCCTAGCTTTTAGTTTAATCATGTTGCATACCGACGCTTTTAATAAGTCCAACAAAAGGAAGATGACAAAGCCCGACTACGTGAAGAACACTAGACTTCCTGGTGTCCCTTCTGAGGTCTTAGATGTAAGTCAAACCCTACTTCTTACTGCTGCACTGGTTTGACATTGTCGTCTCAGTGCTTCTACGATAATATCGTTTTTGTGCCATTCATCTTCATCGAAGATCCTCTGGACATAAACGGTCAGCGAGGCTTATTAACCGAAGGTGGCCCGTCTCGCGTCAATGCCGTCGGGGGAGTTGCATCGAGCCCGGCAACTGGCAGTACAACAAATCTTCTGGGTCGCGGTTCGAAGATTGATCCCTACTATCTGATCACGCGGAATTTGCTTGATTCTCTTCGTGTCGATGTGGAGTCCTTCGTACCCTTGGAAAATCCCTACTCCTACGAAGGTACACTGGGTCCTTGGAATGAAGAAGAACTGCGCCATGCGTTCGCGAAGGCCGGTGTCATCGAGATCAACACCTTCGACAACCGTCGAATGTCTCAGCAACCCTACTTTGCATTGTCGGTGAACGGTCTTTCTAGTCCAATGATGAGCTCTATAGGAGCATTGCCTGAACCGGTAGTTCGCGAGATGATGACCATCAAGGTCACCAAGGTTGGCCTGCTGAACCGCAAAGACGATACAGTTGAAGGCGGCAAGAAAGCACTTAGCAGGAAGTGGCGGGAATGGAGCGTGGTTTTGACAGGGTCGCAGCTCCTGCTCTTCCGGGACCCGTCATGGGCAAACAGCCTCATGGAACAAGTACGATCGTCCGATGGCCATGTGCTCTTCCCTCCGGATGCTGTCCTGAGGCCAGATGAATTGATATCTGTCAAAGACTCAGTGGCCGTGTTTGATCGTTCGTACACGAAGGTGTGCTCTACCCTCTCCCTCTCGCTATTAATGTCTCATCATGGTGTAATGTAGCATGAACATACTTTGCGTTTTGTCATGCCTGATGGCCGCCAAACTCTCCTTCAGGCGCCCAACGACCATGAGTTAAATGAATGGATTTCTCGCATAAATTATGCGAGCGCTTTCAAAACTGCCGGCGTTCGAATGAGGAGTATGGGCATGACGGGTAAAGAAGTGGAGCTTACAGGTGTTGCTGCTGCAGCATCTCACTTGAAGGATATACAACATTTGGCATCACCGTCGTTACGGACCCGGACATGGTCTGATCTTTCATCTGACCAATCAAGCCACGCAATACCCGTGCCCAATGTGCTTGCCGATGTCCGACCTCTTGGATCCAGGAGGAATACCGTCCATGTTCGCACCAGTGGCAGTTTCGAAGACACGGCTGGTGTACCGGAGACCGAGAGCAGCCGCCAATTCCAAGCCACGTTCGAGGAAATCAAGGCTGACTTGGCAGCAGGCCGCTTGACGCTATCTGACGATTCCTCGACTACTAATGGGCGGCCCCGTGCAGGAAGCTCAGCTTCCTCGTTACGATCCCCCATGTCGGACGAGACTGATGGATCTGGTTTTCTGTCACGGACAGAAGTTATACGCTCGAAAGTGCGCGACTTGGACTCTAGAATCTCTGCCGCGCAAACACAGCTTGACGCAGATATGCGTTTCGTTCGCAACATCGCTATTTTGACTCCATTCCAGCGCAGCACTCGTGATCGCCTACAGACTGCCGTCCAGAACGTCTCAAGACGGATCACACAGGTACGGCTTGAGATGGCCAAGTTGCTATGTCACCGGGAAGTGCTGTCCAACGACTTGATAGCAGAGGAGCGCGATTGGTACCGGAACAAGAAGGTCGCCCTCAGAGCCGCCAAGGAAATGCTGGAGAATACAGTCGACTCAGGAGTACCTCGTATGACACTGTCAAGACATAGCGATCACGCCCCAACCGACCCTCAACCTGTGCCCCGTCAGCAGCCTTCCGGCTCACAGAGGCCCGAATCCTCGATACGCGAATCATTCTATTCTGCATTGGACTTCGGAGTCGACTCCTCATCTTACAGTGCGTCAGTGGAGGAACCGAATGGTCACTCCAGTTTTCCGCATACCTCTCAATTTGTTGATTCCCCGTTTGGTACGCCTTTCTCCTACGCAGGCGCTGCCAGCTCCGTTGGCTCTATCTCTGTCCATGATCACGACACCGCCGTCGAGACGCACGGCGTGGGGAATGCAATACGTTCGGCCGAGTTCAACCGTGCCGAAGGCGTTGGAGGCGGACAAACGCATGAGCGATTTTACACCGCTCCTGAAGTTCCTGAAGAGGCGGAAGACTGGAACAAGACCCGTGCTGCCAAGCGTGTTTCACTGGTTAAGTTGCCCTCCGATTTGCGGATATCGATGCTTTTTGGCAAGACAAGACCTTTGCAGGCTGACAATCCGTCAAGTATACCAGAGACTTCTGTGCCCTCGTCTCCTACCAGGAGTCGCAGCAACACGTTCGATCGGACAGGGCTAGCATACGCAATGTTTGACATTTAGTACGTCTACTTCAGCTGTTCTTTGACCTTGCATATAGGGACATTGTCGCTCTTTACGTTGCTCTCATTACTATTTAATGGGTAATATCGCACTTGTATTTCTAGCTGGATGTATAACCGTACCACTGTGCCCGCTTTACAACCGCTCTAGACTGCAGGCCACTGTTGACAAAGCCCGCGACATTCGATTGACCGTGATTGCAGCAGCATCGAAGTGCCTCGCATTGTGGATTGTGGTAGTACAATCCCTGCCTTGCTGCTTGAAGATGTTTCATATGTATGTATCTCACAGAACTTGAAGTGGCATATGCGTCCCGCCTGAGCGGAACCTCTTGCAGATATAGCAGCTCCCGATCACAGATCATTGCTTATGTCAGCCTTCCCGATGTTTGCCTTGTGCTTGTACTTGTTGGTGCGTATGTTATTTCTGTTTTGGTTAACCTTGAAGTTATTGTTCCCCTTGTACTTTCCACTCTTCCTGCCGATTGCCTTGGCTCTGTATCGTTGCCGGACCTGATCGTTTGTTGGCAAGTCCTTCTAGATGTCGATCTCACAAAAGGTCTATTCCCACCCTATACCTGGCGGAAGCTGTCTTCTATAACCCAAATCACCCCCGGAGACGACGAGGCAAGAAGTGATTCGTTCCTCATCCGAGAAACCCTGTCTTCTCCACGCCACGGTCAAGGAATTTTTGCACTTCTATCAGGCTGACGAGCGCCTAGCGCCAGGCTATATTGGGCAGTATAATTGTCTCTAGCTAAGTCCTTGTTTTTTGCTGTCGCGTCGCGGGTCTGCAGCTACCTTCGGTGAATGTCTTCCGTCGCGTTGGCCTTAGTCTGGCATAGCCGTTGCCTCAGAGGTGACTCGGTACTCCTCGTTCGCCTCTTCGGCCCGAGTGTCAATTTGTATCGGATATTCGGGATGTTCGACCTGACAGTCGGTGGTTCGCCCTACCTGTGGCGGGTGCACTATTCGTGCCTTACGTATTGGTATTTCTCCAGCCAGCGCTCATCTTGATGCATCGATGGCCGAGGCTGCTCGCCTGATTGAGTTGACCCACCGCTCTACTGTTCATGTGGCTGGCTGGCGATGACAGGACACCAACGCAGCGGCCGAATCCTGGTGCCCATGGCTGTGCGTAGGACGGTGGCAGATCCTGATCCATGTGAGAGTCGGGGGTCGGTGTAATGTCGGGACCGCAGGTGCTTAGATGGAGGTTTGACATGACTCCTTCACGAATTCCGCTCACCTGGCCATCTGCATTATGGCATTCAGAGTTCGACGGTTGCTTTCATTTCATTCTAAAGATGACCTTTGGATCCGGTCAGAGCCGCGTAAAGCGTTCTGCAGATGCTATTGCGTTGTTCGTCGGGGTGCTGTCATCGCTTTGCCGCCTATATGTTTCCTGCGAGGCGTAGAACTTCTGCAGAGCAAGACATACGAGCTTGACAGATGATGACGTCAATCTGCAGGTATGTTATGGTCACAGGTGAATTACGATGCGAGATAAGAAGGGACTGATTGCGGCTGCGGCTAGGTGGGCGGTGGCTGGTGATGATGTCTGTCTTAGGCAGGTCGTGGAAGTCAAGTGGAAATGATGCGAGAGCGCGTGCCTGATTTGATGCATGTAGTATGAGGTAGTATGCTGGGCGGGTCTAATGACCTGAGCCGAATAACGCGGTTTATATAGTCCGTGCCCTTCGTGTAGACCTATGTAGAATACAGTGGCTTAGAGCTCGAGGAGATTGTGGATATACGGCCGAAGTACGAACGTCGTCGACGGTGGAATAGACGTTCGATCTAAAGCGAAATATGGCCGCTGTCATTGGATTATAGAGAGTGTGCTGCCTCGTCTGCCTTGGCCCGACATTGCGAAGACGTTACCTATCGTTGGCGCGCATCGGCTGCGAATCTTACCACCGAATTCGCCTGGCGTATGCCTGCAGGCAGGGAACGTGTTTGGTCCGGTTTCTCTGAATCGCAGGCAGGAATGGGAACAGGCGTAATATCACCGAAAGGTTCCCGTAAGTAAAGTATGTGATATACCTATTCTTACACTAGAGACGCCTCGTGTGCGGAAGTAAGCAGGAGGTGTAATAATATACGTGTTGAAAAGCCACGCCCATAGTGCATTGCAAGCTTGCCAGCTCTCATCTAGAGAAGTTTTATTCTGCTGGACCGACATCAGTCTGAATAACCCCTCGCCCCCTTCTATCCATTCGAGTCTTTCGCCCGCGACTTCTGGCTGTCTCCCGGTGGTCTCAGCTTGGTTGCACGGGTGACAGGCTCGAACACCCGAAGTGATCAGTCGGCGCGTCACAACGCGCGGACCCGCCCGCCGCCAGATTCACCCTCCTCGCCTGGTATTTCGGCAAGAATATAGAAAACGCGTGGAAGTGAAACGCACCAGTCGTTCTTTACAACGGTCCTCGCCTCGGTTGGTCGTACAAGACTGCATATAATCGCACAAGACAGTACTAGCAAGACATCAGTAATCGACGCCCTCGCTCTTTGCTCTCTATCTATCCGAGTCGATCTACAGCTGCTGTCGTATCTGCTGTGGCTTGAGATACATATTGGTGGGTCTGGTCCCTCGATCGCGCAGGTATCAGCCAAGCTAATAAAGGGGTTCCGCACAGGTATACGCCTTGTCGCCCGTTTGGTAGTGTGGTATTTATCCGTTGCCGGTAAGACAGTCGAACGGCGTAGATGCGAGTGGAACACTGAGAGTATTGTGTGACAGGTGTCGCGCTGCAATAACTGGCATAACAAAAAAGGTGAGACATTTAGCCGTACGTTATATTGCAGTCTGTGTCGTGGAACGTGTCCGTGGGAATTGACCCGAAGGAGCGGGCGATCTACGGATTTCCCTATCAGGCAACTGCTGGGGGATGTGGCATTGCGACCATGTTTCGCATTGAGCATGCTGTGAACAGATGGCCCTGGCCAGTGCATGGCGGCACGAGCAGAATTACCTGTATGGGCCGCAGAGAAAACATAGGGCCGCAGAAGAAGGGGGGAGTGGCGCGAGTTTGGCAATATTTGCCTCGTGTGATGGTTGCGATTAGAATCTTGATAGGATCGAGGGCCATTTCTGGAGGACTCTTCACAGAGCCCAGTTTCTGTTTCTCCACTTGTCGCTTTTTGTGACCTTTCACATTGCCGCGGTCGCAGGGCCATGTCCTCCGGCCTCCCGGCCCCTTATATACTTCTCTGCCCTTCCTGAACACGCCCCCAACCCCCCTCCTCATCGTCCGCGACGTCCTCGACGTCCCCCCTTACGACACTGACGCTGACCACGACCCTCCTGCAGCCCTCCCGCCCCGTGTCGTCTGCCACAGCCGCGCACGTCCATACCACGACACGCCCTCGTCGTCGTTGACGCATGCTTAGCTTTCCCACTTGTGGTAAGTCGCGTCTTCCGCGTTCTGTCTCTTCCCGCTCCAGCCATCGGCGCGTTCACGTCCTCGGACGCGTTCACAATCGTGACATGGACGCGAAGGGCGTGAAGTCGTGCTGTGTGAAGGTTCCCTTCGAACACCCGCGACCTGCTCCGGCGTTCTCACTTTTCTTGCCGTCCTGGAGTCTTTCGCCCGCTCCTTTTCTTCCTGCCACACTGACTCTCAAGTCGGCCCCTGCGCATGCCCCCTTGACGAGTCGCTTGTGTCCAAAGGTCCCCCTTGATAGTTCTCTCTAAGATGCCTCTCTCTGAACAAGTGTTGACTGAATCTGCTTCCTCCTCTGGGCCTCGTCCTTCTACTTCTAGCCCTCTGTCGACTTCATACTCCTCTGATCCGATTTCCCTGTCTTCTCTCTCTATCGACATGAAGGACGCCTCCTCTTCGTCCAAGACCTCTCGCACCCATCAAGCCTACCCAAAGAAGCGGCCCTCTCCCCATGGCATCCGCAAGTCATACGGCAAAAGCCCAGCCGTCCCGGGATCTGCCAAACGCACACCGGCGGCCCCACACCCGGAATGGTTCGCCCAGCGGGAACGCCAAAGGCAAGTTGCCGCCTTGCAACGCAAAGGCGTCTTAATCGAGGAAGAGTATCGTGATGATATCACGCGATATATGCACGAGATGGAGGTCAGTCCTCTTGTTCGTCGCGTTTGTCCCGGAACTGAGTCAGCTCTCTTTCTTCAAGGTTGAGACCATGGGGTCGACGACCTCGATGGACCAGCAACCTGAGATCAAGTGGCATATGCGTCCGTGCCTGGTCGACTTTCTTGTCGAGATTCACTTTTCCTTCCGCCTCCGGCCAGAGACCCTGTACCTGTGCCTCAACATTATCGACCGCTACATCTCTCGTAGAATTGTCTTCGTCAAGCACTATCAGCTGGTTGGCTGCACGGCCCTGTGGCTTGCCTCAAAGTTCGAAGATGCCAAGGACCGCGTCCCGTCTACGCAGGACCTCGTGGCCATTTGCCGGGAGACGTACGAGGGAGCGGCATTCCACCAGATGGAACGTCACATTCTCAATACGATCCAGTGGACCATGGGGCATCCTACAGCCGAGGCGTGGCTAAGGTTGTTGTGTACTGGCTTCGTCATGGAGGACGCGAAGGTGCAACACGTCGCGCGCTTCTTGATGGAGATCACCCTCTTCTACCGGGAGTTCATACAGTATCCCTCGTCTGCCATCGCTCGCGGCGCGCTCTGCCTGTCAAGATACCTATGTGGCAAACGCCGTAATACCGTGGACGAGACAAAGGAGTGCCTCGAAATCGTAGACCTCCTTGATACCCGCTTGGCCAAGCACGTCAACGACCTTTCAGAGGTCTTGGTGAAAAAGTATTCCTACGCCTTTTTCTCGAAAGCGGCGACTTTCGTTGTGCAGTATTACCTTGAGGGAGGGCGATTCTCGCAGCAAGAGCCCGAACCATTGCCTATGACGCCCCTGAGAACGTCTACGGCGCTCTTTAGTACGCCAGTCTCGAATTCCGACTCTGCATTCAGCACTCCCATGAGTGCTTCGACATCCGCCTCCGACACGTCCGACGATATGCCGGCAACGCCCACGAGTCCCATGTTCGAGAACGACACGTTTGCAGGGCCGTACGTTGCGGATGGTGACAAGGAGAACCTGCCTTCATCGTCAACAGGCTTCGAGCCCGTAGTCAAGCATACTGGCGAGTCCGTACCCGACCATCTACTGCCGCATGATTACGTCGCGTTTGGTCGTCCGGCGCTGCAAAGTTTGAATGTTACTCCGCCCCCGCGCGGGACGGTGGTATAGGTGCTTGCCGCTGTACTGTTTCTTCGCCTCTACTTGCCGCGTATCTTCGGTCGCGGTTAGTTGTAGCTGCAGCAATGTCCGCTCCGCTCTCCCAAGTCATACTCCGCAAAATGTACTACCAAGCATCAATACGCCCGCTGTTGAAGGAACGCCGTGGCCATCATCAAGATTCATCTGTTTCACCATTGTCTCAACACCATGCATGTCTTTCATTTCCATCCATCGTCTCGATTTCATTCGTCTTTCATACCTCAGCATAGGCAGGCGCATCTATCTGGAAAAAGAGAGGAGAGGGATCACCGTTCTCGTCTGGTTCCATCCGGATGATCGACGATGATCTCCCTGCCGCCTTCTATTATCATTGCGCTCCTCTCTCCGGTTTCTCTCTTATCTCATCTCAGACTCTCATCAACTCGCAATCCTACCGCATACATTCGTTCACGGTCTGTTATACAATATGCATCATCACTCTCATCGTCTTCTCAATATGTCTATCCACATTTACTCTTTGCATCCGTCATTCTGTCTTTCTTACATTATTCATTCAAGCTATTCTACCTTTTTCTTTTCATCCTTTCGCCGTACAACATATTTTTTTCTACGCATCCCCCGACACATCATCACTGGCATCGCTCCCCCACATCGCCCCACTTTCACCTTCATAGTGTATCTCCGTTGTCATTACCTTTCTCCCTTGTCATCCTGTCACACCGGACGTTGTCTACATTGTCAGCCGGTATAGCGTTATATTGAGCCTAACGGGCTTTTCGGATACAGTAACAAATGTCCTTTGTAAATCGCATGCGTTGGATTTTGATACGCTCCCATGACGGGCAAGCTTATTGTCCCGTCTGACTTCCATTCGACTGTCAAGTGTCGATTCACTCCACCATATGCGTTCGAACAGCCTCTTGCTGGGGGAAGCCCTCGGATGTATCGTTGCGACGTCCGGTCTTACACGCAGATGACGCTCGCTCATCATACCGACTTGAATGTTCCTGAGTCAGAAGATGGTCAGAAGCGCTCCATAGGTAATGGGCCTTGTCAAAAGACATGTGCTTTGATCAATCTCAAGCTGCGCACTTGCGATAACAGGGGTCCCGGGCGCTGCATAGGACCGGGACCTTATAGGGCCAGCAGGGCACCGCTACCGTCATCGCAGCGTGTATCAATACGAAAAGCGCCCAAACAACTTCGATGCTAGGCAAGATGGCGTAATTGATTCCAAGTGATAGTACAGAAGCTACATATCAGACAGCGATAAACGTACAGCCTGGCAGGTGCGCCACTTTTACTTCTCCAGTTTCTGTCCTCGTACGGTGCCAAGCAGGGGAGGATCCGCCGTCTGCACCCGTGCGATAGACCGCGGTGAAATACGCTTGCCCCTCCTGACCCCGCTGCAGGAGTTATGACCAGACGCGACAGGCGTTTACTCCAAGGAGTACTGGCCGCCTGATGTCTTGATGACCACGGGCCGCTTCTCGTCGAGGCTTATGCGGCCTGCGTGCAGGATGGCGGTCGTGGCGACGGTGTTCGCGATCGTCGGCAGCCCGTGCGCGTCGAACTCCTCGGGCTTTGCGAGCCCCGCGTTGACGCTGCGCGCGGCGTCGACGAACTTTTCGATGGAAACGTAGCCGTAACCCCGCTGGCCGTCAAAGTGGCCCGACTCCGAGGGCGAGTATTTCATGCTGATGGGAACGATGTTCGGACCGGTGATCAGCGCACAAATTCCGCACGAGCAGCGAGCGAGATGGCCATACGCACTAGAAGGGGTTGAACCACGACTTGCCGGTGTCGTCGACCGTGACGTCGTACCCGCGGTGCGCCTGGTCAACGCTTATATCGCCCTGCGCCGCGGTCCCGCACCATCAGCAAAGGCACACCACAAACGCCCGCGCACACGCATACCTTCTCGGCCATGTAGTACCAGTGCTGCGCGCTGTGCACGCCGGTCTTGAGCGGGTGCGTCCAGCTGGCGGTGTACACGGCGGTGCCGCGGTGCGCGGCGCTGCTGAGGCTCTGCCAGTCGACGAGGAGCGTGATCGTGTCCTCGGTCTGCGGGACGCAGTTGTACGGCGGCGAGGTCGCGATGCCCGCGGCGGCGGACGCGACGACGCGCGTGGGCACCGCGCGGCCCTGCATCATCCAGCAGTGGATGTCGATGTGGTGCGAGGAGAGGTAGTAGCTGGTGGGTAGCGGTGAGTAAGGGTGAGTGTGAGGGAGGGGGGGGAAATGGGCGTGCCTGATGTCGGAGTCCTTGCCCGCCCAGGCGCGGAAGGTCTCCAGCTGGCTCTTGGGCTGGCTCATCCACGCGCTGAAGAAGTTGAACTCGCCGAGCGTCTGCGCGCGCGCCTTTGCGTCGCTGTACACCGGGTCGAAGCTGCAGTCGCGCGGGTCAGCGTGCGGGGGTGCGTGGACGGACAGGGAGGGACGCGCCGCTTGTGGTGCTCGACGAAGCAGACGACGCCGTGCTTTTTGGCGGCGGCGATGAGCGCGTTGTGGTGCTTGAGCTGCTGGACGGCGGGCTTGGTCACGAGGACGTGGAGGCCGCGCTCGATGGCGTAGAGGGCGATGTCGTAGTGCGTGTCTGAAGGGCGCCGTCAGCAAGGTTCACTGAGTTGATGCATAAGCGGGACGTACTGTCGGGCGTGAAGATGATGACTGCGTCCCCCTTGGACAGCTTGTCGATGGCAGTCTTGTCTGCAGTCCGGTTATAAGTGTTCAGCTCTACCGGAAAAGCCACTCGTACGCACAAGCCAGAGGGTCGACCTTGCCCTCTTCCGGGAATGCATCGAACCTAGTGGCAGACAACCCGTCACGACACTGTCACTCGGTGTAATATCCGCTGTTGACTCACGAGACGTCCATGTCCTTGTACACACCGGCGATGTTCTCTTGCAAGTGCTGGCGGATGGCGGGGAACTTGCCCCCGTTGACGCCAACCATGCTGAGCTTCTCGACCTGCGCCGAGCGGTTAGGTTAGCATTCGGTGAGCAGCAAAGGGAATGTACATGCCTTGCCCAATCGCCGGAGATCGAAGAGTGTCAGGCCGACGACCTAAGTCGTCTTGAGCATCTGCAATTCAGCCGCAAATTCAGGGGTTGGTACTCACTCCGATCTGAGTGCAAAGTGTCTGGTAAGTAACTGGTGCTGTGAGGATCGGTGAATGCACGGACCTTCTTGTCAGACTTGGATGCACCACTTCCTGTCCATCCCGTGGTATACTCTCCCTGTACAAGTACCTTGGCCTTCAGTCTTGACGCAGACGCCTGGCAAGTGGAATCACTGACCGTACCACCTAATCGTGAATGCGGCGATCAGTCGCGTGTGACGAGCTACTTGGACTGGAGGACTTACACATCAAGCAGTTGAGCTTCTGAAGGTTGGCCATTTCTTAGAGCGTCGGCGTAGCACAGAGAGGGGGCAGAGAAGGACAGGAGAGGATGCATAGCGAGTCCGACGGCCAATGTTTAAGTAGAGCCCTGGACTGTGAGTGCAGACGGACCGCGGCGGGCCGGGAGCCAACCGGGCCGGTGACCGCCCAAGTCCAGGACCCCTGAAAATACCGATGGAGGTTAGATACCAATTCCGTAAAAAAGTGAGGTCTGGAGGCCGTATGTTAGATACGGTTGCGGTAAAATGTGGCGAAGCGCCCAAGAGGCCGGATACTTCAGTCCCGGTAGAATTGAGGCTCAATATCCAAGGTCAGATACTATTGTGGTATATTCCCGGCTTCTCCCGGCACCCAATCACTCACTTGTGCAGCCACAATTTGCCTCAATAAATATTTGAGCTGAGATTGCACTGTTTTGGCAACATTGGCCCTATATATGGCATATTGTAGCGAATAATGCCTTATTTTGATCAAATTTGGCTAAGAAAAAACCTTGTAACCGGATCAAACTTCGGAGGTTGGATATCTGGGTCCCGGTAAATCTCGAGCCACACGGCTAGGTTGGTATCGCGTCCCGGTAAAAACAGCCAAATTAGGCGAAATTCGGTCCCGGTAAAAATGAAGGAAATCAGGTTCTCTGGTATCTAACCTCCATTGGTACTTTCAGGGGTCCTCCAAGTCCTCTGAATGACGGGGCGACCGTGACCGGGACGCGTCTGGCGCGTGCACGACGCGAGAAACCCGACGGCGCGTGAAAGGGTGCGGGTGAAGGCACGGCGCGTCGGGCCCGACCGAGGACGGCGGCGCGCGGTGTGACGGCGTCACGGAAAATAATGGGTGTCAGAGACACAATAAATCGAGCGAGCGTTGTGATAATCTGGGTGGCGAGGAGGGATCAGCGTGAAATGGAAAACCTGACGTGAAAGGGCGCGAGATGTGTCGCAGATGGACGCAGGCCCGAGCGCGAGGGAAATCGATGGAGAGTCGGGCGCAGATGGTTGTCAGTGCCGAGCGGGTGGCGGGGGCGGGAAGGCGGCAACGGGGAGAGGCGAGCGAGCGAGTGAATGGGAGAAGGCCGGTTAGGCGCAGCGAATAGCCGGGCGGTGTGGGTCCGCGCGCGCCTGCGCCTTCTTTGGGAACATCCTTTCGCCTCGGGCGTGAAGAGGTGAAGAACGTGAAGGGCGGCTGGAGGGCGGACGCCGGGTGCCCTGGGTCTGGCGCGGTGGACACATCCTGCCAGGACGAACCGAACCGAGCGCTGGCCGACGCAGAAGCCCCCGACGCGTGTCGGGACCGGAGGCGGAGAAGCACAGGCAAGGCCCCGATCAGTGCAGTGGCGGTGCAGGCTGGCGTCTGACATGATGTCAATGCAGAGCGTGCTGGAGTGCTGCTGCCAGCGTGCCACTCGCCTTGCATTCGATGCGAGTGCTTTCCGATAGTCTCTATCTGCCTTTACGACTTGCACGCCTCGTCGTTCGGACCCGCCCAGGATGGCGCATCCCCCGCCAGAGTCGTCCTTTACGCCTCGCAAAGAATTCATGCCGACCCAGCACATCTACTCCACTTTCTCGCTCATGACCCTCTCCAGCAGCAACCTCATCCGCCTCTATTCCTTCCCCCCGGCTTTCATCAAGCTCCTGCGCAAACACCTCAACGACCGCGGCCTCCTCACAGCAACCCGTCAAGACGCTGGCCAGACCTGCTACGAGTACACCGTCGACGGCCGGCCCTGGGCTGCCCCAAAGAGCATCGACAGCGAGCGTCTCATCGTCGATCTGCTCCACATCATCCTCAGCCATGGCTACAATTTCCTCTCCACTGTTGACTATGGCCGGGAGCACGACGACAAGGTCGCCATAGCCTTCTCCAAGCCCCAGCCGCTCATGGACCGCGACCCGATCAAGTTCAGCTCGAGCACCAACCTCGGCAGAGGGCCCTCGCCCTTCCCCAGCGGCTCCTCCGCAACCCTCGCACCGCAGTCCCCCACACTCGCCCATGCGCAGCTCAACAACGAGCCCAGACAAATGATCGCTACCAAGGTCCCCTTTGCTGTCTCTTTCCCGTCCGCCAGCCTCTTGCGCGTTATATCCCCGCCTCTGAACGATACACCCGCCATTTTGCAGGCCGTCCGTAGTTCCTGGCCTCGTGGTGTCATCTCCGAGAAGAAAGTAGGCGAAGCGTACGAGTTCAAGCTCAGAGGCTACAAATGTAAGTACAGCCTCGGCATCACATCACCCTGCTCAACCCCGAGCTACGCCAACACGAATATAGCACTAACTCCTATTTGCCGCCTAGGGTTCCAAGAGGACACATACGCAACCGACTCCCTGCAGCACATCCTCACCCTGCTCTCCTCGCTCGACACGCACGCCTTCACGCTCCTCACCTCGCTCACCCTCACCAACCGCTCGCGCGTCAAGGACCTCTGGATCTTCACCGGCGCGGGGCCCGAGATCCCCGACGAGCCCCTCGAGGACCGCGACTCCATCCTCTTCCCCCCCGGCAGCAGCATCCTCAGCCACAGCAACTCGCACGCCGACTTCCAGCAGCCGGGCAGCCCGCTCGCCGGCCACCGGCGGCTCGCGACCGTCCCCGACGTCGGCGGTGAGCCCAGTTCTCCCGCGACGCCCACGGCCGCGAACCCCGGACACAGGCGCTCGATGACCGAGCCCATCCCGCAGATCCCAGCGCGCCAGCAGAGCCCGCTCGCGCAGACCATCCTGCGCAAACACACGCCGCGCACGCAGTGGTCCGAGTCGCAGCCCGCCAACCCGCCCCAGCCCCAGCCCCAGCCCCAGCCCCAGCAGAGCAGGAAGCCCCCGCCGATCGACATGACGGGCGTCGGCGCGTTCACCAAGCCGGGCCACCTGCGCAACCTGTCGCTCGGCGGGCAGCCGTCGCCGTCGATCATCTACGCGACGGGCGGCGCCGGCGCGCGGCGGAACAGCGAGGGCGACGAGACGCCGACGCCGCGCGCGCGCGAGGAGCGCGACGCGTTCTTCCCGAACCCGCTCTCGCCGCCGTCGATGTACGAGCGGCGCGACCCGGACCTGAGCGCGCTCGCGCCGCCGAAGCCGTGGGTGCAGCGCAGCTCGGCGGAGGTGCGCAACCCGTTCCTGGGCATGTTCTCGAAGGAGCGCGCGAGGGAGCGCGAGGGGGAGGCGAGGGAGGGGTCGGTCAGGACGGGCCCGCGCTCGCGCAGGGCGAGCAGCCTCAGCCCCGGGCAGGAGCTCGGCGCGGGCGGGCGGCGGCGCTCGAGGCTGGGGAGCATGCCCGGCCCGCTGGTCGTCCAGAACCCGGACCCGACGCCGATCGAGGAGGTCAGGAGTAATCCCATGAGCCCCGTGGGCGCGTCGGCGCCGGAGCTCGCGCTCCCAGGCGGGTTTGGCGAGGAGAGAGGTGAGGTTCCGAATGGGTTCCCGCCGCCGCCGCCGGTGATCACGACGACGCCCCCCGCGGACGAGCAGCCCCCGTCTGAGTTTATGGCTTCGCCTTCGCCGCCTCCGCAGTCGAATGGGGGTCCGCCAGCGGTGCAGGCCAAGGCTGCGACGCCATCGCCGCCGTTGCTCAGCCCGGGCGCGTTCAGGGATTCGGCGTTCTCCACCGGGTCGAGGGAGTCTGGCTGGACGGGCACAGAGAGGAGCAAGAGCATCGAGATTCCGATCAAGTGGACGGGGCCTCCTGGAAGCGAGAATGCCGCGAGAGTGCCGAGCGATATCAGAGAAGAAGACGGAGAAGGTGTCATGTTCCCTGGTGGATGGGCTGACTCGCATGAACAGGAGAGGCCGGTCGAATCCGCGCCTCCGATGCAGAGGGAGAGGTCACAGAGCGTGCCCATGTCGGTCGGACTCGGCAGCGATATCGACGGCTCGGGGAGCCTGGGTGCTTTGGCCCTGTCCGGTGACAGGATGAGTCGCAGCCTTGATCTGTCCGCTAGCGAGGTCGAGAGGCTCCGGGAGCAAGCACAGAAGGAGGTCGACGCGAGGGTGAGCTCGCCGGACTTTGACCCGGGCTTGGCGCGAAAGTCCAGCAGGGGCGTCGTTGGGGTGCTGAACAGTCGGGGCGTATCCGTGCTCAGCGGCGTCACGACCGACTCGAGGTTCAATAGCATCCTGCGACGCGATGCGTCCCACCCGAAGCAGGCGAATGGCGGCATACCTAGAGGTCCTGCGCGATCGACATTGGGCAGCAACGCGGGCCCCCCGCCTTCGTGGTTGCCAAAGCACCTGACTACACCAACCCCGCTCTCTGCGCAGTCACCTCCGCGTCCAGGTCCAAGTCATGCTCCCCCTGCCGCACAACCTCAACAACGGCCACCCGCGCAACCCCATCCTCAGCTCCAGAGACGAGTCACACCTCCGAAGCTCGATACACTACCGAGTGCGGCACCGCTGGATCGGTCGAAGAGCCAGCTCTCCCCGCGGAAACTCCAGAAGTCGCCGAGTGATGATGCCCGGAGGGAGCGGGAGAAGCAGCTCGCGCACCAGTCGTCGATAAGTGAAGGCTGGGTATGGATCAACGTCGAGAACGCCACCCCGAGAGGGTCTGGCGCAGGTCAGGCGAAACGTGCGGCAGGACCGAGTTCATTGGGTAAGACTGCTGTGGACGGTGACGGCAGGACGCGGAAAGGCAGCCACGAGAAGGGCGGCAAGGGCAAGTTCTTCTTGCTTGGTAGGAAAGCCAACGCGGGCGCGGGTGCGCCGGACAAGAAGAAGCTGGCGAAGAAGGCTGGTCCTACTACCGCGGACGCGTCGAGGAATGCGGCAGCGGCGCAACCGCAGCCGCGGGTAGCGAATGGTACGTCGGCGCAGGCGCAGTCGAGAATACCGCAGAGGGCGGGGGCAGAGCCAAGAACAGAACCGAGATCTAATTACCGACCTGCGAGGCCCAAGTAAGAGGCTCTTCCTGGTGTTTGGTATGTATATACTGGTACGTATTCCATGGGCTGCATGGGCCCCCCATGATTGACCTGTTTGCCAGTCTAGCGAGCAGAGCTCTTGTACGATAACGATCTCGCGATACTGCGTTGTTTCTCCTCCATCTTTTGGAACTTTATACCTCTTGTAAGATCACCCTGATATCCGCTGCTATTTCTACTTGAGGATTCCTTGTACAGTATAACCTACTAGATTTCTTCTCGTTCTTTCATGCCTTCCAACTGCAATTGGTGGCTTGCAGCCTTGAACTTTTAATTATGGCTGTCGAATAGACGGACCTAGGACGTAGACGAACACCGTTCTGTAATGGCCTTACGATACTAATGAGAAAACGATCATCTTGTAGATTTGCTGTGTCGCAGTTATCTTATCACTGTCCGACATACGTCCCAAATAGGAAATACCCATGTTACTTCCGTCATCGCATGTTGTCGCGCAGGGGGACCATCGCTGAAGGCCTCTTCGTCCTTCTCGTCCTCGTCATTACATGCGCCCTCGGTCTCTCCGCGGTTCTCCTCCTCTCCCAGGTCATCCGGAACACAAATGGCCAGTCCCTCCAGCACAACTACAACCTCATTGTCGTAGGCGCGTCCTATGCCCTGGTCGTGAGTCTTGCTGTTTACTGGCGATCATGTATTGCTGAGCAACGCTGGTTTGGCCAGTTGGTCGTATCCATTGCATTTTGCCTGAAACGCAGGCTAGCCGTAAGACGGAAACTCCAGCGGATTTCCAAGGTTTACAAGACTCTCGAGAAAGGTGACGTTCCGAAGGTATGCGCGGATTGCCCGTCAACTCCGCAAGCGCTGAGGCGTTTCATAGTCCGTGCACCAGTATATCCTTCAGGAATATACCCGGACATGTCTTATTGCATTCGAGTCCCAGCCACGAGACGGTGTCCAGGAAGGTTGGGGCAGACCCGGTATGTCGATCCAACCGTCTCTGTAGCCCTTGCGTACGATCGCCCTTGGCCGCCGCAGGCAGTAAATACGCCGATATACATTTCCGCCGCTCACTGCTGGATACGATACCAGAAATAGGTAAGTACAGGGCAGACTGCTGTTCACAGGCTCCTGAAGTTCGCCAATCCTTCCGCGTAGATGCCTTGGCCCATCTAGTTATCCCGAGACACCCTCCGCTACGACCTCACGACCGCATGCTCCATCACTTTCGCTTCATTATACCCTTATTGCCGAAGGACAAGGATGGACTAACGCCTCTGCACTATTACGACTCTGCGATCCAGCTTGCCCGACATTCGTGCAGGGAACCATCCGAGATAGAGTACGAGGAAGGCTGCAAGGCCGCATCAGAGATCAAGCGCATGTGCGTAACCTCTCGCTTGCTGCCTCGGGCCCAGTATTATTTTCGACGTTCCTAGCACTAATGCTCGCTTGCTTCACTAGCCTGTACGAGTGTCGGCTAGAGATGCTGGAAGGGTCATCAACGGATCTGCAGCAGGATACCCGGTAGCTTAATGTCGGCTGTAATCATGATGTGCGATATTGTCGCAGACGTCACTCTTCACAACGGGGATATCAGTCGGAAAATGTGCTTCAACTACGCGGTATGACAGTGCTCTATATTGTCGAACATCCAGGAGGAGTTAGTTGCTTAGCGCGGTAACCTCATCCTCGGAGAAAAGAGCGAAAGCAATTTGACAACAATTAAAGATCGTATTGAGTAACACAAGACGCTTAGATTATATCCAGTCACCCGTATTCGTAACACCCAATGAGTTTGTAGTCTCCAACGCAATGGGAGAGCTCTATATTCCCCATCCATGTCCTAATAGATTGTGTAGACTTGCAAGAACACAGCATTAGAACAGGAAAACCTGGGATACAATCGAATTAGCAGCGCATAACAAGGCAGACTAGCATTCCTCTCACCTGGTCAACAAGCTTGCTAACTGTGCGAGGCGCAGGGTAGCCCAGCTCATCTAGATGTTTCCTGAACATCGCGTTAGCTTACGGTCGACTCAAGTTGAAAATTTGGACTTACTTCATGGCGGTCATCATCGGAGGGGGGCCTGAGGAACGGGTAAGGACGCTTTCATTGCACCAAGTAGACAAGACGTACCGCATAGAAGGATTTTGATGTTCGAATCGGTCGGCGGCAGGTGCTCCTTGATCTGCTCCTTGGTCACGAACCCGACACCGCCAGTCCAGCCCTCAGGAGGATTGTTGAGCACGTAGTAGACCTTGAACCGGTTCGGGTGCTTCGCCGCGAGCTCGTCTAGCTCCGCCTTAAGCAGGATATCTTCATGATTCACGTTAGCGTAGATCAGGCTCAATTTCGTCCGGTCCAGGGGGTTCTTGAGCGCGGCGCGGATGATCTGCAGCATGGGCGTGATACCCGTGCCACCCGCGATCATGCCAATCTCGCGGGTGAGGGACGGGGAGTACTTGAACTGGCCGCGGGGTCCCTTGACGCGGATCTTGTCACCGATTTTGAGGAGCGAGATGTACCGGGAGATGTTACCCTTCTCGTAGGCCTGCACGGACGCACCGGTCAGTGCGCTGGCTTTCGTAGATATAGTTGCCGTGACATACCTTGATAAGCAGGTCAAAGTGACCCTTGTCGTCGTCGCTGCTCGTGGGGGTGTAGCTGCGCATGATATCCTTGCCATTGATTTCGGCTTGCACTTGAATGTGCTGCCCGATGGGAAGTCCGAGGATGTCATCGGGGTGGGGAAGAGCAAACCGATAACTGTCCGCAGACTCGTGAGACCCCCACGAAGACAGGGAAGAACTGGACATACATGGCAGTATTAGGCGAGATTATGATTTTCTCCTTCAGCGGAAACTCTTTCCAGACAGCAGGATCGAGCACTGGTGCTCTCTCTGCACTCGCAAACACCCCCCGACGTCAGAGATCTTGAACACTGTACCACACAGGAGTCACATACTTTGGGGTCCCGAAAGTCGGTAAATGACAGCAGCGGTCACCGCTGTCAGCACCAGAAGCGCCAGTTGGAAGAAAGGGCTATCCTTGACGGTGTCCAAGGACAATCCTCCAGGGATCTCCGCAGGCATCTCGTCGGTCGCGTTCTTAGGGGGCAGCCCGATTAGTATGAGTCTAGAGATGTCGTAGCCCGCAGCCTTGAGCTTGCGCTTGAGGTACTCCGAGACGAGGAGGAGGACAGTGAGCAGGCCGAAGAAAGAACCGAGGAAGACGAACTGGTACCGGTTGGGCATACAGTACGGCGCTCTGGCGTTTGCCTGGACCGCGGTCGACGTGCAGCGTCGTACGACTTGCGCTCGGGGCTCGGGGCGGCCGCTTGAAACCGAGTTTTACGTCGGGACGCGGGCGCTAACAATGTCCACTTCATCTCCACCATGTCTTCCAAAGCTGTCTATTCGCTTTCATTGTGGGGACTATCGAATACCTAGAGGGTAGTTTCTATGGCAGGATACAGGCTAGTGTATGATATACTCTAGTACGGGCAGTTGATCAGGGCCCAACCTTCCTGTACACTGCAGGTACTTGTCAATGGGAGTGGAAGTTGAGGCGCAAATGCGCGGTTGATGCGATATCGTTGATTCGGAAAGGGACGTTTGGGTTGCCAAAACACCCGTTTCTAGACCTCTTCCAATTATAATGCAACCGGCTTCAATGGCAGCTACAGCTGTACGATCAGGTGGGTCCACACAGGCGTACTGATAGATGCAGCTTCTGCTATCAACATAGACCTTTCGGAGGGATCTGGACGAATGGTTGCTATTGATGACGGCGATCTAGCAATGGCGAGACTGAGCTGGATGACTGGACGCAGGTTGGCATGTACCATCCGAACCCTGTGTACTGTATGCGCATCAGAACTCGGAGTGTTCGTCCATCCGTCTCTTACCGTCTACGATCGTCATATCTGATGAGCGTAGGCTCGGACATTCGAGAGCTACATTCTCCGCGTTATTGCTTAGTGAAGTCCCTTTGCGCAGAGGCCAGCCTCGTATTAATCACGCACGCCGGGTGCAGTTAGGCAGATCTGCAGAGTTTCCAGAGTTCTTGTTGCAGCTATGGCGATGAGACAGACATCCAGTAATAGCACCGCAGCCCAGCTACATACATAGAGGCAAGAAATCAGAAGCTATGGGTGTATCTGGGGCGTCATATATGTGGGATCGTCAAACGGGTCAGAACAAGTGGCGACGTACATTAGCAGGACAAGTGCCTTGGCAAAGGCTGACCACGGTGCACAGCGACGAACCCACCACGACGGTTGCTGCGGGCGCCGGGCGAACTGCGAAAAGCACGGAAGGCTGCAGTCTGCAGACCGGGGACAGGATCCGGGTGGGCTGGGATTGCGGGCGCTGCCACGGTAACATATGCAGCCTACAATGCGTACTGAGCGTGGCTACAACAATCAGCAGGAGGACTGTGGCATTGAGGCGGATTACTGTACAATGCGGCGAGGCGCACGGTGTCTGGATGGATTGATGTGGCGGTGGACCGGCTACTCGCTGCCGACGGCCGGGCGCAAGGAGTTGCCCAAACAAGTGTCAACAACGATCCTGGTTCGCGTTTTGTCGTAAAGCCTGGCCGCCGTCTCCTCTTTCCCGACCACAACCGACCTCCCCTCCCGCCCCCGTCCTCGGCCACACTTTCCAGGTCGGTGCTCAGGCCGCACTCTCGGCCGTCTTTTCTGTTTCTCTCTTCTTCTTGTCTTTCTTTTATCTATTTGGCAGCGCAGCCCAAACACGCCGGGCGTGTCTATATCTCTCAGCATGCAAAACCAGATAGACGCTTCTCGGCCACGATGCACGACTCTGCCCTCCGCTCCACGCAAGAGGGGACCACCCGCAGCCCTGCGCATTGACACCCCCGCCTATAACAACCAGATTGCTCTCTTAAATGGCGACACTCCATCCGCTGCTTCTGCTCTGTCCTCAGCCACCTCCGACTCGTCCGAATCCTTCCCCTTCCCCCAGCCTAACAAGCCGCGATCTCTCAGGAATATGAAGCGGCTATCCTTGACCATCCCGTCTGCCGAGTCCTCCACGGCCTCCCTCGCCTTATCCCCGAATGAGTCAAAAGGTGGTCCTATGTCCGCTCATCCTGATGCCACAGTTGCCGCTCGCAGGAGACGTCCTAGTGTCGTTTCCATGCCTGCGAGTACCACGGCGGCTATCTACCGCAAAGAAGAGGACGGCGAAGGTTCGCCTTCTGTTCCGTACTCTGACGGACCGATAGAGATTCTCCCTCGGATATGGTTGGGTTCTGAGGACAACGCGCGGGACTGGAAGTGTCTCATAGAACGAGGTATCCGATCGATCTTGAATGTCGCAAAGGAGGTATCCTCTCCCTTCGATACCGCTGTCGCCCAGCCCCGACGTCCATTCTCATCCACTCCCAACATCACCCGTACAACAAAAAGCTCCAATTCAACGTACTATCCTCCTCATATCCCCAGTGGACGACCCGGCATGCATTACCTGCGACTTGCATGGTCTCATGGCCAATCGGATCTGGTGCACTCTGGTTTTCCAGAAGCCATGAGTTTCGTCGATCAGGCGCTAGAGCGTGGTGATGGCGTATTGATCCAGTACGTACCATCGCACTCGCCCTGCGCTCTCGCGATCGGAGCTCATCTGCCATATGTAGCTGTCAATGTGGTGTCTCACGATCTGCCACGCTGGTGATTGCTCTCGTCATGCGAGCTGCTGCCCTTGCGTCCCCTTCAGTTCCGGCAGAAGTCCGGGACTTGAAAGGCATGCAGGCTGCCTATTCATACGTAAAAACAAAAAGCAGATGGGTTGGACCTAATATGTCGTAAGTCCAAATGTCGCCTGGTACTAACAGGGGCTAGTATTGATGACTTGACAGCCTCATCTATCAACTGCTAGATTACGAACGAGAACTAAAGGGAGGTTCAAGCTCTCCTGCGTCCTCGGACATTTCTTCCTCCTCTGCGGCAGAAGAGGAATGGGGACGCCGTCGGCAAATGTTAGAGGACACACCCTCTGACTCTGAGGAAGGCCGGGAAAGCGCGGAAGTTCTGCGTGAGGCTCAAGCCTTAGATAAGGCAATGGAGGACCGAATGGTCGCGCGGAAAGCTTCAGCTTCTTCTATGAGCTCCATCGGTTCTCATGGAATGGGTGCAGCGTGGAGGAGCAAATTTGGCTCCCGGAAACGCACAGGATCCGTTGCCAGCAATCTAACAGGAGGTAGTATACTCAGCGAAGACCTCGTCGAGGAAGATGAGGAGGAAGAACTGTTGGGCGTTGGCGGTGGGTTTGATACTCGAAGCCAAGGAACCAGGAGTTCATGGTCTTCAGAACCTTCCGAGGAATACAAGTTGGGCGATCGTCAGGAAAGCCCCGAACCCATCGCCTTTAATGATCCCTTCACACCTCGTGCGGCTCGGACGCCTTCAACCGCGCGTCCGTTGCCGCCGCCTTCTGCCCCGGCTACCAAGTCAAGCTTCTCTCTTCCACCTGTTCCAGCGACGGCCTGTAAATCGACGTTTGATCTGCCTCCGTCGTCTTCCTTGAAAGCTAAGTTCAAGGCGAAAAGGCGGCCGCCGCCGCTTGGTATCCTGCCCCCGGTGCCCCCTTCACCAGAAGCTGTGTCGCAAGCTTCCTCTTCGGTACCAGCACGAGCACGGAAGGATCGCCACCGGCCTACCCCTCCTCCTCTTCATCTGCGGAGTTCGCAAACTCAACTCGCAGTTGATGCCGCCCATCCTCCTTTCACGACCCCGTCCCAGACCCTCTTCGTCTTCCCGCCTTCGCCGACACTGACGACGCGTACGCCTTCTACCATGACCCTGACATCCAGTGCAAGTAACGCTTTCCCATTTCCCTCTGTATCAACACCGCGGGTCTCCACCATACGGAGAAATGGCAAGACGAAGTCGTTCATCGGTCTCGCAATCCCCCCAACGCCTACCACGGCGTCCTCGCGCGTAGACGCGCGGGGTTGGGTGGGACTGTCGAAGAACTGATCGAGTTCCCACTCCTTCAGGCGCTGGAGGAGTGGCGTATATGCTCTCCATGCTCCTCCTCCATTCGCCTCTGGGGCTGCCGTGTGTCGGGTATCTGGTAGATTATTCGCTTTCACCCTTCGTGCATTAACTAACTTTCGTGCACCAACGGACGCACTGTTATCGTATTTATCTATCTACAGCATCGGATTACTTCTTTGCTTTCCCGATATCCGCTGTCATTGATGCGGATGATCCAGCAGGTCCCGTTTCACTTTGTTCGCCACGGACTGGACGCTAGCATCCTCATTATCTCCATTTCTGTCTATCAATGTAGCATTTTCTGTATCATTGCTCTCATCTTCTCATTCTCGACACGCAATGCTTTCGGATCATTATTCTTCATGTCTCACCTGACATCTTTTTCCGGCTGCTCCCCGCAGTGCGTGTACTCGTAGCATGAATACGATGTAGGTGTTAGATATGAAATAAAATGCAATATGGAAAAGAACGCTACATGTGGTGGGATCGGAAGGATCGAAGTGTATAAATTATGGACAGTGTCACGCTTCTGAGTTCTTGGGAGGTGGGTGGCAATCAGCCGAACACTCGTCCTACACTGTTTTTGACGGCACCAGCAAGAATCTGCCCGCCAATCCCGCCCATGCCCAATCCCCACCCCGACGCAGCAGCATTCGCCCACCGCTGCTTTGCGTCTCGATCGCTGACAGACGCAAGCAGTGCTTCAGTCATGCGTGAGACGTATGCAAGTAATGACAACACGTACGCGTAGGTGAAGCCGATGACGTTCGTCACGTTGAACACGAGCGCGAGGACCACGATGGGTATGAACCTCCGAGATGAGAGGGTTAGTGGGCGGGATGATGCTGTGCGGGGGGCGATGGTGCTCACGAGATATTGAACTTGAGGAGGGAAACGATGAAGAGGGCTAGCCATAAGGCTGGGAACGCGTAGAGTGCGATCCAAAACATCCTGGAATAGGTGAAGATCTAATGCGTAATCGGCGGGACAGCTACTGACCTCGCATCGATTGGGTTAGCCGGCCGAGAGGGCTGTGGAAGTCATTAATTGGCATCCCGAATAGGCACAGTCGACTAGGCGTACATCTCGGCTCTCGAACACCCAGTAGCTCTCGCCGTCCTCGTCAACCTGTACGGGAACGCGTATGAAGCGCGGGGACGGGTAGGGCGCAGTCTGTCCGACGCACCTGATTCCAGTAGCGCAGGCCGACGAGCCTGCGGCCCGCGACGTTCTGCCGTTGTGCTCATATATCAGAGACGATCATTAAGGCGAAAGGTGCGCGGCGCGCAGTGCTCACCCGACAATTCCAGAAATCCATTGCGAGCAGGAGGACTACGAACACAGTCTGCGCGCGAGCGGGCAGGTCAAGCTCGGAGCGGGCAAGCGAATAAAGGGTGCCTGACTGACTGATAAGACATAGTTGTCCGTGAAGAACCCGCAGAGGATGTAGACCGCGATGGCGGCGCTGCGGAAGAGGTAGAGGAAGAAGAGGACTACGGGGTGAGCTGACTTGCAGCGTTGTCAGTCAGACACGTATTGCAAAGACGAAGGATATCTCACTTGGCGGAATATCCCAGCCAAGCCAGACTCGGCGTCGCTGGCGTTTGTGGCCATGCCGTCTGCATGGCTGGTGGGCGTGAGGACTACTGGCTGGCGCGGTGCGGAAGACGCGTTGATGTTCCCCGACGGCGCCTCGTTGGGGGCGGACGGCTCGTCGGGTTCGATGGTCTCGAGGAGGGGTTGTGTTGCGGCGCTCATTGCGAGGCGATGAAGGTGTGCTGTGGCTGCAGTAGAGTATGCACTGAGTATAGCGCAGCCACGTGGTAGACGCGGTACAGTCTTCCGACTTCCGACCTTGTTCCGACGTGCTTTACTGCGCGCCTCTTCATGGCTTCTCTCGAGAATGGTGAAGACAACGCCAACGACCAGCCGACTGAGACGACAGCCCTGCTGAGCAGGGCATCTAGTAATGGTAGACGATACCAGCGTCTGCCTTTCATCGAGCCGACTGTCTCTCGCATCCGGGCGATGAAGCCGGGCGAACTCGCTTCTGCAGAAATTAACCTAGATCCGTCCTTGACTCCCTCTGCGAGGACTGCGTATGCTCTTATCATACTGCTCGAATTGCGATGCCGCGTGCAGCGAAATACTAGCCGCTCCTCCGAGGTGCAGCAGCAGTGGGCTGCGGAACAGGCTCGTGCGAGGGATGCAGAAGAACTAGACCGCAGGATTATCCAGGCATATAATGATGCACTAGACCGTGGCTTTGGCAATGAAGAGCTTTTGAATATGCTATGGCTTGCGTTCCCATATGCACATGGGTCCGACAGGACGATACGAGGTGTGCCCGCACATTCTTGAGGAATAAGCAACCCGCCCGAACTGTGCGCCTGGTTACAGTAATCGATCTACTGAGTCGCAAGGAAGCTCCAACACAATTGTTAACCCATCCAGTCGTCCTGCTAGTTCTCTCCAATGCCTGGAGCCTCGGGCTTCCGTCCGCCATGCATGGCGAATCCGATACGTTTGGGGAAAGGGTCTTCTGCCGATTCAGCTGCATATGTCCTCCACGGTACGTCCTCTTGTTAAGTTCGCTATTCTCTTGCAAGTTGAAATCAAACAGTTTCATGCACTTGCTGGATTTCGCATTTGAGCTCGTCTACCTGGCGGTCCTTGCCAATTTCCTTCTAGAACCTCCCTCAAGACCAATAATTACCTATGGCCCTTCCCCGCTAGGCGCCCGAAGTATATTTCTCCTAATTTACTCGGCCTCTTCCCTCCTACGTTCCTGGTCACTCTCCGTCCTGCCTGCGGGCATAGTCTTCCTGTCCTTGCTTTTCTGCCTCCCTGCGGCGCCGTACCCAGGGGATAATGCCTTTGATGCCCTCCTTTTCGCACTATCCCTCGAGGTTCTTTCTCTCCACCTCCCACACCCACCCAGCCCGGCGCTGTTATTCAACGTCGAGAGATCACTGCCCTTGTCGACGCTATTCCACAGTTCAGTCCGACGGGTCTTCATACCGGCGCTTGTCTTCTTCCTTCCGACCTTACTGATAGCAGCATACCTCTTGTCATCGTCTCTCGCGGGAACCTTCCTCCAAGTGCAGGAGTTCGTGAGCCCAGTGGCACCCATGGAAACGAGAGCGGCTTTCCTGGCTCTCGGAGTCATCGTGCTCCTTTTGTTCACCTCGTTCATAGTCCTCCTGACGCTCCTCTTCCCTTCTCTCGCATCGAGCGTTCCTGCATCTCATGCGCCCTGGGACCGTTACTCGGAACCTGTGGGCCTCGAAGCGCGCAGGATGTTTGTGCATTCTGTTGCGATCTACGGTAGACCGTACTTTTTCCCGCCGCTGCTCAATCTGGTGCCGTTTGCCCTGGTTAGAGTGCCGAAGATGTTCTTGTACGTGGTTGGGAAGAGGCAGGTGGCTTTTCTCGATCAAGTCGAGGCGATTTTGTGGTGGACAGTTGTCTCTCCTTTATGTTTTATAGTTGCTAGCCTCCGTCTCTGGGGAATCTTTCAATAAGTACATCGTACATACCAGTACAGGTGGTTTCAGCTTGTCAATGCGGATTGTGGCGGACGATCAGCAGTGGAGGTGGCAGTGCTGTCCACGTGAGATCTACTCACCGCCACTGATCAGTAATAGAGCGCCTCTCACTCAGCATTGGCATCTTCGATCCGGCCGAAATATTGAGTGCTGCAACTGCCACGGACCTTACACTTAATCTAAATTTGCTCCGCGTAGTATGTCGAAACGCTCTGTCTCTTTTGCCAGCACCCCCCGACCTCCCAAACGACGACGCACTGGCAATAATGCTATCCCAGCCTTTGGTGCGGCAAGCGAAGAGGACGCCCAACTGACTTTGAGCCAGACCGATGCACCTTCTTCATCTGCATTATCTACCAAGAGCTTGCCGCTAGACCACATTCCGTCCCTTACCACGCTCTGCGCCCGCGTTTTTGTGGCAAATATTCGAAAGCTTGCCAAGGACGAGGAGACATGGGCGGCCACAAGAGAGTGGCTGAAAGCCGTCCCCGACCTTCTCATGCCCAAGTTATTTGCCATGCTGCGAGCGTCCTGTCCGAATATACTGAGCCATGCGTTTATATTGGCTGTAAGCACTCTGTCAGTCGAATATGGCGATACGAATGCTCATGGCTTTGCAGGACTTTATGCGCGGTCCTTCCGTCACATTAACTGACGAATTACCCGGGGTACAACGGTTCACCATCGCGGGAGTCTCGCGCTGCGGTGCTTCCTTGCAAGAACTGCATCTCATTGGATTCAGCAAATTTGCCGACAGCGTCTTTGCGTCTGCATTGTCGAGTTTATCCTCTTTGCGAGTTCTGAATCTACGGTAGGGTTTGTCTGATTTCAGGTCGTTCACTCCATCTGAATCAACCGCTTGTACGAAGAGGATGTTCAAAAGTCGCCGCGAAGACGATAGAAGCAGCGCAGAAGTCATGTCCCATGTTGACCTCGCTCAATCTGAGCTACACGGCAGTGACGCCCGTCTCGCTCGCACCGCTCGCGCTGTCCAGAGCAGACCTGGAAGTTCTAAAGCTGGCAGGGATCCCCAACTGGGCCAGTCTACCCTCCTTCGTGTACATAGTTAGCCAACTAATAAATCGTTTGCCGGATGCAGACGGACGCGACGTTCGCCAAGTTCCTCTCGGTCATGGAAGAACGCCCCGACTTCCAGCTGAAGAAGCTGCGCACGCTCAAGCTGCGCCAAACAAGACTATCCGACCACTCGCTCGACCCCGTCCTCGCCGCGTGCCCGAACCTCAGGCGGCTGGACGTCTCGTTCACGCTGATACGCCGGCCGAGCCAGCTCACGGGCGACGCGGCGCCGCCGCTCGAAAAGCTCTCTCTCACTTCCACGAGAGTCGCGAACTCGGATGTTGTGACTATCGTCTCCCGCCTCCCGCAGCTGAAGGTGTTGGCGCTGGGAGCACTGGGCGGTGGCCAAGGCTCGAGCGTCGCGCTCGCGAACTCGTCGGCTATGACGTTGACCGACGATACCCTCCGCTCCCTAACGAGTATACTTGAAGACTACAAGAATATTGAAGACGTGAACCTGGTGGGCAACACGAAGCTCGGGCTAGGCGGCAAGGTGGATCGCGCCCTTGCTGGATTCGTGCGGCGAGTCGGGAGGAGATGCAAAGTAATACCACATCCCTTGACTTGATGGGTACTGACGCTGACATCCATCTGGCGTTGGTACCAGAGACTAAACCTCGCAAATATCACGTCCCTGCGCTCCAGCGACCTCAGCGACCTGGTGCCTTGGGAGGAGGGCGAAGAGCCCTCGCCCTTGGAAACGTTAATCTTAAATAACACCAACATAGACGATGACGCCGCCATGTATATCAGGAGCTGTTCATCCCTCACAATCTTGGAGCTGCAAGGGACGAAGTTCACAAGTACGCGGTAGCCAGTGTTATGAGCTGATGAGATGTTTACTGATTTCCGTTCTGCGGCAGGTGAAGGGCTGTTCCAGATTATCGATCATTGCCCAAAGTTGCAGAAACTGGATCTCACGAGCTGTCGCGGGATAAGTGTGACGGATCGCCGGCGTTTCTTCGAGGTGCGTCTCTTCATACATATGCTTACGGTGCCTGTTGATCCTTGTGATTATCGCCGCACGTAGGTCTGGCAAGACCAGCGGAAAGAAAGGGAGTAATTTATTGCAGATATCCCGATATACATACCTGCCTCTGGGCAGGTCTACTTGGGATCGCCGTAAAATATACCACGGCCGTTGGTCCCTATGTAAACGCTGGGCAAGGATATCAGCTACAGTAATTCGCCGAGAGGAAAACCCACTCACCGGCCATACGTCCTCGGGTCTGCGGTAAGGACGTTGGAGGATACTGAACCGAACCCATGCGCAGCATCGTTAATCTGTACCCAGGTCGCGCCCGCATCGTCAGACCTGAAATATCCAACGCCGTCAATATTGGCCGCTGCGAATACCGCGGGATAGCTCCCCGATGGTTCCGCCTTCCCTAGGGCTGTGGCCCAAGCCTGACTGACGCCCGAGGCCGCAGCGAAAGTGCTCCCGGCGTCTGTAGAATGGTACAGGCCAGTATCAGTCGACACCCAGACGTCGCCGGTAACGTTGGGGTTGACCACGATTTTCACGGGCGCGGTGGACGAGCCCAGCGTGGCGGTTGATATGAACGTCTTGCCGGTGTCCCTGGACAAGTAGAACTTGGAGCCGGAGGCGGCGTAGAAGATCGAGTTGTTCTTCTTGTCCGAGGCTATGATTGCCCCAGACGGAAGAGACGACACTGCAGTGAAAGTGCTGGTATATTGGGATACGAGGACGCCATTGCTGCTCGTGCTCCAGAGTACGGTATCTGCGTCGGCGGAGAGGGCGACGTGGCCGCCTGTTATATTGTCGGCGGCTCCGTAGTCTTGCGACCATGTATAACCCGAGTCGTACGAAAGGGCAACCTGCCTGCCAGTGGAACTTTATGCCAAGTTGAACAGATGTACCCGGACATGGTACGAACGTACGCACCTATCTCCATTTCCGATGCGGACGATCGTGGCCGGCTTGTTGCCAGCAAAGTCCATGTCGACCGTCGTTGTCCACGTCGGGTTAGAGTACTCCGTAGTCCGTGGCGTGTTTAAATTGTCGTGAACAAAACCTGTAGGCCAGTAAATGCCGAGCTTCCGTCAGGAAGAATATTGCCCCACCTTCGATATCTCCCAGGGCCGACAACAGGACTGGACCAGTCGGAGGCGAGATCAAGCCCTGGACAGCTGTCTCCTCCAGCCCGTCTGCAAGAGACTTCAAAGTGACGTTGCGACCGGTGCCAGAGTCCCACTTGAGCAAGTCATGCCCGCCGTAAATGGTGGCGCCCGTGCCGTACAGCCAGTGGTTGGAATCATGCGGGTCGATGTTCAGACCCTCGATCATCCACCCAATCTGCTTCAGGTCCGTCCCGGTGTACGTGTAATCAGGACCGAGCCACGGGGCAAGAGAGTCGTCGTATGTGTAGTACTTGTTCATGTTGGGGTACGACGTCCACTCCCAGAGCCTGGTCCAGCTCTGACCACCGTCGGTGGACCGGAAGATGTTCGCATCCGGCCACCACGAGTTTAAGGTGGCGACCATGAGCGTACCAGGCAGCTGGAGATCGACTGTAAGGCCGCCGAACCCAAAATACAGGTCGGAGCCAGAGACGGGCGTGATATCCGCCCAGGTGCCTGCAGTGATGTTGTACTTGTACACTGCACCCAGCGTGCCGTCGTATGGTCCTGCGCCGTTGGATGTAGACACGTATAGGGCTTTCTCGGCGGGTGACAGAACACCTTTGTGAGGTAAGTACGTGTTGTTTTGGCCTGCTACAGGGCTCCCTAACAGAAGAAATGTCGATGAACATTTGCCAGGCATTGCATGGAAGCCGGTTACGTTACAGAGTAGACACTTACAAGTGGAACCGGCGTCATTTGATACGAATATATTGTCGGAACCCTGATTAGCGACACCGACAAATATACGAGGTGTAGCTTCTCCCTTGGAGCCAGAGGTTGAGTCGAAAGTGACCCAAGCAATGCCAATCTTGTCGCTATTATAACCACTTGTATCCGTTGGATCTGGCACGTATGTTCCTGGCAGAGGGGTAAACCATCAGAATCTTGGGGCCAGATGGCATGCGTACCTGTACTGGGCAGGGTCGTTACCTGGGTCCAGCTGGACCCATAGTCAGTGGATTTCCAAAGCCCGTGTCCGCTACGCGCGCCGAAGAAAAGGATGTTGTTGCTGTTCGGATCTACAGTTAAACGCTACAGAGAGCGTGTCTCTACCAAAATCCAATTGACGATAAAATTAGGGTACCTCTCCCATGCCTCGGCCCGGCATGTTACCTACGCTATGGCCTTAGCGACCAACGAACCCGAGTCATGTAGACACACCTACCTCCAACCTTGAATGGGAGGGGTGAGGCCGCCCATGTGTTCCCGTAGTCAGTAGAAATCAGTATGTTTCCGTTGTTTGGGTCCCATGAATTGGTGTACATGCCGGTCGCCTTGCCTCATACATGAGCTCGTGGGATGTATACTAAGCAAGTTTAGGTCGCACCAGGTAGAGTCTGTTGGTATCTATGGGATCGGTGGCCAGCGCGTCGATACCCCAGTAGTTCCATCGGGAGTTATCGACCCAGTCCAAGAGAGGGGTCCAGGTATCGTCAGCGTCTAACCTGTATGCACCGCCAATATCAGTGCGAGCATAGGCTACCCCCTTTTCCGTCGGGTTGAAGACGATATTAGGCACAAAACCGCCGCCCCCGCCGATCTTCACGTTCCTCCAGGTGTATGCCTGTGAGGACACCGCTAGGACAGCAGGACACAGCAAGCAAAGCAGGACAAGGCAGCTTGATTTCGCCATAGGCATGCTGGGTGCTGATGTGCGGACAATGCATCCAGCGTTCTTTTATACTCTTAACTTCCGAAGCTTGGTGCATGTGCAACAAGTGCCTGCGAGTGGGAAAGAAACGACCAAGGCCAGAATCACAGGGTTTCTTGAACGCCAGTCAGAGTCAACAATTCGATATTAATGGTGGAAGTCATAGAGACTGGGACATACAACGGGTAGTATTGCCGGGCTTGCAGAGCGCAAGGTCAGGCAAGATCCTGGGCCAGCCCTTGTGATGACTGGGAGACACATGGCCAATCACTTCAGAGTATCTAGCTATGGCCTCATATTCACAGACGATCTTCGAGGTTAATCCGAGCCAATGTCCCGCACCGACGTGACAGACGAACGACGATGAACATCAGGAGGTCTTCCTTGTCATATGAACGGAAGCTGAAGCGGACCGCGACTGTCATATAAGCAAAGGGGGCCCGCCGCAATAGCATTCTTCTGGTAGATTCAATGTAGCATTGAAGACAGGTTAATAAACTGGCCCAAAGTCCTCCAGTCCAACTTGTCCGACAAACGCTAGAGCCTGAAGCGGACAAGGACGCACGTGACGATGACGGCGGCGTCGTCGCGACGAGGTTGCCATTTGTGGGTCCCCCTTTTTGTTCAGGACGTCTTTGTATTGCAAGGACTACATTACGCGGGTCTCCAGGCTCTCGGTGGGGCCACGGCCTTAATACTTGCTGTCTTTCTTGTCCCCCTTCTCCGCTACGTCGACCGTACCACCACCACATTCTTTACAGTACCGTCACTTCTGCGTATAATGTCCGGGTACAACCAAGTTTGTCTAGCTGGTCTTGACACTATGGTTCTGCATCTCCACAATAATTCCCTGCCACCGAGTCCGTCCGAGGAGGGTCAGAATACGAGCTCATATATAGCCATTACCTGCAATACAGCGGGTATCAAGGGCGCCTTCAAGACCGCCCGTCCACCTCTCGGTGATAAGACACCAAGTCTGAACACGGTGCGTCGTCAGGAGCGATTCGGATCCCCCGCCTTTTGCTATTAGATGCACCCAACTGATACCATCATTCCAACATCTAGGCCGTCTTTTCGACGCTCCCGCCTGACCTGTACCCTGCGAGCTTTGACGGAGTCGGAACACCGAAAACACCGGCGACCACTATTCCTGGCCGTCTATCAAGGCCTTTTCCGATTATCATACAGAAGGCGCTGCCCGAGCTACCCATTCCTTCTCCGACAGAGGCTGCTGCAGTTCCTAGTCCAGACTCCAAACCCCTTCCCTTGCCGCCAAGCCCGTCTTCGACTGACTCCCCGCGCCCTCAGCCCCCTTTATCAGCTACGGCTGACCTTGACCGCGAGATCTCTCCTGACGAACACGATGTTGACATCCCACCCCCGGTGCCCTCCAAATCTCAGGAGATCCATAACGAGCCGTACGACATCCCCATACCCGAACACCCAAACAGTCCTTATGTACCCTGGCCGTCACCTGTCCGTAGGCGAATAGTCCACCGTAAACCGAGTCACGCGTCAGTGGCATCTGGCTCATGCTCCGCGGTAACAATACGCCGCAACTCGTCTACGTACACGCGTAGTGGTGCGCGAGCACCGGAGCCACCGGAACTTGATGACCAGTATTCAGTCGTCGGCGCGCCGTCATGTATGGATGGGATCAAAGGGAAGGGGAAAGTGCAAGCGCTGAAGCTGAAGCGCAGCTTCAAGAATCTGAAGCGTGCCGTAGCGAAGAAAGTATCGATCTTGTCCAAGCCAATTACCCAGTTCCACTGCCACCACGGACCTCGCTCCGACACACCTCCCATGCCCTCTTATCAAGGTACTCCGCCTGTACTTGATATCAGAGCGTTTACGCCGCCCTCATCCGCTTCCGACCTATCCGTTGCGTCTCACCCTTCATCAGCGGGCTCTAGGTCTCTTGCCGAGTGGCTGTCGGAGCGCCGTAGGGAATCTCTCGAGCTCGACCTTGAAAGGGATGAGCAGGAAGAAGATGGACGGTGGGGCATGACCCTAGATGAGTATGAACGGAACGGGAGCTGGCTGGAACTCCAGGGGGATGATGGTGAAGACGACGCCGAGGACAGTGTCTTGGACGGCCTTACAGAAGATCTCGTTTCACCCCTGAATTTCACGGAGGAGAGCTACTTCGACGGCGCGGAGTCGGAAGCGGTAACCCCCATCTGCCAGGGATACAAGGAACGGCAACGAAGCCCCGACTCCGCCGGTTCGGGCTCGTCTTCCTTCTTGTTCCGCCCCTCCTACGTGAGCTTGCGGAGGTGCGAGTCTATGCCGGCGTTGCCTTCGGCTTCACAGGAACCCACTCGTTCCAACGAGACAGTTGTCCCGAATGCTTCCATCACCTTGACCAATGGTCTATATCTCGACAGCAGCTATGCATCTACCGATGGCATGCTAGTTGTGCGACCGAAGATTCAATGGAAGGATTGAATGGGCGGGCTTGCACCTGACTCGTAACCTCGGATCTCGGAAGATTGCCAGACTCGTCACTTACCACAGCAGATTGGAACCCCCTCTGCCCCTCTCAAGAAGCCGGCTCGTCAAACAGCACTCGCGCACTTTCTTTACAATCAATAGCGGGAAACACCCATTCACCCTTTCATTATTGATCACTTCATTTGTATCGCTCAACGGACCTCGCAAGCATTGTACTTCCAACACGTCGACATACCTCATACCCGGGAACCCCATACCTCGTCACTGTCATTCACTTTACAAATACTGTACCACCTAATCACCAGCCGGGAGACCGGCTGATCTGTAGCCATTAGACTATAATAAGATCGATTTGTTGTTTCTTGATGTCCTACCAGCCATTGTGAAGTATAACCCGTCCTGTCTTGCAGGCTTTCGCTAGACATAAGGGACCACTCGCGCCTGCTAGAGGTGAACATAATTGAGGTATGTGTGCAGTCGTGAGTAAGCTCGGGCCAGTATTGTCGTCACGAAACCTTGTCGGCGTAACAAACTCATCGTACTCACTGCGAAAATAGGGACGCATTACATTGGACACGGGGATATGAGGACGCAACAAAAGTCAGATCAGTAGCGCAACATACACTTGCACTTCAGGTTTCGTGACCGATACCAAGCAGGCGTGTCCCTTTGAGTTGGCCGACGCAACGTAGCCTCTGGAGTTGGAGATCTCTCCATGGCAGAGACGAGCAGAGATGAGTGAAGTACAGAGCTTTGGGCGGCCCGGCCAATGCGATCGTTACGGCAACTGCCATTGAGCCCGAATAGGCAAGTTTTGTAAATCCAGGTGTTGCGCTTCGTGACCGGATTGGAGCGCATGCTTGTTGTGCTGCCGTTCCCTCGCTCGCCCTGCTTCATGAAATACAAGGGCTGTTTGTGCATACATATCATGTCAAACTCCCCGCTGGCACTCTCGCACACAACTATTACAACCGTCACCTAGAGTCTGTCGATTTCGCCCTTCTCGCACGTCCAAGCTCACGAACTTCACTGCTGTGGCGAGCATGTCTCAATTCAGCGATCTGACAAAAGGCGATTTAGCCGATGTGGCACAATCACGTCTGCTTAAAGCAAGGCGCGTTGCGCCACGGCCCTCTTCTTCATCTCCTACCATGTCCCGACTCGCCACACCATCCTACTCGACCGCCGGCGCGGCCAGCGCGTCCTCGTCTTCCGCACGATGTATCTGCATTCGACAGCCAGAGGCTGTCAAACGTCAATACCACACGACTAGCCCGGAATATCGGGAGGCTGTGAATCGAATGGCTACTCACTCGGCGAAGCCGACCTCCCGCTTCTTCAAAGTCGTTTTGGCAGAGATGGAAGAGCCACCGGCGCGACCCTTCAAATTCAAGTGGCCGCTATTCCCGGTCAATCCGGTGGAGGAAGAAGAGCAACGTCGTCGCTGCTATAACATGATAGATTGGAGTAAGGGGAAGGAGAGGGAGGACGTGCCACCCGAAGAGAAGCTGCAAGTACAACCGGTCAATCACGACAACAATGATTATTCGAAGCCGTCGGAAGCTCAGATGAAGTTATGGCTTTTCCCGCCGACAGGAAAATGGGAGTGGGCCACAGGTCTCAATATAGAAGATGCTCAAGTGCTGAGCGTCGTAGAATGTGAGTGGCGCTCCGTTTGCTACGCATGCCACACATTCTCAAGTACCTCGCAGCTTGTGATACATACGATATTACTCTAAAAAGAGGTAATTTGGGGGGACATCCTATTGACTACATGTGCAAAACGTACGTCTCGCCACTCGGCCTGAACGCATGTGGCGACCTCACCTCCCTCATACAGGTGGAAGAAACAAATGCAGAATCGCTGGGAAGGGTTCTTCACAGAGGTGGGTGTCGGTTCCGTATGGCGTCTGTTTCCCTGTGTCTCATTAACCGAATCATGAACAGGCTGCCCTGTATAAAGCCGAGTGCTACTTGAAGAACTACCAAGGCGAGATCGTCCCGCGGGTTATTGGCATGTTCGACTCGGCCGGGGAAACTCATTTGGCCATGGAGCCGCCACATCCCGTCTTCTGGGTACAGGCCTCACGGTCGATGCCCGACGTCTTGAAAGAGCGCGTCCTCCAGGCATACCGGGATTTACACAACGCTGGCATCGTGCATGGCTCCCCTGACCCAAACCGCGTTCTCATCGGCGCTGACTGCAGAATCACAATCACAGACTTCCAGCACGGTCGATCGGTGGTCCCGAATGAGCGGCTCAAGATCAAGGAGGCGACTGTCGGTCAATTCGCGAGGGAGATGAGGAAAGTCAAGTGCATGCTTGACTACCAAGGGGCATTTGCGAGGGAGTTGGAGAAGGCGCGGAGAGCGGGTGAGGTGCGCCGCCGCAACGAGGAGATAACCAAGTTGCAGGAGCGTCGTAACAAAGGAGAGGACGTCGGCGAGATACCGCCGCTCGATACCTCGATTCAGGAGGAAGGAACCTTCGGGCCTTTGAATGATGCCGACCTGAAGCGTTGGAAGAAGCAAATGGACGAGGGCCCGCGACGTTTCGTATTCCCGAGCGTCACGAAGGAGCAATTGCACAAGGAGTGCACGAAGTTCATGGCGATGCTCGTCAGTCTGGAGGCACAGAGCAAGGAGAAATGCCCCGTTCACCCGATGGATGGCGCGGCTCTCGCTGCATCTGACGAACGACCACCTGACGTACAGCTCGGGAAGCGTCGCCGCACGAACTCCGAGTTCGAGTCTGAGGCAGAGCGGGCCGAGCGTATCAAACGCAACCGCCTCGAGATAGCGCCCAGCCTATTAACCCCTGCGGTTTACGATCGACAGTCCTGGGTAAACCAGAAGCTCACGGATGTCGTGCGGGAGATGGCTTGCCAGTCATCACCGGTGCTATCCACTCCTGCGGTCAAGGTGCCTCGTGAGTAGCTGAATTTAGTACTTTGGTTTGGGTCTTTCTCTGATTCCTTTGGTTTAGCTGCACGTGCTTTTGGGGTACAGTCCTCGTACTCAGGGGACTACTCCCTTCGGAACTCAAGATTCCGGAGGTGGGATGAACCCGTTGCACAGGAGGAGGATGAAGTCTACGCGGACTACGTGATCACCACCTTTGAAATCACGCCGCGGGCAGCCCCAATCAAAGTGACCGACTACGCCTACAAGCCGTACAAGGGGAAGCGTGGCTACTACGTCCCTCATCCTCCGACGCAGACGCTTATGGAGACGTATCGGTGGTCGCATATCCGCGGCCAGAACATCGAGATCTGTGCGAGAGAAGGGCTAGACCACGGCCTCCTCGTCAAAAGTAGTCGGCGTGCTGCACTGCAGGAGCTTGGCTTGAAGCGAGACTTCGTCGCCAGAGGCGGTCTACGCAGGATCAAAGAGATGACGAGCGTTGAATGGTCGCGATTCACCAGCAGGAGGGCTGCTAAGGACGAGTACCGTAGCCATGAACAAGAGGACACTCTCAAGCGCAAGTGGTGCTCAGGGAACGAACGCGGTGTCCACTTCTCGCAGGAATATTCGTACCATGAGTATGAAGTTCCGACCAGCAGTGACGATGAGATGCCGCAACCAGAGGGAGATCCGAATCCTAGGCCACGAAAATCCGCTCGGATTGCCCATGCGGAGGCTCGGCGCTCGCCCGCCGCAAAGGCTCCTGTTACAAATGCCCCTGTCAAGAGGAAGCTGCCGCGCAAAGCACCGGCAGTTCGCAAACTCAAGAGCGCCTTGCGTAAGACGCCGACACCCAGACTCGTGCCTCATAACAAAGATTCTTGGGATCACATCGATTCCGTGGTGGAGGAGCAGCTTTCTCCGAAACTCGGTCCGGTAGAGGACTGGGCGACGATCAAGACTTTCCGTCTAGCGGCCTTCAGCAAGCAGCAGCGTGCAGGACTGCCTCCTCGAACAAAGAGTCCTGGTCCTGGTCCGCGGACCCTACAGCCACAGCTGAGCCTGCTCCAGATACCGATTGCTGCTGACGAGATAGCGGAGATGGAGCTGGACCAGGCCGACCTCATTGCCCAGCGAGCACTGCTTTCGAATGGTGCCGGCGCGTCGACGCCGATCGTGGAAGAGGAAGACGACATGACATGGGCCACGCCATCCTGGTTATCTGTTAGGAATCAGCCACATGATATGTGGCAGAGAATCCGGGAACGTCGCGTCGCTGAGGAGCTGTACGACAAGCAGGAGGAGCTCGTGTGCGGACCGCCGCCTGCAGTGCCTGAATACAACAATCGTGACGTCTCGTTGACGCCGAACGCTGAGCGTGCTCTGGAGAACCGACCGTTCGACCTCGGAGAGCTTGACAGCAATTCAGACTGCGGGGGGATCCTTGGGTCTGAGCGCCTTACTAGGAACCGGATGGGATCAATGCCCGATCCTGTGGCTGGGCCAAGCAGCGTGAACCTTACAGCGACCTCTCGTCCGCGCCGTGGATCTGTAGAAAGCGTTGCCAGCGATGTTTCGGTTAAATCAGGGCACCAAGGTCGGAAGTCGGGATCGAGGTCAGTCAAGGAGACTCAGAGACGCTCGAGGAAGTCACATATCAAGGGCCAGTATCCTAAGTCAAGCCGGGCTCCTTCACCTTCGCTCAGCGAGGAAGAGGAGGAGGTTGAAGGGATGGTCATCTGTGAAGATGAACCGGAGAGGTCACCGTCGACGCAGTCCTCACATTCGTCTGGATGGTTTGTCCCTCTGAGGCGGTGGTTCTAGTCTCCAAGCCTCAGTTGTCCTTCAATGCCGTCGTGCATCTCGTGTTCTCGTTTTGGACGGTGGATTTAACTTATCTGGTTGTGTTTGTTGTATTTTTGCTCTCTCGATGTACTTGCAGTGTTTGTATACGCTATTCGCGTTTGTTGATTCATCTTTGCCCTGCGACTTTGCAGGATTCAGCTGCTGCAATACATGTGCAGATCGGATCTCGATCAGACCGGGGACGCCCCACAGCGGTGGACGATCAATACAACCAGTCAGGTGCCAGACCAGTTGCTGGCCTCTGCACACGACTCTCCCCAGCTGGGCCGAGCTATGCCCAGGTTATTCACCGCCGCATGCACTTGCTATACATTTCTACCCAGCATGGCTGCCACCGCCAGGCTCTGGCAAAGCACGACATTTATGCGGTCGTCAATGATCGTATCACGCTTAGATAACACTAAGGGGGCGGGGTGGACCGTGACAGCTCTGGACAGCTGCGCCAGACAGAATTGTAAAGGGAGAGAAGTTTTACCAGGGGTGAGAACATGGCGTCGGTCTCGGCTGTCAAGCAAGTATCCTGAGATACGATACTGCTTTATTGCCAAACCTCGATGGCTCGTCGGAAACAGTAAGGATGTAGACGACTAAGACGAGGACGCAGTGCGGGTCCAACAAAATACTGGCAAGCAAAAAATTCACCCACCCGATGCTGGCTGGAGTGGACTGGCGATATGCGAGATAGTTATCGTCCGGACGAGTGATGAAATGGATTGATGGCATACGGAGAAGCGAGGGAGCGCCCAGGAACGCTAGAATTGTCGGGCACATGTTAGGCGCGGATACAGCCAGTGGCGCAGCTTGTCAAGCCTCCGGTCTTTAAAGGCGCGACGATAACGGGCTTTGCTCCATCTTCCTTTTCTTAGTCCTCGTCTCCTCATCGCAACCATGTCTGCGACCGAGTCACTAAGTCATGAGAAGTCCACTGACAAGTCCACCGACATGGAGAAGAACTATGTCGTGAGCGCCGAGGCGGACGCCGCCTCGACAAATGGCGAGGTCAAGCTGCAGCGCCAGCTCAAGAACAGGCATATTGCTATGATCAGGTACGTGGCTCATCTGGAGACACGTTCCTCGGTTTCACTGACATGATTTCATCCTTGCAGTATTGGCGGTAAGTGCAATATCAGCACGAAAGATCCGTGGACATTAGACTGAGCGTAATCAGGCGTCATTGGTACTGGCTTGTTCTTGGGTACTGCCTCGTCGCTTGCGAACGGCGGTCCTGTCGGTCTCATCTTGGGCTATGCCGTGGTCGGCTCTATCTGCTACAGCGTTATGGTTCGTGTTGCCCCAGCCATCACGCTAATCCGTGTGACTCAAAAGACCCTTCGTTTCTTAGATTTCTCTCGGCGAAATGATTGCTTATCTGCCCATCCCCGGTGGTCATATCAAACTGGCCGAACGCTTCGTTGACCCCGCACTCTCTTTCACGATGGGCTGGAATTACTGGTACAATTGGACGATCATCTTGCCCGCCGAATTGAGTGCAGCGGCGGTATTGGTCGACTACTGGACAACATCGGTCAACAACGCGGTTTGGATAACCGTATGCATGATTGTTGTCCTAATTATCAACTTCCTCGGCGCAGGTGCGAGTTTCTGCGTTTACATCCCTCCACTCCGTTCCTCACACGCGTGTTCTACGAAATTCTAGGTGCGTACGGAGAGGCCGAATTTATATTTGCGTTCGTGGTTGAATTATCATGTGATACCGATCAGCTTCACTGAGGTATATTCCAGGTCGATCAAGGTTATCACGATTACGGGTTAGTGCCAATGATCTAGTCTGAACGGGCGGAACTTGAGTCTAATCTAATTTCTTTTCAAAAAAGGCCTTATCATCCTGGGTATCGTTCTCGACCTTGGTGGTGGACCCAACCATGATCGCATCGGGTTCCGCTACTGGAAACATCCGGGTCCCTTCGTACAGTTCAATGGCATCTCTGGTGCCGAAGGGCGTTTCCTGGGCTGGTGGGCCGTCCTAACACAGGCCGCTTTCTCCTTCATTGGAACTGAGATTGTCGCCGTAAGTATCGCAGCGACACTCGACTGTCGAGTCTTGACATTGACCATGTGCCTCTAGATCGCTGCCGGTGAGGCCAAGAACCCCAGGCGCAACTTGCCCAAGGCCATTCGTCGCGTGTACATCCGGATTCTCTTGTTCTACATCGGAGGAACCATCATCATCGGTTTGCTCGTTCCTTCCACCGACGATCGCCTCAATCTCTCGAGCGGGACGGCCGCTGCATCCCCCTTCGTGATAGCAATCCAGAATGCTGGTATCAAGGCGCTGCCCTCTGTAAGTTCTTTGCTTTCACACTTGCATAGAGAACATGATTCTCATCCGCTCAAAAGATTATCAACGCCTGTCTCTTGACCTCTGCATGGTCCGCTGCGTCTAGCGATCTGTACACGAGTTCCCGTGCTCTTTGTAAGTGGATCAATCTATGGCTCAATCTTAAACTAGGCAAGTGCTCATGCCATTTGTACCTTAGACGGCTTGGCTATGGCTGGCAGTGCTCCCAAGATTTTCCTGAAGACGAGCAGCAGGGGCTTACCATATGTATCCATCACTTTTTGTGCACTCTTCGCGTTGCTCGCCTACATGGGCATCAACGGCGGTTCAGGGCGAGTCTTTGGCTGGTTCGCCAACATGACCTCCATCGCCGGCTTGATGACCTGGTTCGGGATTTCCGTGACGTACATCCGTTTCTACAAGGGATGGAAGGTTCAGGGATACGACCGAAAGACCTTGCCTTACGCGTCCGGGTTGCAACCTTACGCAGCGTGGTACGGAGCCATCTCATGCCTCGTCATCTGCTTCGTAAGTGTGATCAGGACACGACTACGCTTCCCAGGTTCTGACGCCTTTGCCTTTGCAGTTCAGCGGCTGGAAGGTTTTCCTTAAGGGCAAGTGGGACACGGCCACCTTTGTCACGAACTACCTGCCTCTTGCGCTGTTCCCGATCCTCTATGTGGGGGCAAGGATCTACACCAAAGTGCCGCCTGTCCGCCCGATGGACATGGACTTCATCACCGGTCTAGATGAGATCGAGCGGGATACGTGAGTTCCACTTGCGGGCTACATTCTATTCCTTTCCTAACATCGCAATAGGTATGATGAACCCCCACCAAAGAACAGGATCGAAGCGTTCTGGCAGTGGCTGGTGAGTTAGATGGCCAACTTTGACCTGACAGATACTGACAAAAGCACAGATGTAATGTGGTCGACGAACGCCTGCATATTGTATTGCGTTGCCGATTTAGTGGAGTTTGACTGTGTCTTAGATGCCGTCAGTGTAACCGTGTCTATCTAATGTACTACAACGATAACTACAAAAATATAATGCAGCTTATTTAATGTGGCGTTCACATAGGACGAACGAGAGGGCAATGCCTGGAGAGCCTACGAGGATTGATCATCTTTATGGCTGTACAGGGCATGCGAGATACAGATGTTTATCACCAAGGCTACTGCGCGCGCGCGCGAACGTTATCATTGATCACTTGGGTTATCAACACGCACTACAGCATCAGTGCTAGGTCATTTGGACCGCCGCGTTCTCGTGAGTCCCTACATCAACCTAGACTTGGTGTACCTGGCTCAATCAATCAGGAGTACAGCTTTTCAATAGCGTACCCTATATGAAAGGCTCGTGTATTTTCACCATCACTTCCGACTTGCCAGGAGAGATCGCGGTACTGCGTACCACTCTAATCTGGGGGTGCACCACTTTCCTTCGCCCTTCAGCATTTATCCCGCCTGGGGCGGCAGGTTACTTCGCCTGAAGGAAACGGTAGCGGGGCTTGATTCCTGGCATCATGGGTAAGCACATAACACGACTGCTGCGACGTCTGCGTGTGCCAACGCAGATAACTCATAATCTAGCCTCCGAACCTATGATTATGACCAGTCATAGACCGTCACTATTATTACGAGCTATCATAACCCTTCAGTTCGTGGGAGGAGCCGGCATCCTACTCATTGTTACCACCGCATACCTCTCGCGGCAAGTCCGGCGACATGCAACGTGGTACAGTTTCTGCTGCTCGTGGATTATCGCAGTTGTGTCCTATACACTCCTGTGAGTGTCACTATCCGGTGTCTTGAGCTCCATGTCACACTGAAATCCAGAACATTCGCCGGACAACAAACGGGCCCTGAGCCTGATTATAACGTTTGTCTTGTGCAGTCAGGTCTTATTTACGCGGCCCCTGTGCTGTATGTTTCGGAAGTTGAATCCAAATGACTCCTCGCTCACATACTTCCGAACAGGACATCCTCCTCGACTATGACGCTTGTTGTCCAAGTGAGTAGTCGAGACGAAGAGCGTGTATACCCTTCTTGAAAATCCCAGCTCTGGGTTAGCTTAAATCAGCAGCAAACCTCAGAAACTGTCCCTCGCAGTAAAGTTCCGGCTCTTGTGGTGAGTGATATCTCGTAATTCATTCCTTACTCTTCCTAACCGGCGGTCGAAGTTGCTTGTTTTTCCGTATGTCGCATGGATAGGCGTCTTCGCAGGATCTCTCGTGGTAGGAAGCATCCTGTTGGCTCCTTTGGTCATGCCCGTGATTGACTAGTTTGATTTAGTTTGGAATTACTCACCCCCACGACGTGCAACGTGCCAGAAGCTGTGTCTACTGCATCAATGCTTCAGGCATTCCGTCAGTACATACTCCCGCCCTCGCATGCGAGTACAGCTAATTTGCATTCCAGGGGAAAGGTATCTGCGTCTGTCGTGCTTATAGTCATGGTCACAACAATTACCCTTGAAGGTCAGTTGGTAATCATGGGACCAGTAAACATGGCTTATCTACCCGGTGTTGTTTTTCTCTGCAGTGTTCCTAGCTGTCCGCATATACCGCCGTCGCAATACTTACAAGAACGGCACTCAACATGCTCCGCATTTGTCACTCACAACAGCACTGCGGACCGGTATATTCACCCTTGTCGGTGTATTCTCCATAGTGTACGTGCTCAATATCTGCTTCCATCTTGTTGTCTTAGCAATTCTAATGTCTCTGTCAGGGTCTCCCTCGTGTTCGTTTCGGAGTCAAATTTCAACGGCGATCTATCCAACGTCTTCATAGCGATGAGTGCGTCACGGTCGTACAGGATCATCGCTGCACCTGACTATCCTGCATTATCCTTTGCAGTGCCGCTAGCAGCGTTTCTCATATTTGGCACCCAGACTGTGAGGCCACCTCATTAGAACTGCACGAATGATAGCTGAATACGCTGTGATAGGATATTTTGAACGCTTGGCATGTTCGAGTCTACCGCAAGGCACCGACAGGAAAACCTCTGCCGCCGTTACCTACCGCAGTCGAAGGGAAAGCGTAGTAACAAACGCACCGGATGCTGGCTTCCAGCCACTCCCATTCACTGTACTCTACATTGTAATGACAGTCCCTCATTAATATCTATTGCAGCGCGCGAAAGGCGCGCGCTGCTATATGATTTGTGGCAATTAGATACCAATGTACTGGCATTCAGTCTATACAATAAGAACATCATAGTCAAACAATCCCAACATAGGCCTCTACTTGGCTGACCAAGGATTGTTACTGTTGTCCAAAATACATAGAAGGAAGGTGGCGAGTCAATGAGACAATAAAATATGGTAAGTGTTACAATAGGACACTATGATGAAAGATGTGGAAGGCAACCGCATGACGAAGACCATGGAAGGAGTGAGATATATGGGGATCGGGGTTTTAAAGGAGCGTCGTGGATCAGGCCTTCGAAGCCGGGATGTGCAGATTTATGGCTACAATCGCACTCAGTCAGTTGATCGAAGAGGAGCAAGGAAGAGCATACCTCTAAACCAATTAAGCGCGTCAGACGAAGAAGGGACGTCGAAGTACAAGATGGCCTTATTATCGACAATTCGGAGGGCTGAAAAGATACGGTAAGCTGAGCAGGAGAGGCAGTAGCATGTCAGCTTACCGTTCCCGTGGACGATAGAGCAGGGCTGGGGCAACGTCTGCATACGTAACACAGCCCATAAATCCACCTGACAGTTTGGGTCCCGTCCCTCTGACGGGTCGCGGCATAGAACCAATAGGTCGTTGCATAAGACACCCATCAGTGACCGTGGGGTCAATTCGGGCATCAGACATTCGACTTGGATAGTCGTAGCATCGCCATGGGTGTCCAATGTCTCGAACGGCACTGTCGCTTTACGCACCACCCGAGTCAGTTGCAGCGGACCATCCATTATTAGACGCCTAAACAGAGGGATTAGCAAGTAAGAAGCGCAATGCGGATGGACACCTACCTGTGAGGTTGGACAAGCGGACTAGGGAATTTTCCTCTGATCCTAGACTGCCACTGAACGAGCTTTCTACGAGACTCTGATTCACGTTTGCCCTCGTTCATGCTAGTAGCCAATGTGGTGATTTCAGCTAAGGCTCTGTCCAAGGGATCATCCGTATAATCATTGACGGGAGCAGTACACTTGACAAGCTCTTCCAGCTGCAGAAAAAGCAATGAGACAATGTCAAAACCACAGGCGAACTCATTCCACTAACCAGAAGACGGTAACGCGGGATACGTTGTACAGGTAACAGTAGATAACCCTCAAGATTCAACTGCGAATGGCGGGGGTTCAAGCGACAGCGCTTCAGATATGTCTTGATCCTCTTGCGTTGACTTGTAGTGAGCGGAGCGGAACCACTTAAAGTCCCGTCAGGCATGACACCCGGTGTAGTTACCGCTGACATAGTCAGGCCTAAACCAACGAGCTGGGCCGTGCTCGAGGATGGTGACATTGCGGAAGGCGGTGATCCTGCAGCAACCGTACGACTTGATGACCAGTACTTTATCCTCTGGACAGAGTTATCAAAATTACTGCAAGGGCAGAAGATATTGTTTAGTAACGGTTAAGTAACAGGAAAGACGATCGAACGAACTTAATGTACGTAGAGTACATCTTCATGAATGCCGCGTGTGAGACGAAGGTACCAGCAACGGCGCGGGCTGCATCTGATGAAAGTCGCCCATCTGCGTCAGTCTCAGCTAGAGCAGAGGCTGGCTTCATTAAAGGGGCAGCTGCCCTTTCTAAAGCCGGGAGGAAGCTTTCCTTGTGGAAGGAGAATAAAGCTTCGAGACCACCGAATACTATTTTTCGCTCCCCCGCTGGCACAACGGTTTCTTTGTTCGAGCCTACGCCACTAAGTACGTTTGCTGGTGCACAAGCAGGTTTGATGTAAATATCCACCAGCTCTTGGAGGCCCTTGACATAGGTACGCTCAGTCCTGCCAAACTCCTCAGCAAGTATCCCTAGCAGGAACAAATAGGAGGAGCTCACTCTATGATCTCACGCACTATCATGCCGCGTTTGCCCTTATTGTCCTTGTATTTCCGCTCTTCCTCGCCGGCCTGTCCGGAGCCCCCGCTCTCCGTAGTCGCAACACTAAGAGTCTGTGTCGCGCTGCCAGCGCGCAACATGGTCGACGACTCTGGCGACCTGAGTTGCGAAGAAGACATGGACGAAGTTGATGCAATTGAACCGTCTGATGTGACTCGACCACCTTCGACCAGAGTTGGTCTACGGAACCCCACCGTACTTGAACCGCCATCCACGACCGGTGATCCATATACGCTGAGGATACTTCCTTGAGATGATCCAAGGTCATGCATGTCCTTGAGATACGCCATAACCGACCGCAGGGCGCGCGCGTAAGCATCGCGTCCACGGTCTTCGGCTTTCGAATGCTGGCCTTCGGAGTTGAACAGCAGCTTCTCTCCTTTCCCATGCTCGTCATCTACGCCAATAGCAGTGATGCCAGGGACAAAAGCAGAGGGCGAAGGGATCGGTATATTTAAGTCCGACGGCGGCGCATCTATGGGCAAGAAGCTCCTTCGTTTGCGAGCGTTGCCAGTAGGTGATGTCGGTAGCAGAAGAGCGCTCGAAGGCGAGGAATGTGAAGAACCTGTCAAGGGAGCCAACTTGCTACTCGGCGAGTGTTTCCCCGCAGTATTACTGTGGGAGCTTGCTGGGATGGAGCCTAGAGCACCCGTCGTGGATATCCGGACATCGATTTGTGGAGTGTCCGGTTGTAACTGTGACTGTTGGCGATCGTTGGTAGGTCTCAGAGCTGCATGAGCTGGCACCGTAGACGTTCCGTTGGGGAAGGGACTTGCTAGAGGGCCACCTTGCGCGGTTGTAGGTCGAGACGACGGACGGGAAGCGGATGGGGAGTCCGTCCTCATCTTGCTCATTGACATCTTTTTCAAGAATCCCCATTTGCTACCTCTCTCCTTCTCCTCCTTCGGCTTGCGAGGACGCACAATGCCCTTTTCAAGAACGTCATCGTCGTAGCCTCTGGACTTCACACCTGCATAACGATCAATAGGAGGTGATATCTCCGCTTGGCTAGTCATACGCGCTGAAGGAGGGGTTACCGGGACCGCATCCTCGTCCTCTTCCGCTGCGAGCTTATCCCAAAGCGCATTCGAGAGCTTCGGCCGCGAGCCCGACCGGGGACGAGGGCTACCTGAAGCTACACCAAGACTAGCATACCGCTTAGGCAACACAGACGGGCCTGCTTCTTGAGAAGCACTGCTGAGCAAGTTCGAACTGGAAGCCATGTGAATTAAAGGCCGCCTAGGGGTAGAGGTGGGAGGAGTATCAGCAAGGGCCGGTGTCAACACCTCAGAACCTTTGCGCAGATCCCCCGCACTCTTCATCTTCCGCAAGTCGCGGTCGCCAAAGTAACCAGAGTCCACAATCCGCTGAGAGGGAGGATGCTGGACATTCGTTACGCCTTTCGATTTAGTTCCAGCATAGGCGGTGTTGGGTCTGGTCTTGTCATAATAGGCCCTGTTCGGTGTCGTCCTAGTGCGTGACAAAGGTGGTGCAACTGGAGCAACATCATTGGACTGGGTAGGAGGAGGTGAGGTCGCAGCACGGCTGAGCGCGGGCGCACGTGCAGGGGTAATAGTATCTTCGTCTTCTGCGCCCAAGTGCAACCTTGCATCTAGCACAGGAGACGACGGTTCAGAAAAGTCATCGATGTCGGTCTCCGTGCCTGCGGTACTGCTCGGGATGCTTGCGGACGGGAGAGGGAAAACTGGCGTCGACGGAGGATAAGGAGGGGTCATAGGTGTCTTGGCTAGCAAGGGATCGACAAGCGCCTTCCACGGTCCTTGGAAGGGGTTTCCCTCAACAAGCAACGTCTGAAGAGAAGGGAGGAGGCAAAACCAGCTGGGCAAAGAGTGCAGCTTATTTTGACGGATACTGAGCGTATGTAGTTTCTCTAGAGCGCTAAGCGGAAAGGGTAGCGTCGTGATGCCGGTTTTATCGGCGATGAGCACCCGTAGTGAAGTCAAGTTAGCCAGAAAAATAGGCAAAGCACGAAGGGGGTTATAGGCAATGTTCAGCTCTTCGAGGTTCACGCAAGACGCAAGAGCGGGAGGGATGGCGCTGAGGAAATTAGCGGATATGTCAAGGACGAGGATCGAGGAACTGATCTGGGGAAGAACACCCGTCAGGAAAGATGGGATTGCATTCGGAGTGCTAGACGATGCCAGTAGCAGGTGCGTTGTGCCTGCTCCATTCAATATGCGACGTCGTCCACCGGTTGTTTAGCATAAATCAAGATACAAAGACATTAGGAACGTACCTGCTTGAACCTGAAGACTCGACACAGGCAAGCCCTCGCCCTGAACAATCAACCCACGCCCTTCTTCCACTACTACAACAGCCGCTGTAACATCCTCTTCCTTTCTATCATCATCCTCTAACCCCTCGACATCCAGGTCGACCCCCAGGTCATCATCCGTCTCTTCATCACTTGTCAAGCCGAGTTCGTCCCGCTCGTCGACAGGATACCAGGAAGTATCGAAACTAGGTTCGCCCTGAGATCGAACCCGACTATGGTCAGATTGTGGGTTGGTATTGCTGTTTCCTATTGACGACGATCGAGACCGACTGCCCCCCGCAGACGACCATGGCCTGAGCTCGTATTGGTGCGACTGTGAAAATGAAGCAGAAGTGTTGAGATCGCGAATGGGCTGCAAGACGTCGTTATGTGCGACGCCGACACTTTGGTTTGGCTCATCCACATCAGACTCGATACGCGTATGACTGTGGTCGCTGGAAGCAAGAGCACTACCGCCGGAAGTGTACGCAGAGGATCTAGTGGACGCACTGGAAGATCCACCCGAGGAGAACCCGTAGCCAGGAGAATTCAGTGAGTTATTGGGTCTGCGGAAGGGATATGGGTCAGGGAACTGAGAGGGGTCGGGGAGCCCGGGGATTTTTGCTGTGAGTGCGTACAAACGAGCTGAATTGCCATCCAGGAGAAACGATGAGTCGTCACCAAAGGAGGACGGGCGGACGACTGGTGAATGGGGATGAGACAGCTGGACTGTCGACGGCGAATTAGGGGATGCTATCGAGACTGGTGACTCCATATTGAGGTAAGAAGCCTGTGGAGAGAGTGGACTGAACTGCTGGACAGAACTTGGAGACCAGCAGTCATCTTCCGCCGGTGAAAGGCTGGCAGAAGGAGTAGGTGCCCGTGGCCGAGAGCGCATGCCGGCGTTACTGGGATCAAACGGGGATGGTGGAAGAGCAGCAGAGGGATGATCCCGAAGGTATCCTAAGTCTGATGAGAACGGACGACAGTGAGTAACGAGCGACTTTCAGAACGACGGGACCCGTGCAGAGGCACAGCAACAGCATGAGGAGAAGGAACAGGCTGGCAGACTCGAATCTGGCAGCAGGGTTTCGGACTGCATATAGCATCCATCGGCATCCCACGAAGGATCATCATCAGCCAAAATAAACGCCCATCGTTACCCCGGCTCTCTCCCCAGGATAGTCTCTGTCCTTTCGCAACGAACCAGATGCCAAACGTTCAAAGTCCCATGATGTTCGTGCAGCTCACCTATAACATGGCCATTTTGGTCCAACTCTAGGGGCTCTGGCCCGTTCGGCGCATATGAGCCTAAGACAGGACTGTCGGCCCTGCCTTGGTCCTGAGGCTCAAACCCATCGGCTTGCATGGGCAGTCGTGGTTTGTCGTACGGCGACGTCCCCGTCGATGAGCACGTCGGCAACTGGTCGTCAGACGGGAGCAGGGCAAGCAGGTAAGACAGCCGAGAATGACGGTGTTCGGGGTCACTATCGAGTAAGGCAGTCAAATCCAGGTCAAATCCGTGTGACCGCGCATGGCACCGGTCCATGTCACCGCTGAACAGATCTAGAAAACTCACCTGTCAGCCATCGCCTGAGTCTACGCTCTTGGAGACCAATGCTCTTTGATGCACTCCGTTCCGTTCATGCAGCAAGTAAATACACCCGCATCCTTTTCCCGGGTCCAGAAATGTATGCAGCTTCGCAGGAATCCCAGAACGAGACAGGCCCAGAAATAGCAGAATCCAGACGAACTGCGCAGGACATGTACATGGGACATCCAACATGTTAATTTACGTGTATACGTCGGAATTCTCCAGTCGGGCTTGTCACGCATTGCTGTCGACACTGCACAATTCGAAGTTACATCCGATGTGATATATCCATGACTATCGGGCGCATCCGAGTCTTACTGACAGCGACACCTCCATGTTACTTGCTGCGATTCATTGTCATTGGCCAGTAACAGCCCCCACCTCATTGACGCCATAATATTGTTACTAGCACGAGACAGTAATCATTGATTACCTTATAACTTGGGAGGTATTCGGCGCTGCGCGGCACGCCAGGTCCGATTCCTCACATATAAAAGTCTATGGTAAACCCACGGCAGGGACTCTACAAGCAGGGAAATAATCTTTCTTGCTCCCCGGGCGCTGCGCGGCATCAACAATGCTCATAGTTATTTCATCTTGACCTGAATGATACTGAATGATATCAACTTCTAACTCTCAAGTTAGCGGCCTGCCGGTGCGGTCAGAGTCTTCGATCCATCAGATACTTGGTGTCAAGCTTTACAGTTACATATATCTGAGGAATAGATAACAAGTGCCTTCTTTGCTGCCCTAGGGTGGCATTCCGCCACCCTCGATCAGTGTTACTGTAGAGTCAGTGTACTGTATACAACATGTTTTCAACACTGTGATAGCTTGTACCGTAGGCAACAGGATGCTTGCCATTAGGCAGCCGGGGGATGCCTGACAGTGCCACCCTACATATTTGGAATTAATTTCCATCACACAAAACAATTATCCTTGACATAAGGGGTAATAGTTCCTATTTGTTGGTGGCGGTAAGATTTGGATCGGTCCACCTACCATTTATGAGCAGTGCTCCTATTACATTTCGAGTAATTTGGGCTGTAAGTGGTATAACCCCTGTTAAGCGCTCGCTTTCTCGATCACCAGAGAGCCCTATACAACTACTGAACAGTAAACCGATTCTAGAGGAATCGGAAACGTGTTCGTGTGCCGCCCTTACTGCAGCCTGAGAGTTTAGCAGAAATCAGCAAGCTGTCAGAAATTTTGACAACTAAGCAGTCGTCACCCCAGATTGGTCAGAAAGTGTACCAGACTTTGCAACGCTACGACATGATTGTGGCATGGCCGCAAGTGATGCAGGGGATGCAATCTCGGTGATGGCGCCGGCTCGCCCTCGTGGACACGTCCATTGCCCCATGATGTCCGTGAGGGACCTACTTGAATAGTGACGGAAAGATGGTGTTCGAGGGAGGCGAGAAAACCGACAGAACCGTTAGGAGCAAGCGGGAGTCGGATTGACATTCCTCAGAAATCGTACAAGTCAGGAGCGTCAGATCTAAAGGCAACCTTTTTCTTTGCCCTGGCTGCTTTCGGAGGTGCGGTAGGTTTGTGGACATCCGTGATTGTTGACGGCGCGTTCTCCGCCTTGAGCGGGAGGCGGGAGCCTTCAAGTCGCACTTGGACGACCGCTGTATCCCCCCCAGCCCGTGAAGTGCCCGTCGGTGCTAGCGGCCCAACTGATGATCCACCAAGACTTGTAGAGTCGACAACGGAGGACACTGCCGCTGGGGTCGTACGGCGTTCCCCGACTCCCCCCTCGACGTCCAGATGCAAAGTCTCGAAGATGAGCCGCTTGCGCATGCACTTGAAGGCAAGATTGTTCTCCCCTACTCCGCCTGCGGAAGAAGCAGAGGCGGAGACCCCCCGAAGAGTTGAAAATCGATCACTGGGAGGTAACAACGTGTGCGGGGCCGGTAGACTGTGGATCTGAACCAATCCGTGATGTGATGGGAACAATGCAGACATCGAAGGATCACCTTCACGGTCATCAGAACGAGACCATAGCAAACGCAATGACCAAACCAACCTGCGAAAGCGGAGAGCGCCACACAGGCATCTGAGACCCATGCAAGCTTCTGCACCCACCCTGGCCCGCCCCAATGATCTTCGCATATATGGGGAGCAGGACAAATCAGAACGCATGCGTGTATGTGATGTCGTACTATGCGACGTAGATGATATAGGAACTGGATGATCTCCTGCAAAGAATTTGAGCATCGATCAAGGTTAGAGATTAGATATTTAAAGGCTAACCTTCTGCGTCAGATCCCCCCATTCCGCGCTGCCAAGATGGGGCACACATATTCTGGTCGCCTGCGCCTGCTTTCCCGATTGCAGTGCCTCCAATACATCTCTAAGTATATCACGAGGAGCAAAGCTCGTTCCCGCGTGCGAGACAGGTATGCAAATGAGTTCATCGGCGAGACAAGCAGCCTCAACAACTTGATTCGGAATTCGAGCAGTTAGGTCAAAGGTCGAACAGAACTCGCCGTTCGACCTTGCGTGCCAACATACCACAACGTTATTTCTAGAGCAGGATTTTCCGATTCTGGGACTCACATACGAGTTGGTAGTATTAACGGAGGTCTGGAATTGCTTCATTTGCTCGTAGCGCCATGCGATTCTGACTCGATTATCATCTTCTCCGGCCTTTTCCTCTTCGTCCTCATTTCCAGGCGTGCTCGGTATCGAAGACGACGAGCCTGATGTACCAGGCGTCCACATGCATTCCGAGACGAACTCCTTTGCTCCATCGCCGATGACCAAAGTTCTCTGCTTCACGGCCAGACCCTGGGCTATAAAATACTTCGCGATGAGTTCTCCGTAGGCAGAGTGCGAATCAGAAGCTAGAATGGCACAAGAGCAAGAGAGCGGCAGACCAGCCCCAAGGATATCATCTAAAGACGGGACCCCCGTAGATGTGATGACTGTGGTCGCCGAAGATGGGGAACTACGGGTGCCATGAGATAGAGTAGGATGCTTGGAGGTCGATTTCCGTTTGAACGAAGACATCTTGGCTACGAAATGCGAGGTGTTATGATTCACATCTTAATTGTGAATTCACCGCCACAACTGACCGTGCGAAGCTGAACCGGACCTCATGCCAGTGTGGCCGGACATGCACTAATATACCACCGCAAGCGCAGACAATGTCTATGCCAGAAAAGCGTCACTACGTCCCCTTGCTAGCTACTTAGGACGGGGGGAACTGATGCAACACCGTTGACAGGCATGCTCAATATGCGTCAAACATGTACATGTAAAGCTTCCTCATTCAGATCTGCACTTCTACTAGCTTTCTGTAACTTCCGGATCGCAGCTCTGGACATACCAGTACCTCTCCTCAGTCGCATCCAACGACCCGCATAGTGAAGCCATTGGGGACGCTCGGAAGTCTCGCCGACATTAGCGTCCTTTGGCCCGGCCGTTGGAATGGATTGTACGCGATGGGATACTCCCTCTGCTTGATGATATTCTCCTTCTCTCCCTTCGACGCAGATGCCAAGAACAAAGGATTGTCCAGCATTGAGGATACTATCATGGGGAAGTGACTGCGTTGCAACTCGGCCGACTGCTCATAGGCTCGTGACCACCCTGTCGTACCGCTATTGAGGGCAGAATATCGGTAGACAGGCTGGTACATTTGGCGTGGGAATCCAGTATACGCGTCGTTAACTCTAATTCGCCGACCGGCTGCTTACATTTTGGCAGCTGAGTTTGTCTGAGTTGAATTTTCGCCCTGCCCTCAAGTTGATCGGAATCTGACTAGAAAGAGTTTTGTAGTCCGCAAGATCTCGAGACTTAGCGCGTCCCAGAGACGAATTCCTGCAGCCTTCCCGTGCCGTACAACTCACCGCCACACAGACATGTCAAACAAACATCGCAGACCTATCACTGCGGAGGAAAGTTTCTCTTGCCATGATAGCTGCGCCAGGAAATCATCGGAGACCCTTCGCTAAGGTATAAGTAATATACAGGAAAATAAGTCCGGAGTTCGTTTTCCAAGGTCCCGAAGGTAGACATCTATGGCATTAATCTTGTTCATGATAGGAGCATATTATATCCAAACATCAAACGAGCGTCGGACGAGGGAGCGGCGAGGAGCGAGAGACTTCTTCCGTGAGATCTACGGTCCTGTGGCGGGGGAGCCACAGTCCATTACAGTCCCAGTTCCCACGCCATTTGGGACCCCGGCCTCTCCATTCCCCGTCCATCCCGGCCTGCTGGAGGGCCAGATACACGCCTCCCGTGCTTCAAATATTGTATATACTTGCAAATATAATCTATGCTATTGTTAGTAATATTTGAGGGTCAAAGAAGCACATCAGGCGCTCGGGAACCCTACGAACGCGCGGGTGAGGTAACCAGATATCTACCCGAGGGACTGTAAATGCCAAGGCTATGGACTGTGAATTTCGCCAGCGGAAATCGCGTCGTGACGCGATTTGGCGCGGGCGCGCGCCAAAATCGACCCCCTCCTCAGCTAGGTTCGGGTCGGGAAATTCACAGTCCCAACCGCGGCATCACAGTCCACTCGGCACCCAGATCTGTGGCTTGCCCCGAGCTTTAGCTGACCTACTTGCTTGCTCCTGGTATTTATTCCTTACTTAGCTGCACTGTACCGTAGCTGCACATGTACTATAGTTCAAATAAATTTTATTCCGAATTTTCTACCCTACCGTACCCTCATGGAGGAGGCTGCATCTGCCCGCCTCCCGAGCTTGACTTGCAGCGGTGGCGGGAGTTGCTTATGTAATCCGATTAAGACCGTAAACTTTCCTATGATCAGATTCACTTCGCAGCCCGGCGCGA